GGCGTCAGCGATGGCTATGAAATGAAGATCGCTGGCATTTTATATGTAAAATTATTCTAAAATTTTTGATTTTCTTGGGATTTTTAGGTTCGGGAAAACGCTGATTTAAGTTTTCATTTGGGTTTTCATTATTTTTATTTGGTTTAAAAAAACGTTTCGGCTAACTATAGCCTTCATCAGTGTTGTGTCATATGAAAAAAATAGTGTCGAATATAATCCAAAAAATTACATATATAATTCACACCTCATAATGTTTACTGCAATTAATAAACTAATATAAACTTATCAAAAGATGACCACATATTTTTTAGAATTATTATTCTTAACACTAAAACTATCTAACTTGGATTATATTCGACACTATTTTTTTCATATGACACAACACTGATGAATGCTATAATGTTAGCCAAAACGTTTTTTTTAAACCAAATGAAAACTTAATCAGCGTTTTTCCCGAACCTAAATCCCAAGAAAATCAAAAAATTTAGAATATTTAGAAACAAGGTTCAAGAATATCAAATTTTCCAAGATTGTAAAATTCTAGTTAATTATTTTATGTGTACAATTATTTAGGGAATGTCATCGATGTTCATTTCCAAGCCAACTAGACGCCGATTTTTTTCGATGATACGGAATAATTCTTACACATAAAATGTAAATAACATTCAACCAATTAAAACAAAGAAATATGAATTTCATAGTATTTTTAGTAACACCTTTATTCTTAAATCTTAATTTTGTATTGCAAATATACCAATTTTATTCATATTGTATTCAGCCATCACTTAACTATTTGATATTAATTTGGTATTATAAATAATCAACATTATTCAGTAAAAATTACTGAACAAATATAATATGTTATGCTTTACATACATTATATTATCAACCAAAAACACATTCTTCTTTTAAACTTTATCATTCTTGTCTTTACAAAAATCTTTTTTAATGTTGAACTCAAAATAATAATCTTTTTCATGATCTTTAATACACATATTCTTTATTTTTCCCTAGATCATAATACCTACTTACGTGTTTATCTTACGTGTTTGAATCTATCGAAGCTGAACCAACAACACTTGGAGTGGAGATTCCACAATATGAATAAAATAAACATAATTGTCCAGTTTTCTGTAATACCATCCTGGGAGAATATTATTTTTAAATTTATTAAAGATATTTTCAATAGAATGTCTTGATTTATAACTCGTACCCACTTTTCTTGCTCTTCCGGATACTTTAGGCTGCCTAGTATAACTATCCTTTCCACCAGGAACACAACAAAGATGAGGCATAGCACCAAAAACACACTCCACTTAAGCTTTATTGATGAATTGTTAGAGTCTTAAAAAACACACACAAAAATCACGATAAATAAAAAATTTATGGGCACTTTTAGGTTAAAGCACTTAACAAAACGTGTAATATTTCGTGTTTTTTTATGAGAAACAGAGTGACCATCATAGTAACCATATATCTGGTAGTACTTTATGTCACTTAAACACACCAAAATAATTAGTTTTTTGCACTACAATAATAAATAATACCAAAAATCAACCGACAAAATATGAATACAGAATCTAACCCAATATCTAAGTATGTACAGCTGATGAAGTAAACAAAAGTCCGCCCGTAGGCTGATCTTGTATAGAGGGCATTGATTATAGTCTCTCGCTTTGGCTTCTTTTTATATAGTCTGTCCAACGAGAAGATCCTTAACAGTGATAGATGTGTCTGTCATTTTAATTTCAAAGTAGTTTATTTTATTTTACAAAGAAATAAGTTGGTACAACTGGAACGCATAGCAGGAAATATTTAAAATTTGATTGACAAGATGACAAGTGATTACTTCAAAATATTGTGAAAAAAACTGTATAAAACTGAAAAAATGTAATCGAGTTATTTTATTTAATGAAAACGGTATGGGTTAATACAAAACAAACAGGAACAAGACACTACATACCAAAAAAATATAAAAAAGAACTATTTTTTACTTTCAAGCTTTATGAAACTACCCGCATTTATGATTATATTTATCAATATAACTTATGTACAAATACAAATTTGTAATATTCCACAGGAATAAATAAAACAACATAGGTAAATAAAACAAACTATTTTATTAATAATAACACCTACCAAATTTCATACCTTAAAGGTTGATTAATTAACTTTAATCTTAATTTTTTTAAACCAGTACTTTTTGACATTATTTTTCTGCAGTACTAAAATCCATTATTTACCTATCGTGTGATGTCGATATTTTACAGCTACTCCAGTTTTTAGTATGTGTTTAGTTTGATCCTTCTACCATATACGAGATGCACTTATCTACGACGAGATGGTATACAAACTTTATCGATGGCAACTTCATTGGTGTATAAGACTTTCTGCCTGGGCAGCGAGTATTAAACATAAACTGTGCTCTGGGTCTACAGTTAATTTTCACTCGATTTTTCCTCCACTTGACTTCAAAAGACACAAAACACACGTAATAATACGAATCAAAATGCATCATCTTCCAAAACGCAGGGTATTTAACAAAAGTTGACACAAAATTATAACCTATAATTTTGCAAGACTTTGACAAGCGTCAAAAATGACAAAAATCTAAAGGCGAGTTCATACGCATCGGCGTCCGTTTGTCGTTCATCGTTCCGTCAAATCAATAAAATTGAAATACGATCTGTCATTTTTAAATAAACCAATAAACTAGTTAAAAACAACAAGACACGACGCATGACGGATTTATATTTAAACCCATCCATAGATAACTTAAAAATTATTAGAAACTTTTTTTAGTAAAATAAATATATTGGTATGGGACGTCATCTGCTTTTCTTCTGTCATCGTCTGTCGAAATCTTACCTGAGAAAAAAAACAGAGTATATATTGGCGAGAGTTTCTGTAATTTTTTTTATATATGATCCTGTATGTTTGCCTTTCAATTAATTAAAACTATTTCTTAATGAAACACTTATTAAATGTTAACAAAAGTGTTAATAAAATATGACCAATTCGCAAAACCTATTGAAATATAATCCGACACCTGTCACCGCAAGTTTAACCTCAAATTCAAGTCAAAATATTTCTCCTGTATCAATACTATCTCATTACAGAGATATATCTGTGCTATTTGATACTCGTTTAGGATAATATATCTGTCTTTCTATCAACCTAGTGCCCTAGTGAGAGGTAGTTCAGAGTAAATAGGCTCTCGAAGATGGCCAGGAGATATTGAATAGAATTGCCATTCTATATTTCACTATACTGTACCTTTCTATATTATAAAATATGTCTTCGAATTATATTCAGGGACATAAATATGAAAGCTTGTGTACCTCAAGCTCTGCCTATAAACAAAAAATTTGAGATAAATACGTTCATTCAATTTTAATTCAGTCATTGTTCTCGTTTGCCTGCAAAACTCCTTCTTAATTTAGATTACATTACCAATTATTACTATTATTCTTTTATTTTTCTTTTTTTTTTTTGATCTCACATAAAGTAGGATTGTGTGAGAACGAGCTTTCCATGTCTGAAACAAAGACAAAGTTGAGAAAAAAAGGTCAGTAACAGTTCTATGTCCGTTCTTAATTGCCACAGATCACAGATATGCGATTTTTTCCTTTGAAATTACATTAATATTTTATTAGGCATTGTTGATTAAAGATGAAGAGAAAAAAACACTATCGGGAAAATTCTTTTGTTATTTTTTGATACCATGAAGAAAATTCTCACGAAAAAATGAAAAATTTCAGATCGAAGGGTACCTACTACCACAGTTATTTCTTGAAAAAAGTGAAAAAAGAAATTTAAAAAGAAAAAAGTTATTATATCCAAACCATCGTACATCTAAGTACCATAAGATCAAAAAAAAAACGGCGTCAGAGACGGCCGAGAAATGACAATCGATGATAATTTTGGCATGGTTTTTTTACGCTGTTTTTTTTTTCGTTCATATCGTAGAATTGTATTTAATCTTCAATAAACTCATAAAGTAATTGGTTTACCAAAAATATTACGTCTTGGGGAAGAAAATAAAATCACTGGGACCTAAATCTGTTAATTAGGAGGGCATTTGTGTAATATTTTCATTGATCTATACTAATGTTATCTGTTCTAATATCACAGTAATATATAAAATCCTCACTGATTAATCACGATCCTGCTCAAACCACTCAACGTAAGAAGCTCAATTTTGGCATACAGGTTGATTCTAGGATGTACAGGTTCGATAAGAAGGGATTTTTCGAAATTCCAGTTCCAAGGGGGTGAAACCACCCCTCAAATATTACAATATTTTTATTTAAAAAACGGTCAAGTTTCCGAAAAAACGCTTAAATATGTATAGATATATTATCTTCTTGTTTTACATATTTTAAGATTTTTTAAAAATTTATACAGGGTGTTTCATAAAATATGACCATAAACTGCTTGAGGTTTAAAGCTGATTTTTGGCAAACGGATTGACTTCCAAGAGGGTGAAAACGCCTCTCAAATATTACAATATTTGTTATTTAAAAAACGGTTAGTCTTTCGGGAAAACGCTTGGACACGCATAATTTATTTTGTTTTTTTACATATTTTGAAATTTTTTAAAAAATCGTACAGGGTGTTCCAAAAAGTTGTGTAATTGATTAACCACGAGTCTGCTTAAACTGCTTGACGTAAAAAGCTTATTTTTGGCAAACGGATTTTTCGAAAGTCAAATTCCAACGAGATGAAACTACCCCTCAAATATTACCAAGTTATATAATAATAAACGTGATAAAATTTTATCCAGTTTGCAGGAAATTCTTGCTTTGCTTTATCATCACCATTACAAATGATTAATTCGACGCGAACGACGCGACGTCGCGGGTACACGCTATATACTATATTTCTTGTGTTTGAATTAGTACTTATATGTTCTTGACTGTTTAAGTTATCCAATATGGCGTTTGTGATATTGTTATCTTTGATTTTTGTTACTAAAATAAGCATTTTCTTTGTTCCAGAGCTGTGCAGTGGTGAATCTCTGCCCGAAGTAGAGATCATCAGTCTCCTGGAGGAGCAGATTCCTCGTTACAAGTTGCGGGCCGACACTCTCACCAAATTTGGCGGTAAGTTTGAAAAATTAAGTTTATACAGGCTGTCCCAATATTCCGTGGACATAGAACTACTAAGTATTTTTAAAATCAAAATAAGTTTATTGGACACATTTTACCTTTATACAAAAGTGCTTCGGTTGTCCGTTAGAGGGCATTAAACTTTAAAAAAATAAACATATTTTTTAAGATATTTTTAAAAGCGATGATTTGAATGAGATTTGACTTCTACAAAAAATGTAATATCACGAAATATACTCAATGCCTTGGAAACAAATTATTAACTACACTAAAATTAGAATCTGTGGGTTTAAAAATACGGAACATTTGAAATGTGTATGTTTTCGTGCTAAAATTATTTGCAAAGTGATCTTTCTGGCGATGTTCAAACAGTTAGTGAAGTTTAAACAAAGCGCAGTGTTTTCTAGGAAAATTTAAATAAAATTGACGTGGTTATGTTTTTTTAGGAAGGTTTTAGAAATACCGCAAAAACAATTATTACATAAGGTTTATGGATTTTCTAATTAACACAACTTGTAACAATCAATTAAAAATGCGCAGTATTTTTTTTAAATCTTTAATATTTTCAACCGTTTGGAAAAAATTGACACTGGCCATCAATACAAGTTTTCTAATATGTAGGTATTTATTGTAAATTATTACATATAGTCTGTAAAACGAATAACTTTGAATTTGACAGTTCCCGCGGGCTTTTCTAGTGTTAATTTTATTAGGTTATCAACTTGCGGCCATGCTGACGCAATGCCGTCTCTAATAGAACAGCCTCAGAGCGAGATTTATGACGTCACGCTAGTTAGATACTACGGATTAATAAGTATGTTGTAGAATACATGGAAAACATAATTATTCCTCGTATTTTTGGTTTGTATTTTAAAAATGATATAGTTTGCAGGAAATATACATAATATAAAGTTAATAAATACAATATATATACCTATTGATAGTAATAAATACTTTAGCAGATAAACTATAAACCATACAAATGCAGCAAATGTTTTACAATATGGCTGAAATCGTACTCCATAGTCAATGTAGATAGTTTTTGTGTTAAGAATAATAATTTAAAAAAATATGTGGTCATCTTTTGACAAGTTTATATTAGTTTATTAATTGCAGTAAACATTATAATATATAAATAAATTTTGTGATTGCAAATAATAATACACTATTAGTAGATATTGAATGTTTTTTGTTAAATTAGATCGATTTTCAAACCCCAAAATTTAAAATATATTTTACATTTTACCCCTTATCTTATGCACCAACTATTCATTATTTGTATATTGTAAAACATTTGCTGCATTTTTATGGTTCATAGTTTTATTTGCCAAAGTATTTATTACTATAAATAGGTATATATTATATTGTATTTATTAACTGTATATTATGTATATTTCATGTAAACTATATCATTTTTAAAATACAAACCAAAAATACGAGGAATAATTACGTTTTCCATGTATTCTACAACATATTTATTAATCCGTAGTATCTGACTAGCGTGACGTCATAAATCTCGCTCCGTGGCTGTTCTATTAGAGACGGCATTGGTCTAATATTTAGAAATGTCAAAAGCTGATGACATTTTACTTTTGTCAATTATGACATTTCGTTTTGATTTTTGCAAGAAGAGGAAGAACTGTCACTTGTTTTATTATTTTCCTTTTCTATTTCACGAAAGTAAAAAGAGTTACCTATCTGATTCGTTCAGGCACTCAATTTAAAGAATATCAGTAACTTTTTTGATAGAGGGATTTTATATTTGCCATGTTGGTAAAAAATAACGGTCAAAAAATGTGTGTGCTAAAATTTTGAGAACCACTGGATCTTTTCTGGATTTTCTTTCTTCTAAATTTAATCTAATACCTACATATGTTGTCATATTATCAAGAAGTTAAGTTTTTTTAACTAAAAACTAAAAAAAATTACAAAAAATTTCGAATTGTCAAAAAAAAATTTTCGCGAAAAAACCTCACAGGTGTGTTTCTGGGGTTGAACTATACCAACAAGTTAAAATACTTGCACTTATTTTTGGGACACCCTGTATAGTATGTCTATAATAAAAGAAATAAATAACATAAACCATACAATATCCATAACTTATAGAACGCCTATTGAATTGAAGGTATAATATGCATTATCATTATTACGATTGCAGGCGTTTGTGCGAAATATAGAGGAATGTTTAGCGAGGCCACTCTGTAGCCGTTAAGTTTAATTTTGAACACACCGTATATTTATGTAGAGCAATACTTAAGGTGCAAACAAAGGGTGCAAATAAAGAATTCCAATGTGCTTGAAATTTGATGTGGCACTTTTAATATTTGCATATATAATTAATAATTTCCTTGAAGTATGTCATTTTAATTAAAATAGTGTTAGTTTTAAAAATGAGATCGATGGTAATTATATATGGTTTATATTAAACTAGTTCTGTGATTTTATAAAAAAAATAGGTTAGAAATTTCATGAATTCTTTCTATTTTCAATTCAGAAAATTTTTTGCCATATTTTACCCAATTCTTTTACCAAAAACATAAATAGATCAAATAATTTGTTATTGAGACTATTTTTAAAATGGTAAATTCTTTTTCTATCTTGATTTGACATAGTTATTTTATTTATTTCGCTTTTTACTTTATCAATATTAATAATTGCAAACATCTATTCGTGACTTTTGTCATACGCTGTTGATTAGTGATTGTCTCGGTGATTGTTTAAAAAGTAAATAAATATTAGCTTTTATCAGTATTTGTGTTATTTTTTTGAATCTATTTATACACTAACGACTTGTAGGAGTTAAACGTTTTGATGCTCTTGAAATCCATTTCTTAACTAATTTATCAAGATTTTTTGTACAAATAATAATTGTTTTATTGTTTGTTTTTACATTTTATCTTATCCTGGAGTGTGGATTAAAAGTATTTTAAAAAACACGTTGGCTAAACAACCGCCGCGCCGGCGGTATTATTAGTGTGTACAAGAAACCGCCGTTCGGCGGTATGATATTTCTATGTCTGTAAATGCCGGTGGAGAATCGAATTAATTTGTCAATGTCGGCGCACAGTGGAACGAGCTTATGGGAGCGGTTGGACATGAGGTTTTCTTCTCAACACTTTTAATCCAAAAGACGAAAAAATTATTTTTATATACCGTAATAATGTATAAACAGAACAATTTTAAATTTTAATGAAAGAAAGTGGTTGGCTCATTACAAACCATCTACAGGGTGACCTAAAAATATAGTATGTTTTGGAAAAATCTTACAATTTTTAAATGCTTATAAACTTTGCCAAACTGTCGTGGCATGTTTTAGTTTTGATCCTTTTAAAAAGAAATAGCTTTAGATTTTACCACTGAAATCTAAGACTACTGATACCGTGTTATAAAAATATGGTAATTAAGGGCTTACATATATTTTCCTATTTAATATAATTTTGCTAATATCTTCGATTTGAAAGAAGATATCAAGATGCGGTTTTCACTGACTTTTTAAGCTTTCATTACTCTTTACTATCAGCTAAAATTACATATACCATCGCATTTTTTTTTTTTGAAAAAACGCGCAATGTTTGTTAATTTGTAAGACAGCGCCCCCTAGCATCTACGTTCAAAAGCTTACTATTATTGTTTATATGGTATAATATAGAGTAAGAAACGGTCTTTTAAACGAGCCCCCGTTAGATGGATTCCGTCCATCCAGTCCGGAATTATTAATATTTAAATAAAAACAGATCTAACCCCACCACTTTATTTTGGTAGATAGGGGAAAATGGTTCTAACAAAAAATATTCAGAATTTACTGAAGATTATGAAGCTATTATTTATAGTACCCCTTATATAGGCAAAGTTGTGTAAAAACTCCATTTTCTTATTTTTTTTATAGCAGTTGCGCCCTCTAGCGGCCATTCTACAAATTTGAAAATAATTTCCAGCATTTTCTCATGGTCTCTTTAGTTATGAATATTTTTTTCCGCAAGCCTCACGGCTAATACTTTCCGAGATATAGCCGAGAGCTATTCTTAGTGGGACACCCTGTACAATAACTTTATTATAAGCAAAGAATATAACAGTAAATCAACGCACTAGAATATTTTTATTACAAACAAAAAACCTCAACACTGCACTTTAACCCTCTTTATTTTTCCAATAGTTTATAAGTTTTTCATATATTTGTAGCACCCTGTATCTGTTTTCGATTTTAGCGTCATTTTGTATTTATCCAATTAATAATTAAATATTAATAAATTTATAAAAAAATAAAGATAATTTGACTCTAAAAATTTTAAATTAATTTATTGGAATTGAAAAGGTTTTTGATTTTAGTATAGCATGTATTAGTAATATATTAAAGGGAAATTTTTAGAGGGGGGCAAGCTGGGGCAAGATGTTAAATTAGTTTCGTTATTAGAAAGGCTTAATCTACCTTGTGATATATATAAAGTCTTGGCCAACTTTGGCCATTTTTTTATTTTTCTACATACACATTTTTTTGCTACTAAATATAGTATTTAGCAGCAAAAAAATGTTTATATGCCTCTTATATACAATTGTTCTCCCAAACTTTTGTGACTATTTATATCTTTTATTTTAAAGTGAAAACAATCGTTTGCAGGTTTGCACTAATATGTATGGTTAAAAAAATTTATTAATGTCTTTGCCAGTTTTTATAAAACTTGGTTGTTTCACAAGAAATGAATACCATAATTAAGTCAGTGTAATATCTTCATTTGAAACTTTTCAAACAGACATATAATTAAAAATATTTTTTTGAGTTGGATAAAATATAACGGTCTGGACTTTAAGTAATTCAAATCTTCTACCAAAATTATTTAATTTAAAATTTTATTTTTAAGTCAATGTCCAACATTTTATATTGGGTCTTTCCACCGTGCGGCGGTATGAGTTTAACCGGTAGATAAATGCCGTCCTAGGGCGGCACACTGTATTTTAATCACCAAATGCCGCCGATAACATAACCCAATATCATTGCATTTTCATTTTTTGACTTGAATTTTGCCTGAATCATCAGAGAAAGACGAAAAAAAGAGGGTGAAACCAAAGTTTTAAAAAAATATACCGCCGAGCCGGCGCCGGCGGTATTCTTTATATATTTAGCAACAGCCGACGCAAAAATTACCTCGTTGTTCGGCGGCATTAATATTAATGAATATGTAAACACGTCTATATACCGGCGGTATTTTGTCAATTGTCTATACATACCGCCGGCGGTATTTTAACCAGTTTGTTATTTTTAAACTTCGCGCTTTTCGAAAAACTACGATTTTCCGAGCGCCAAAAACCATTTTTTGTGTTTTAAATTTAAATCTGCTTGAATTTGAAATGTTTGCATAAAGTCGCCAGGTAGATAAGTCAGTACCTGGCGTTGTAAGTAAACGAGTAAGTACCGCATGTTCTCTGTTGGTACTGTACAGCCAGTACTAATCGGTACGCTGTCGTGATCTGATCAACGGTATGCGAAAAAATATTCAACACAGACCGGTGACTGTTAAGTGACGTGCAAAATTATTGATTTTATGACGGAAGATTTTCGAAATGTTGAGTTAAAAAGTGTACTTTAGACGTTTTTGTGATATTTGAACGAAAAAAAAAATAATATTGAAACATTTTTTTTGTCACTTTTGAAAAAGTGACTTTTTTTCGTAAAATTCTCTTGGATGTGTCTTATTTCTTATAAAGGTTTGTTAATAATTACTTTTATTTTTTTATTTGCACTTGTGGGTGGCTATATTATATACAGGGTGAATAAATCGAAATCTGTAGATTCTACAGAGCGGTTTATTTTTTAAAAAGTACGACTTTGACAGGCGATATTAAAAAAACGTATTTTTTGGAGAAAATTTAGTATCATCGTGTAGTACCTACCATACGATCGAAAAAAAACGGCGTCGAAGAGAGGCTGGGGTATGACAGACAACCGATAATAATGTTGGCGATGTCAATCTCTAGGCGTCATTTAGTCAAAATTGACATGAAACTTAACAGTAACTTGAAAAATTAACAGTAATTATAGAAAAAATTAAAATAGGATAGAACGTCTTCAGATACATAAATCTATTTCCAAAAAAAAATTCTCTCGAATTTTAAACTATGCACCATTTAAAAATAATTTTTAATCGATATAAAAATAAATTACGTACCACTTTTTTAAGACCAACTGGCAGTAAGGTCCATTAAAAAAATAAAGAAGAGTACGGGCCAGGTAATGAGGTCTAGAGCTTGACCCCGCCAAAATTATCATTGACTATCATTCCCTAGCCGTCTTTGACGCCGTTTTTTTTCGATAGTATGGTATTTTAGACAGTTAAAGTGGAACATCCTGTAGAACCTACATTCTTGGAAATTCTTAATGAAAATTTTATCTTATTTACTATCTTCTGACCATTACATACTTCAGTGCCAAAGTAAATTATTTTTAAATAATTTAATGATTCTTTTTCTTGATATATTTAAGTGCATACCTAGTCAGGCTGGCTTATTTTTAAATTAAGCTTAAAGGGTCTATAAAGGTATAACCCTTAATAAAAAGGGAATTGCTGCAAAGTAACTTCTTGGAATGCAAATTAAGTACGACTATATTTTTCGTACAACCAAATATTGTAAAGATAACAACACTATAGAATATTATTCTTTCCTATAATACTTCCTAGGTATTTCTTCCTTTTGTTGGGAAATTCTATTATAAATGGGGTCATAAAACAGGACCAACATCAGTGTTTATTATACTATACAGGGTATAAATAAATAAGGAATGGGGGACAAAATACTTTCAAAAAACATGATATTTGCCCTTAATGGTATACATTAGGCTTTCTTGTCATAGAGAAAGTTCAACATTTTTAATTAGTTTTAAGAAAGTGCCGAACTTTAAGTGATTGTAATTACGTTTATTATTAATTAAATCGATAGTTTACTAATTTTGGTCTACTTCTGATGGCCAAGGTTATTTTGCAAAGGAAAATTTGCTACATTTTTTTTTGGTTAAATTGTTATTAAATTTCAAACGGAATTATTTCTACAGGTCACTTTTTTAAAAACATTTTGTTTGCTACTAAATATAATAGAATAGTAAAGCTCCGTCTACACAATACGTCTTACCGGTCAGTCAAAACGTTTCAAGTGCCGGTTCGAGGCCGGCGGATAGGCCATTGACAGTGATATGGCCGAGGACCGAGGTTCGGATTCTCCGTATACGAAGTAGACAGTACAGGCTTTATTTTACATTTTTCTATTGTGACTCCTAAAGATTCGAATAGAATTAGTGATATTGGTTTTATTTTTTGCAGGATACGAGAACCAGGACTGGTTCATACCCTCTCCAGCACTCCAAATTGACGAAGCAGACTTGAAATTATCGCCGGATCAGATCCGTGAGACCCTCAACTATTTTCGTAAGTATTTCCCCCAGAATCCCTATTCTTCTTATTATTAAAAATTCTCACGACCATTCCGTTTTTAGAATTATTTTTGACATTTTGAAAGAAGAAAACAAACAACGTTTATAAATAACTGTAAATTTTATAATAATTGAGCTATTTTGTTTTTTATTTTCCTATTTTAATTGTAATGAATGAATGAATCGCTTGTAAAAAATTCGCAATACAAATTAAAACGTTTTTTTTACAGTGAGAATATTATGAATCACGAGGTCTATCAGTTCAGAGATTATAATATTTTAACTGTTTGTAAAGAGAACTGTGATCTGACTGCTAAAATGGATGACGTTATACGTTAATTAGTGTATTAAATAGATAAGGTTATTATTACAATAAAATTAGATTTAAAACTAGACTTATCTATCTTTTTCTAATACAAAGTTTCGATATTCGCAATAATGTCACTGTTAATTTAAATTCTGGCACAATATCTTCTAGAATTACCTCTAAAAAACAATTTTAGAGTAAATAATAAATAACATAAAATAAACCAAGAAAATCACAACAAATCAGCAAAATTTCAAATCAAATTCAAATGCGTCAATTGAAACGTCAAACAGAACTGTCAAAAATGGGGTTCATGATCATAGATAAAAGAAAATAATCTTCTATTAAGATAGATATGAAACTTAATAGTAAAATTTTGGATCAAAGCGCCCCTCCGTGTTCTTAGTAGAGACTACGTTTAACCCAGCGCCTTCGCCTTTTCTGCTGTAAATATTTTTTATGTTTATATTTGATTTCAAAGGATTTAGTTTTAAAGTTACACTGATATATTAGTATATCAGAGTAACTTTAATAAAACATAAGAATATATATATATATTTTACAGTTTATTAAATATAAATTTTGACTACAAGGTAGAAAGTAAATCACAATATTTGATAAAACTTATAAGTATACCATTTTTACAGTTAATAAATAATAAAACTATTTCTGACTATGATATTTAAAATTTAGATAGATAGAATATTAAAGAATATACCGGATATTTGGCAGACGCAGGCCCAAATTCAATAAAAACCAAAATTTTTCCTGCGAAAATCGGGCTTTTTTCACAGAAAAGGTATTTTTTGATTTATCAACAATCATTGTCAAGTTGACAATATACAGGGTGTTTTCTAATTAGTCTAAAAAATTGTGGTGTGATTCCTCATGTGTTCTTAAAACAATTTTTATATAACTATTGGGTCTAAAGTACTTCCTTTCTGATCTACAGGGTGTTAAAAATTAAAAAAAAAATCGATATTTTGCTTAAAATAAATGGTACACTACGGCTTTTTTAAAGAAAATATATTTTTTTCTTGACTGGCCATCCTTTTTCAACAAAATTGATCTTTTGAGTTTTTCTTGTTCATCTAACGGTTGCCGAGAAAAAAATAAATATATTTATTAAGAGCCCGTCTTAAGCCGTTTTCTAACGATTTTTTATTTTTTAGATTAATTAGGAAACATCCTGTATATGCATATCACAGGCAACCAAATAAACTAGTAACCTCTAAAAATTATTTTTCCTACCACTAGCGACATACCGTGTTTTTAGTGAGTACTAAATTATTTTATCAAAACTTCACCATATAAGTTTCCAGGCAATGGTTCATGATGTCGATTTCATCTCTAACTGTTTTATTGAAAGGATGAAACCATAGATAAAAGACTTATACTATTAAATAGATAGGCAACTTATAATACGTAGTCGGAGGAAGAAATACTAACGGAAGAGAGGGGTGCGGGGAAGGGGGGTTGTTTTAGTTAATTTAAAATAAATTTAGACATACATGTAAGAACACTTTGTGTGCTTTTAATTAGGTCGAACATATTATAAACGATAAATCAACTTAATTAAAAGCATACAAAGTGTTCTTATATGTCGGATATTAATTAAAAAATATATTAAAAAGACTAGAAATAGTATATATATTAAGTTGTTACAGTTATAATTTAATCTTTGGCGGTTTTCAGCAAATAGCAGGCAGTTTTACATCATTTTCCTCCCTTTGTTAATCCCTTTGAAGTGAATTGGAAACGGCTATATAATTTTGGTGTAGGCAAGATTCCCAGTTTGTTTCCGTTTGAGACCTGAGATAATAAAAACAAATTAAATTAGATGTAATAATCTGCTGATCATGCTAATATAACACAACGCGCGTCCTTAATTCCTTACATGCACCGTAAAAAAAATTAAATAACTGCTCAGCAAGTAGCATTTATTAGCAGTACTAATTTAAAAAATCTATAACTGTAAGTAGATATGTTTAATTTACTTACCATTGTATCCTTCGGAAACCAGGTGTACAACAATTAAACTCCATGATAAAAATAATAAAGAGTCTATACAAAACACAAATTGTCCCACCATTTTTAAAAAACATTGTCTAAAACAGAATACTGGCAAAAACTCTGAAGGAATTTAATTTTACAATAATTCGACAAATCAAAACGAAATCAAACCGTAAAATTATAACAAAAGCGTCTCTGAGTGACAGTTAAAAATCAAATTTTATTATTGTCAGATATTGACATTTGCATTGTTAATATTGACAGTTTTGATATTTTGCGCCTCTGCATCTTGGAGGAAAAACTATTTTTAATGAACCGTCATTTCCATTTAAGTTTCCCAGCCATGGATGAAACAGACTACACAATATGAATGAAGCTTCTTTCACACGGTGTAATGTTTTTACTGATTGTATCTTTTGTTTTCAGTTCTATGTAGTAACCGTGTAAGCCAAATGACCAAAACCTACGATGATATAGAAGCAGTCACCAGGCTTCTTGAAGAAGTAAGTCCAGCCAGACTCTACAAAACCCTCCCTATTTATCAATTTTATCATTTTAACACAAATTCCAGAAAGAAAAAGACCTAGAACTAACAGCACGCATCGGCAAAGAACTCCTACAGCACAACAACAAACTAGAGAACACAGTAACGTCACTGGAAATCGACTTAAAAGCTGCTCACGAGAAAATCACACAGTTCAGCCATGAAATCCAGAAGAAGACTGAACTTATCCAGATACTCACCAACGACATGGATGAGTCCGTGTTTGATACTGGAACTTCGGGAAGGATTAATCTGGATTTGATGCAAAAAAGAATAGGTTAGTGGTGGTAGGGATGGGTGAATGTATCGATATATCAAAATATCGATAGTTTTTTATCGATATTTTGTTATATCGAATATATATTTTATTTATATATATTTAATTATAATATTATATATACAGGGTGTTTCAAAACAAATGCGAAAAACTTCAGGGGGTGATTCCTTGTTGAAAATAAAGGGTAGTTTGCTTCATAAACGTTTGGTCAAAAATCAACCATTAGGGAGATATCGCGGTACAAAGATGGCGGAAAAATAATGTTTTTATTTTTTATCTTGAAAACGAAAAGAGATAGACTAATAAAATTTTATGGAAGTATTACTGTTATGAAAACACACTTTCTGGTAATTTTTTCACTTTTTTAAAATGAGTGAAGGGGTTGAAATAAACTACCCCTATCATTCTTGTTAACGAAATTTAAAGAAAAATCTTATCAAACACATGCAAAAAAAATAATTTGGATAGTATAGTTTGTTTAGAAACTTTTTTATCTCTTGTATTTTTTTGATAAAACTCACCGATTTGAAATTAAAAAATAAAATGTAAAGCATTACATGTCAGGACAAAAAACATTTTTAGATAAAGAATCTAGTGGGCAGCTGTAATTTTTTTAGGAAAAAATCTAGTCGGCCGCTGTTACTTTTTAAGATGTTCCTAATATTATTTTATTTGACATTACTCTACTGCAATACGTTATTATCTAGATGATTATTATTATCGTTATTATCACTAGATTCTTAATCTAAAAATGTTTTTTGTCCTGACATGTAATGCTTTACATTTTATTTTTTTAATTTCCAATCGGTGAGTTTTATCAAAAAAACACAAGAGGTAAAAAAGTTTCTAAACAAACTAAACTATCCAAATTAAAGCATTTGCATGTGTTTGATAAGATTTTTCTTTAAATTTCGTTAACAAGAATGATAGGGGTAGTTTATTTCAACCCCTTCCACTCATTTTAAAAAAGTGAAAAAATTACCAGAAAGTGTGTTTTCACAACAGTAATGCTTCCATAAAATTTCATTAGTCTATCTCTTTTCGTTTTCAAGATAAAAAATAAGAACATTATTTTTCCGCCATCTTTGTACCGCGATATCTCCCTAATGGTTGACTTTTGACCCAACGTTTATGAAGCAAACTACCCCTTATTTTGAACAAGGAATCACCCCCTGAAGTTTTTCGCATTTGTTTTGAAACACCCTGTATATATAAATATATGTATCGTTTTTAGTACGATATACCAAATGGTTACAAAAACTTTATTGGTGCTTAATACAACCCTGGTGTTTGGTTGATCCTTACCACTTTTCGTCTCGCTAACTCGTGTGTCACGGCCTTGAATTTTCACTCTCAATGCGCGTAAGGAAGTTATACTTCAAAAATATTAGAGACTTTTTTTTAGTGAAATAACTGGATTGATATTTACGTCAACTGACTTTTTTCTGTCATCGTCTGTCGATGAGTGGTGAGTGTCGTTTATTTTCGATCATACGGTGTATTCTTCTCTGTGCTCTGTATCAGAATAAAATCTTCAAGGCTACAATGGGTAAGGTAGATATTAATATCACTACCGATAGCCTTCAAAAGCAAAGATAGACTTTGAAATTGGCACAACACTTGCCAAGTTGTGCTTCGCAAAGTGCGGGTCTGTGACATTTTCGTTGTATTTTTGATTTATCTTTTCTCTTACATAACAGATCGGGTAAGATTCATAAATAATAACACTCACTATACAGTTCCAAAACTTTAATTTAATTCAACTAAACGAATGCCATTTAATTATAGTAAATTCCTTTGACGAAACAAACATATAAATTATAACCTTAAATGCTGTTGTTACAGCATATTATATTATCACATTTGAGAAAAGGTAATAAATGTTTATTTTGAATAAATAGTAACGCAGAATACAGTGAAACTAATTTTATTTTACTATAATTAAATATAACAAGATAGATTCCATGATGATATACCGAGTGTTGAATCGTCGAGCGGGACATAGGAAATCCCATGTAAATTTTAATGGGGTCAATTATTGACTTCCCTAATTATTTTAGAGAATAATTCTATTTAGGTTTATTGAAGATCACTAAAACTCACATTCAAAAGAATAACTTTAGATATTTTTGATTAGCCCGTTTACGAGCTATCGCCGATTTCTTTTTAAATATTTCTCCTTTCTTATGGCCCTGTATTTACTTATGAGCACCAGTCAAGGTAAAAGATAACTGTCAAATGAAGTTGTCATTTCAGAAATTTATCTATTTAGTGCTTTTTATTATTATTATTATTAAAAACTCATACCTACATCGAAAATATTAGCCATGAATTACACTATCGAAGAAAAAGTATTAATGATTAAATGGTTACAGTTGAGGGTTGGAACCTTTGGTGTTAAACAGCAAAATAAAAACACTAAATCACCACAATACACCAAAACACTTTTACTTTTACACTGGACGCGCGTTTCGCTAACCATGTTAGCATCATCAGCAGATGATTATAAACTAAAGTACAATCTACAAGTTGAGCGTTTATATACTCGCCCAGTGGGCACCGAGTGGGCGTGGCAAAACTAGCCAACCGAGTCAGAGCCAACTGAGCGTAACAGTTAGATTTATAGTAGGAACAAAGAACTTGAAGGAATTGGACCGTTGTCTCTGTTCATACTATCTTTACATTTATTAATTCTGATGCTTTCATATGCATCTAATTGCCTGTAATTTGAGACTTGTTTAATTAATTTTAAATTATTATGATCTATACAATGTTCTTTATCAACAATATGTTCGGCAACGCAAGATTTATCCGGTCTACCATATCTTATCTGAGCTAAATGTTCTTTAAATCTAGTTAATATTGATCTTCTAGTTTGCCCAACATATTTCTGATTACAATAATGGCGGAAATCTAACTGTTACGCTCAGTTGGCTCTGACTCGGTTGGCTAGTTTTTGCCACGCCCACTCGGTGCCCACTGCGCGAGTATATAAACGCTCAACTTGTAGATTGTACTTTAGTTTATAATCATCTGCTGATGATGCTAACATGGTTAGCGAAACGCGCGTCCAGTGTAAAAGTAAAAGTGTTTTGGTGTATTGTGGTGATTTAGTGTTTTTATTTTGCTGATTAAATGGTATTATCAAGGAAATAGTTATCAAAAGGTGTCGGACATGTTTGCTGCTCTGTATCCGAATAGACCGATACCTGGAAAATCTACAATCGCCAGGTACAATCTACAAGGAATATTCAGAGATTTGAGACCAAAGGTACCCTAATAAATAGCTGCAGATGTGAAGCAAGGCAGGAACAAAGAGAAGATGCAAGAAATGATACCGACTTGGAAGTTTTATTGTGCGTGGAAGAGAACGATGGAAAGATCAGCACAAGGAAACTTGAGGATGAAATAGGAATAGATCACGCTACAGTACGTCTGCTCGATCTGTGTCTATGAAAGGAATGCGGACAAAAAACATTTAAATCAACAGCAATATATGTTATACGTCGACTTGACGAGTACGTTACCGCAAATCGCTCCGCCCACTCATTTTATTGGCTACTTGCAAATTTGTCGAATTTTTATTGATTGGACGCGTCGTCTAATTTTTTACGAAAAACATCGGGAGAATATCGTTTCCCCTCTCACGGATACCCCGTAGCTACAGAACGGACAGACGTACTGTACAGCGTTTTGAATTTTAAATTATATACACGTTATCTATAAATATTATTGTAATTGGGTGGTAACCTTATTCCTTATCTCATGTTTACATTGTCTATATTTTTGCTGTCTGCTGCGTATTGTACTTCATAACAATTGCATAAAATTTGATCGACTCCATGTTTAATAAGATTATTTCCTATTAATGATACCAGGGTAGCAATAAAAGATTGTCAATTAATTGAATTCTAATAGTGTTAGATTGTATTAAAATAAAATAATTCCATATTTTTTTTATTATTAATGTGTATAGGATAAAACTATTATTAAATGTTCTTTTCCTTAATTTATTATCTACAATATATAATAATTAATCTGGTTATTCTATCACGGAAATAATACCGAGAACGTACGTTAAATTATGATTAATTATTGTGGAAATGGTTGTAAGTTAATTTTTAATAGTTTCAAATAAATATGTTTTGACAATGTAACAATTTTCAATAATCATTATAGGAAAATGAATTTTTATCAACCCCTTGTATAATATTTGGTAAATTGATTAAACGAAAAAGCCTGGTATTTTTTAAAAACTGTCTTCTTAAATTTCTCATACTTATTAATTCACAATAATGTATAATGTATATTATCGGAAAAAAAAACGGCGTCAAAGACGGCTGGGGAATGACAGTCGGTGATAATTTTTGCGAGGTCAATCCCTAGATGTTATTTAATAAAAATTGACGTAAAACTTGCAGTAAGCGCCATTATGGGCTAAAAATAAAGAAGAATACGTGCCAAGTAACGACGTCTAGGGCTTGACCTCGCTAAAATTATCATCGATTGTCATTTCCCAGCCGTCTTTGACGCCGGTTTTTTTTTCGATTTTTTTTATTTCTTTTCCAAAGTACTTTTCTAACGACCACGGTACTTTATCTATCGATAAACAATTTTCTTCATACAACGCCGGCTCAAAGTACTACGGGTACCACTACGTACATATATCGATTGCATAACCAGATTTAACGCGAATTTAGTCTAATTCTCGATTCTGAATGGAGATTAACGCTAACCGGTGCATTCCTCTCTGTTACAGCTAACCTACAAGATGAAAACAAGGCCCTGAAGAACGAGTACTGCCGTTTAGCTTCTTGTGCCGACGACATAGAAGCTCAGGAACAAAGATTGTTGCAGGATTTGACAGGACAACTGAGTAAGTACCTGTGCTCTAACTTTAAGATAGATTAAGAATGTTTTTGCTCCAGAGAAATAAGTGAAATTAGAGGTGTTTTATGTATTTGTTGATATAGAATCTCAAAGAAATATATACAGTAAAGAGCTAAATAATCTAGGCTTTTAATTAAATAAAAAAAACATGAAAATATGATTGGATTTTTTATGTCACAATTTTCGATAACTATTATCACTCTTTAACAGCCGTCTTTGACGCGTTTTTTTTCGATCGTGTGGTAGTATCACAGTAGTATTACCAGTTAATGTTTAAAACTAGTATATGTTGTATACAGGGTTATTATAAATTAAGAGAAACATTACTATTGGTAACATTACATTATTACTTTCATTTAAATCCCGAATAACTTATGAAAAGGAATACAAAAATTTTCAAAAATGGAAGCAATTTAAAAACGTGCGAGAAGAAATAAAGTTTTTAACTTATCCTCGCTGTTAAAATATTATTTAATCTACCCTTGTGGTTAAAGTACTATTTTATCTACTATTTTTGACAGATTATTTTGACAGACAGGCATTACAGTTGAGGGTTGGAATCTTTGGTGTTACACAGCAAAATAAAAACACTAAATCACCACAATACACCAAAACACTTTTACTTTTACACTGGACGCGCGTTTCGCTAACCATGTTAGCATCATCAGCAGATGATTATAAACTAAAGTACAATCTACAAGTTGAGCGTTTATATACTCGCTCAGTGGGCCCCGAGTGGGCGTGGCAAATCTAGCCAACCGAGTCAGAGACAACTGAGCGTAACAGTTAGATTTCCGCCACTAGAGTAGTAGGAACAAAGAACTTGAAGGAATTGGACCGTTGACTCTGTTCATACTATCTTTACATTTATTAATTCTGATGCTTTCATATGCATCTAGTTGCCTGTAATTTGAGACTTGCTTAATTAATTTTAAATTATTAAGATCTATACAATGTTCATTATCAACAATATGTTCAGCAAGGCAAGATTTATCCGGTCTACCATATCTTATCTGAGCTAAATGTTCTTTAAATCTAGTTAATATTGATCTTCTAGTTTACCTAACATATTTCTGATTACAATCTTTACAAGAAATTTCATAAATACCCGACCTTTCCAGTGGAGGTGTTTTACCTTTTGGATTACCTAATAATTGTTGTAATTTATTATTAGCACTATACACAAGTTTATAATTGACATTCTTAAAAATTCCTTTTAGACCACGGGATAACTCTCTATGAAACGGTATCGAATAAACAGCGTAATAGAGAGATATCGCTAAACCGAATAGCGTGCATGGACGTTAATAAGGCCAGGTGTTATTTCCTTTACGTGAGGTGGTATTAACTCTCTTCATTTATAGTTATCGGATCGGAAAGAATTCTGTTCGCGTCGCGTCCGCTATTTAAACTTAACCTAACTTTGAAATTGTTTTGTCTACTAGGTATTTTAAAATTAAAGGGCTAAAGTGCTTATTTCGAGTGCTTTATTGTTCAACGTCTGCCAGTGGGTTTAGGGCAACAAGCAACAAATTCTCTTAGAAGGGCTAAGTCGTCATCTTTATAGGTTCTTTAATATTGGAAGAGGTGGAATCAATATTTTGGGCCATATTTATTTAATTAAAACTAACTCCAGCTACTTAAATATCAAATTACCTAATAAAACTAAAGTAATAATTCAAAACAATTCAAACATAACCTAAAATAAAAGATCTCGCCGGCCGGCCTCGGTTGTCAAATACCCGCACATGCCCATTTAAGCAATTTTTAAACGTTATTTAGAAATAGCGCTTGGTGGAATTGATCCGCAAATTACGTCAGGCGGTAACGTTATTAGCGGGTGTTGCGGTAAAAATTGACTCGCGCATATCGTAACCATGATAAGGTACGCGTAAATACTGCATGACGCTATTCGGTTTTCCGATATCTCTCTAATAACTGTGCCGGTCAGGCGCTGTGCACAATTTTAGAGGCCATAAGAGGGCGTGCTATGTGCGCAAACTAGTAACCTAACTAGTGCCCGATTCCGAAAATTGGAACCACGAAAAACAATAAAGAAAAAACAAAGTTTACACATTTTTTTTGTTTTTTACCACCATGAAGAAGTCTTTTTTTACTAATGTTTTTTTTTATTATTAAGTATTTATAAATTATAATTTGTAGAATACTTATATGAATACAAAAAACAACCTTTAACTTTATGCGTGATACAAACTACGGCTATAAATCTAAAATACCAGTTTCTGTGACAGTTTAATATAAATATACCAGTAGTTTTAGCTAATTGCATGTATTTCCGTTAATTGATCAGTTATAGAGAAAATTATCTCCCATTAAATATTCATTTCATTAACTTAAACTATCTTGTAGTAAATTACAGTAGTAATCATATCAGCTATTGTTATGTTTATTAAACGATAGATACACATATTTATAATAATAGTTAATTTTAATAATAACCCAAACTCAAGATTACCTATTAATTTTTTGAGAAAACTATTTTTTTTTGCAAAATTTATATTTTTATTACAGCCTGTGCAAACTCCAGCATGGGATACTTAGCAGACGAATTGGACAGGGTGAAAGAAGAAAACAGGACACAACACGAACAGATTTTGGCTTTACAAGCGCAACTACAGGACACTGAGGACAAATTAACAAAGGTTAGTTACATATGAGTTAGAGATAGTTGCCGATAGATCTATTGTGTCTTCCTTTCTTGAGTTAGAATTCATCATACAGTCTCAGGGCTTTGATAAAAGCCAGTATCTGAGACGGTTTTACAGAGGTTAGTTCTCCTTTCAAAGTGGTACATTGTGGGTATGTCATCCACTGGGAGTTGAAGGATTCGAATTTTCCTTTTGAGGATATTCCAAGGTTTAAAATGATTGAAGTAGTGATTATAAATATCCATATTTGGTGACTAAAGCTTAATTTTCATGCATCCGTTGTCCGACAATACGAAGATACGATATTAATTTTATCGGTTGACTTTAAAGACTTCAAGTGGTCCGAAAATTACGCAGTTTTTTAAATTTATTGCATTTTCATGCCTCCGTTCATCGGATATACGATTTCCCTGTGATTAGTATGATTTTATATTTTCATTTCCATAACGATTTCGCTGTTTTACTTATAGCCTAAGAGCTAACAACGTTTTCGAGAGAGAATTTTAAGAAAGCTGGTTCTCTAATATATCTTTTGCTATGCTCTCCTGAACAGAGTGCGGAACACGCATATTCTCCCGTGATCGGATAGTGAGGCCAAAATTCGATCGGCGGCCATACTTTGGTGACAAGATTTCGAGGTGACACCGAGCGAATTTTTATGTTTTTTGTGACAACTGTTTTGTTTTAAATTTATAAACTGTGTTGTTTAGTATGGTGAAATGTTCAGCGTATGGCTGCAAAGGCCGAAGCGAGAAAAAAGTGGCTGGAATTACATTTCACAGGTAAAAATCGATACACAACTTTTGTTATGTGGTCATAAAATGTACATTTTTTCATTATAGCAGTAAAAATATGTAAAATGCTTTTAATATGTCTTGTACCACAACCAAACCAAACTATTTTTAATAATTCCAAGTAATATTTTCAGTATCCTGTAATTTAATAAATGTTTGAAACTATAAATATTGCTACTCAGACCGGATTTCACCAGTGGCGTAGGGAATTATAATCAGGGAAATACAATTTCTGCAATAAACATTTTTTATATATTTTACATATAAAAATGTATAAAGTATTGTTATCAAATATGTAAAATAATTGTAAACTATAAAAAATTAAAAATTCTAGTGATAAAAAATCTATATGTATAGTTATATAAAACTTAAATTTACCTGCCAAGATTTGTTGGGGGTGGACAAACTTGTGGTGGGCTACTTGTTACTACATACATATATTTTTTTAAATATTCTTTCAAAGAATTTGCTAATTTAAGTGTATAATAATAGTTTCAGTGAGTAATTAATAAAAATTTAAAAATAAATAAAATAACACAAAGCTTTTAGAATTGGATTATTTTTTTGTGAATAAATTCGGATATTCTTAAAAATGGATATTCTTATGATTGAAGGTAACAAATATTAAAAATTACATTATTCATTGAATCCGTACGCAAGTGTGAAGGGTAATGGCTAGATTCATTATTATACCGTATGGTCGAAAAAAAAACGACGTTCAGTTGGCTTGTAAAGACGATCGACGACATTCCCCATATAATTTTACATATAAAATGACAGCGATCTTCATTTCATAGCCATTGCTGACGCCGTCTTTTTTCGATGTCGTTTTGTATAGTTTTTATGTAATTTTATATGTAGAATTATATGGGGAATGTCATCGATCGTAATTTACAAGCCAACTGGACGTCGTTTTTTTTTCGATTAAACGGTATAATAATGAATCTAGCCAATTCTCTTCACACTTGCTTATGGATTCAATATTCAATGAATAATGTAATTTTTAATATTCATTTCTGAAATTGTCAATTCCAAACAAACAAGACGCCGTTTTTTTCGATCATACAGTATATATGTATATACACGTTTAAAATATATGTTATTACATTATTTTTTATTTAATTATACATTATACACACGTTAATAAATAAATAATTGTCTTGATAATCAGTCCACTGTGACTGTTAAATAAATTTTGCATTATCGACTTAGATATTCTAATATTATAAAGGTGAGACTATAAAATACAAAATTGTATATGCATTACTCAAAAATGAACGATATATTAGTTTACGTTTTAATAAATATTTTGTACCGTCTAGGTACAAGCTAATTTGTGATGCTACGCCATTGGAGAATTTCGCGTGGTGACAACTTGCCTCACTTTCAGCTGCTGTGTTACCTGTCCCCTCTCTTTCCTTGTCTAAGGTGCGGACCGTCTGGCTGTCGGTAGACGTTGCATTCACTACTGCGCATCATAACTGTATTCAACATCTGTTCACTACTGCGCATCACAAATTCGCCCTGTATTTTAGGAACTCAGGAGACTAGGACAAACCTATGCGTAGCATATTTGGTTTCATAAAAAAGTAGCAAAGTAATGTGAAAATCGTATCGTTATATCTCAATTCATAAACGGAAAATCACATAAAACACACGAAAATGGAATACCCTGTACAGATGTGATGCGCAGTAGTGAAGCGCAGTCGTCTACCGGCAGCCAGACGGCCCGCACTTTGGTCAGGAGAGCATAGCAAAAGATGTATTAAAAAACCAGCTTTCTTAAAATTCTCGTTTTTCCAACGTTGCTAGCTCTTGTACTATTATGTTTTTTTAAGGTTAAATTAATTTTGTCAAAAAAACGCATAAAAATCAAGCTTAATAGATATATTATTATCAATTGACAGTAGAAAAAATCCTATGATAAATTTAATTTTTCTTTGATTTTTTTTAAATATAAATAATACTGGAACGCCTCATTTAAAAATCTCTTTTTTCACGCACATTTTACAAAAATATCGGTTTATTCTTTCCAGATTTTAACGGAAAATATCGAAGTCAACGGCCTCCTTCAAATAACCAAGGAAAACCAGGGCAGTCTAGCGGTGGAACTGTCCGAATTCAAAGCAAGATATTACGAGGTGGAAGCCTTGCTCAGAGATGCGCAGGACCAGATCAGGAAGCTGCGCAAAAAGCAAATGCCCGGCGCCAGACTTAGCCTGTTTTCTTCGCTCGGCGCCACTGGGATCGGACAGTTTGACAGTCTCCAGAGCGAGTTGGAGATGTCGATGCATTCGGAGGGTAGTCTGGATTCTGGCATATCCAATTCTACCGATCTGTAAGTAATAATTAATCGTTTGAATTATTTTCCCCAGGACCATCTTGGCTTCAAATTGTCTCCGTAAAGACACATCTACATACTAACATGGTCTAAGAAAAAAATATTTTTTTAGACCATTTTAATAGCTAGATATGATATACAGAGTGTAAATAAAAAGTACCTGATGAGTAGTTCATACCTAAAGTAACCTGATTAAGCTTGACCGGCACAGCGTTGTCCACTTTTATATATTTTCTTTTAATCAAAGTATTTTAGGGAACAAAAATAAATTAATTATAAATATATAAACAGTTATTATGTACATCAACAAAACTCACCTTTTAACAGCATAAAAGCCCATTATTACCGCTTTTCCATTCAATCTATTCTAATAAAGTTGCGATGAGTTTTTTACGGCTATTAAGTTATCTTGTACACTTCGCACTGAAAGAGGTTCTAAAAAGAACAATGTTCGACTGCAAGGTCTGCTATAGTCTGTGAAACGAATAACTTTGAATTTGACAGTTCCCGCGGGCTTTTCTAGTGTTAATTTTATTCGGTTAGCAACTTGCAGTCATGCTGACGCAATGCCGTCTCTAATAGAACAGCCACGGAGCGAGATTTATGACGTCACGCTAGTTAGATACTACAGATTCATAAATATGTTGTAGAATACATGGAAAACATAATTATTCCTCGTATTTTTCGTTTGTATTTTAAAAATGATATACATAGGTTACATGAAATATACATAATATACAGTTAATAAATACAATATATATATATATATATATATATATATAATATATATATATATATATATATATATATATATATATATATATATATATATATATATATATATATATATATATATATATATATATATATATATATATATACCTATTTATAGTAATAAATACTTTGGCAAATAAACTATGAACCATACAAATGCAGCAAATGTTTTACAATATACAAATAATGAATAGGTACATAAGATAATGGGTAAAATGTAAAATATATTTAAAATTTTGGGGTTTGAAAATCGATCTAATTTAACAAAAAAACATTCAATATCTACTAATAGTGATGTATTATTATTTGCATTCGCAAAATTTATATGTATATTTTGCAAGTATCAATGTTCGAAAAATTATATTTGCAAATAATACAATATCATAGAAAAAAAGGCGTCAGCGATGGCTATGAAATAAAGATCGCTGTCATTTTATATGTAAAATTATTCTAAATTTTTTTATTTTCTTGGGATTTAGGTTCGGGAAAAACGCTGATTATTATTATAAAAACGCTGTTTTCGTTTGGTTTTTCATTATGTTTTTGGTTCAAAAAAACGTTTTAGTATAACCAAAAATACGAGGAATAATTATGTTTTCCATGTATTCTACAACAAATTTATTAATCCGTAGTATCTAACTAGCGTGACGTCATAAATCTGGCTCCGAGGCTGTTCTATTAGAGACGGCATTGGTCTAAAAATCACGCCCTCGATTACGTAACTAAAAGTTTAATTGATATGAAATATATTAGACCATTCTAAGAACTAAATATCTAATGGGATTACTGATGATTTAATTATTTTATTTACAGGCCTCAATTCAAAAAAGTATTCGAAACTGTCAGATGTGCTTCCCAAAATTCGCTCAGCAGCACGGAAAGCCTGGGCAGTCTGCATTCTTCCATGGGAGGTTACGTTAGCAGTTCCAGTGGTCAACAGGGTGGACCCAGGATGACCGTGAGGTAGTACCAACATAAAAAATCCGAAAAAAATGGTTTAAATGTTTCGAATTGTAGGTCGCAGGGTGGTATGGGTTACAGAAGATCGTCATCCTCGATTTACAGCAGTAGTTCCTTAGGATATCCCAGCATTGACTCTACCGGTCAGTCAGATAACGATTCTATGCCGACTACGGACTCTGAAGAAGGATACCCGTAAGTAGAGAAACGTTTAAGAGTAGAGAGTTTTTAAGCGCCTAATAATCATATACGATTTCTCTTTTTTTTGCCTTGAAATTGACACTAAAGCCTATAAACCTGACTAAATTAAAATTTGGCAAAAATGTTTAAATTTGTTGTTTAAAGCGATTTTTATTATCTCCATGTTGGTAACATTGCGCCGCGATCTGCAACGTTGTTGTTTATTATTTGACAATTATCATAATGTCAGTCATTATTTTGTATAATATTGTTGAATCTTTCGTAGTAATTCTTGTTTTTTGCCGATTTTCAGTCTTTTTTTAAAATTGTAACGTTTTTTATAAACATTACCACTGCGAACGGCAGCTTTTCATCGGAGAGCAGTCGTGGGTAAGGTATTTCACTAGAGAGAAAACTAATCAATAACTATAAACAAAAAAATATAGATATTGAGCACCAGGCATGTACAGAGAAAGAAAACACAGTTGTATATTACTTAAAACTAATGACTATATTTATTCAAGATGGACTGTGATGGTAAATAGCATTGTACAATTTTAATAATTATTATAGTGGTTATATGTCAACGAAAGTGGTGTTGAGAAGTGGTGTGACAGACCTGAGTATCAAGAACCGCCACAGCCAGAAATAAACATTGAAGGAGAGGAAATCTACGTGGATACCAACAAAATAAAGACCGCTATAATGTCTTTAAAGAATAGAAGAGCATGTGGCCCAGAGGGAGTATATGCGGAACTCATAAAATCTGGAAGCAAAAAACTGTTTAGCATGTTAACAAACATAGTTAACCAATGTTTAAATTGTCATCCAGTACCTGAACAGTGGAAAAAAGCATATATCTCCTCTATATATAAAAAGAAGAAGGCGGAACTCAAGAACTTGGAAGATTCCATCCGCAACCTGGAATGGAAATCTTGCAATGGTCTAAGACACTCGAAGAAGTTTCTGAGGGCTTATGATCAAGAAAAATCACAGATCTTCCTGGGTCTGAGTAAGAACAATCTTCGGATTGTCACGGGGTTTTTAACAGGACACTGTCTCCTCAATGAACACCTCAGTAGATTGAAACTAAGAAGAAACGGCGAATGCAGATTCTGTGGGGAAGATTGTGAAACACCAGTACACCTCATCACTGAGTGCGCCGAGACGATAACCATTCGTGCCATGAATTTTGGTATGACTGATATTGGAGATGGAGAACTACCCTCTATAAAACCGTCCCAGATACTGGCTTTTGTCAAAGCCCTGGGACTGTATGATGAGTTATGATTCAAGAAAGGGGGACACAATGGATCTGTAAGGTCGAAGTGATTAACCCCCCTCCCACTCATTCTAAATTCTAATATATAAAAAGGGCACAAGGAAGGATCCCAATAACTACAGGGGAATTTCGGTCACCAGCACTATGAGTCGCCTCTATGGAAGGATACTGAGGAACTTAATTGAAGAGGAATACTCCAGCTACGAAGAAGAAGAGCAGAATGGTTTCAGAAGCGGAAGATCATGTACAGATAATATCTTTGCATTGAAACAGATCATCGAGAAGAAATTTGCAATGAACCAGGAAGTTCATATAACATTCATCGATCTACAAAAAGCATATGATACAGTGCCAATAATAAAATTATGGGAAGTGTTGCACGAATCAAGAATTAACGCAGCTCTGATAAAAGCTGTACAAAATCTTTACCATGGAGGAAAATCACAAATAAAAACGGTCAACGGTCTCTCAGAGGAAATTTCTATCACTAAAGGGCTCCGACAGGGTTGCTAAACTATTTAAAATTTATATTGCCAAGGCCTTACATCTATGGAAAAGGAAATGTAACGGAATGGGTATAGAACTAAATGACATATGCCTATACACCTTGCAATTTGCAGACGACCAGGCCACAAACGACAAAGATGACATGGAATATATGGTGCGGAAAATAATTGAAGAATATGCTAAATGGGGTCTCACAGTAAATACAGAAAAAACAAAATACCTTCCAATTGGAGCTAATACAGAAAATCTTATTTTAGGCAATAGTATGGAAATTAGGGCATGTGAAGATTACAGGTACCTGGGATCGATATTTACAGGAGATGGAACGGGCGATAGAGAAATAAACAACAGAGTAATACAGGCACGAAGAGTTATCAGATGCATAAATGGCATTCTATGGAGCACTGAAATTACAAAAAAACAGGAAATATAATATATACGAGACACTAGTTAAAAGCATATTACTCTATGGATGTGAAACATGGCGACTCACTGAAAGGAATAAAAGGAAATTAGAGACAACAGAAATGGACGCGATTAGAAGAGCAATGAGAATTTCACGGAGGGATAAGATCAGAAATGAAGACATTAGACAACAGATGGGAATAGAGGGAACAATAGTAAATGATATAGAACAAAAGCAATTAATATGGGTACGGCCACGTTCAGAGAATGCACAATGAAAGAATTCCAAACAAGTCATTCATTGGATACCACCTGGTAAACGAAAGAGAGGACGTCCCAAGAAAACATGGATGGAAGGAATAAGAAGGTCGATGAGCGAGAAAAATCTGACCGAAGATCAATGGGAAAATCGCACAGGGTGGAAGTTAGGCATCGGACAACGTCGTAGGACGTTCTGACCCGAATTTATATATATTTAACAATATACCTTTTATTTTCAGTGGTCCTCCACGTAAGGGAATACCAGGCGTTCCCGGAGCTACAGAGCTAGAAGCGGCCCTGCAAAGGCTCACCCCAGGCGCGGTCTTGGCCAGGAGAGCCAACCTCCAAACTGGCGCAGGCTATGGGGGATACGAGGGCGAGAACTATTTACCTTTCGGTTGTCGCACGCCTGATAGTCTTATGTCAACGGGATCGGGCAGTAACTACTATGGAAGCACGTGGAAATTGCCTGAGAAGCTGCAAATCGTCAAGCCAATGGAAGGGTCGCAGACGTTGCACCACTGGTCGCAGTTGGCTCAGCCTACGTTTGGTGGATTACTGGAAGAAAGACCGGGAGTGAAAATAAGGTAAATTTTAATAAAAGTAACTGGTTGAATGATTTGGAATGATTGGGACTAATCAATTTGATGGTTGTTTTGATTTGTTTATGTTTTTGTGTACTATACTAAGAGCTGGCAAAGGTTAGTTTTCGGTCGATATTTCTGAGATATACAATGCGTTTATAATGGACTGAAGAAAGAGAGAAGCAATAATTTTCCCTATAGCTTGTAAATTTTTAATTTCAAGTTAGAAACACTACTTGCGCTTTTGGTAAAAATAAGTGGAATTGAGTTGGTCTTCGACAGTGGTTGCGCTATTACAACTTTGAATTCAAAAATCGATATCTCGAAATCCATCCCAGAAGTAATTATCGATTGTAGTTTTTTTTTTTCAAAAACTCTCTTAATATTTTTGCTATATTTTCTTCGCAGACAGTTTGTGAAAATCTTTACAAACAAAAAAGTTAAAAAATAACACCCTAACGATATCCTTATAATTCCATTTCAGATGATCAGAGACATATCTAATGATTTTATCTAATTATATTTTTTGAAAAAAAAATCTTTTGAATATAAACGGTTTGCGATCGTGATTTTACTGTGCTTGATAGGGAAGCATTTATTGTATATTACTATTTGTTTCTTCTTTTTCCTTCAGAGGCGGCAAAGAACTGGAAGACATGGGCCTGGAATGTTACGGCCTCAGCGACCTGGAAGAGGACGAAGAATACTCCAACCCTGGCAAACTCTTCGATGCCTCCGCCCACACCTTTACTTACACCAATAGCACGGTGATGCACCCCGATGACGGCACCTTCGTCACACCCAGCAACAGAGGTAGCAGGGTTGTATCGGTCTGTAGCAGCATACAGAACTCTCCCCCTCAAACGCCGGCGGCTTTGAGCAGGAGGAACTCCTGTAGCACGTTCTCTACTACGCTAGGGTTGGCCAAAATGCTTAACGAGCGAGGTATGTGCTATTTGATGTCCTACAGATTACTCAGTATGTAGTTAGATCATAGTTTAAGGAAAAGAATAGTTGCACTCTTGCAAATATTTTCTGTCGGTTTTTGCAAGCTGGCAGGTTGCAAAGCGTTTCAGTTAAATTCGGTCCGTCGAGCTGTGAGGTTCGAGCGTTGCGTCCGAGCACAGGGACGGATTGACAAAAAATGAGTGCCTTACTGTGCGCTGCTATTAATTGTGGAAATAATTCCAAAAATTGTTCTTTGAGTCTTTTTAGATTTCCATCGGATGAAATCGGCAAGCTGATAGTAATTATCAGTTAACATTTAATTATATTTGTTTATTTTAGAACCTGAGATATTATGTAATTAATTAAATGTTATTATTTTTTTTAGCATATGTGCAGATTTTAAAAATAGTTTTTTAGATATACAGGTTGTCTCAAATATGCACATGAAAATATTTTTTGGTCAGGGGATTTTCCATAAAATTTTCATTTCAATAATAATTTACGAGGTAATTTATATAAATTGGTTTTTGAAACAATTTTAGAGTAAATATTTTGTACATCTAAAGTCTCCGCAAATTATTCATATTTTTTAATTGAAAGAATTTTATAATAGCATAATCTCTTATAAATTTAGTGGACTGTATTTTTTCATGTTTTTTTTATTTATTTTTTATTATAAGTGGTCATAATATATAACAATATTTTCAAAATATTATAGACAAAATATTGAGTTTATATTTGAGGGAAGAAAAGTGCCACACCTAGCTTTAAACCACCGTAAATATACAGGGTGGCCCATTAGTGCGAGGAAGTCCAATATTGTCGTCGTTGTCGAAGATGTGAAAAAAGTTTTATTCATATGTTTCAAGGTTTATAAAGAGGTGTATCCTAAAATATTTTGTTATATACAGGGTGTCACAAAAAAAGTTATGGTAAAGTTAGTTTGATTTTTTTTATTATTTTACATCATTCCATATACATTATTCTATATTGGGTATTTTTTTATGGCGTCACCAAAATCGCAATATTTAAAATGGTATATCTCAACTTTTTTAAATGCGACATTCTGTATATTATTTTTCTGTCAGATGCAGAATTAAAAAGTGAACATTTTTTTATTGATTTAAAGTGTTTCTAAATTTTTACCGCTGTCGCAGAGATTCGCAGTATTATATTACATATGGCTCTTTCAACAGTAATTTTTTTTCAAAGCCACCTAATATGATCTTTGTCTATCTTGTCTTGTCAAAAAATGTTCACCTTTTAATTCTACATCTGAAAGAAAAATAATATACAAGGTGTTGCATTTAAAAAAAATGAGATACAACATTTTTAAATATTACGATTTTGGTGACGCCATAAAAAATATCCTGTAGATGACGAAGTAAACTTTTCTACGCGAATTTATTCCGATACATTTCATTTCATGTTTAAGAAAACATATCAAAGTATTAATAAAGTTATATTCACTCTAGTTTTTTACCACTTTTCGTATATAATGTTTTTAACCAAAGTTTTAGTAAATAAGAAATAGATTGGCAACACCGCAGTGTGCTTTAAATAAAGACAGTGTACTATAGCATAATTTTATGCCGAATCCAGTTATCTACAGAGAATTTTAAACTTGCTTTAAATAAAAAAAAGTCGTAGAAAATCTCTGAAATACATAATAATATAAAAATATATCATTATATATTTTTTTCCGCATTTCTTCCCATCAGAAGATTTTCAGATACAGAATAATTGTTACCTACACGAAATGTGAAAATATTCTGTTTTCAAGCAAGTTTTTACTCGATGACCATTTTTTTTATTTTATTTTATTGTGAACTCATATTTTCCTAAAAACATATCTGTGAAACTATGGCGAGTGCCACGTCTATCCTTTGCCTAGTTAATAGACCACGACTATACAGCTACGTCGTCGGCTACGGAGGCGAGAACAAGGTCATATAAAGTGGCAGAAAAAGAACAAAGGATTTGACAAGGAGTAAAACTACTAGTTTCCTTATACTATGGTTAGATATTTTGTAATGACAAAATATACCGAGGTATCTAGCTGTGTATTGAATAGGCTGTAGTTGTGTGCTGTAAATATTACTAAATGTGCTTTAACGTAGCGGGCTTGTTGTCGCACTCTCTCACCTGATTCTTAAGCCATTGTTATTATACAACCAACAGACCACACGAATTGTTGGTTAGATTCAACATTTCTTCTTAAATAAATTTTAAGGAGCGTTAACATTATTAGGCATTTGCATAAAAGTGTATATTTTGGATGGTATAGTCTATAAAATGAATAACTTTGAATTTTGACCGTTATTTTTTACCAACATGGCATCTATAAAACCCCCCTTGTCAAAAAAGTTACTGATATTCTTTAAACTGAGTGCCTGAACGAATCAGATAGGTAACTCTTTTTACTTTCGTGAAATAAAAAAGGAAAATAATAAAACAAGTGACAGTTCTTCCTCTCCTTGCAAAAATCAACACGAAATGTCAAAATTGACAAAAGTAAAATGTCATCAGCTTTTGACATTTCTAAATATTAGATCAATGGCGTCTCTAATAGAACAGCCACGGAACGAGATTTATGACGTCACGCTAGTTAGATACTACGGATTAATAAATATGTTGTAGAATACATGGAAAACATAATTATTCCTCAGATTTTTGGTTTGTATTTTAAAAATGATATAGTTTAAATGAAATATACATAATATACAGTTAATAAATACAATATAATATATACCTATTTATAGTAATAAATACTTTGGCAAATAAACTATGAACCATACAAATGCAGCAAATGTTCTACAATATACAAATAATGAATAGGTGGTACATAAGATAATGGGTAAAATGTAAAATATATTTTAAATTTTGGGGTTTGAAAATCGATCTAATTTAACAAAAACATTCAATATCTACTAATAGTGATGTATTATTATTTGCAATCACAAAATTTATTTATATATTATAATGTTTACTGCAATTAATAAACTAATATAAACTTGTCAAAAAGATGACCACATATTTTTTTAAATTATTATTCTTAATACAAAAACTATCTACATTGACTATGGAGTACGATTTCAGCCATATTGTAAAACATTTGCTGCATTTGTATGGTTTATAGTTTATCTGCCAAAGTATTTATTACTATAAATAGGTATATATATATATTGTATTTATTAACTGTATATTATGTATATTTCATGTAAACTATATCAATTTTAAAATACAAACCAAAAATACGAGGAATAATTATGTTTTCCATGTATTCTACAACATATTTATTAATCCGTAGTATCTAACTAGCGTGACGTCATAAATCTCGCTCTGAGGCTGTTCTATTAGAGACGGCATTGCGTTAGCATGGCCGCAAGTTGCTAACCTAATAATATTAACACTAGAAAAGCCCGCGGGAACTGTCAAATTCAAAGTTATTCGTTTTACAGACTATATATCACAAAATTTGCAGGCTATTGAGGAAACAGAAAATGTACATTAATAATTCTGTTTTTAGTATTTGTTCTTATAGCGGCAACATAGATACATTATCTGTAAAAATTTCAACTGTCTAACTATAACGGTTCATAAGATAGATCTTTGTGACAGACTGACGGACGGACAGCGAAGTCTTCGAAAAACAGCCTTTTGAACGAAAGCCTTTTTCTATTTAAAAAAAAACATTATAGACCAAATATGTTTAAATCAGAGTTTTAAACATGTTGTCGACATGTGAATAAAATAAATTTAAAACAAAGATATTTTAAATACGTTTAAAACATTAGTTTAAAAAAATGTTAAAAAACTTAAACAATGTTAAAAAGGTCTCTCTTAACCATCTCTTTTTCTTATCCCCACTTCCAGGCATCAAAGCTGTCACCCCCTCGGCGCTGAGCACCCCCAGCGGCATCAACAGCTTCACTCCGACGGCCACGCCCCACAACAGTCCCGATCGCAGTCCGTGCAGCACGCGGGAAGGGTCCCCCGAGCCTCCGGATGTTTTTAGTCTGCCCCAGCTGCTGCTCAGCTCCATGCCCCAGTTCCTGAGGGACACTGTAGGCGGCGGTGGAGCCAGTAAAGCGGCCAAGAGACGAGCAAGGGCCGAAAAACAACGCGAGGTAAAAAAGGGCGACAAGCTGTGTTCGTTTTGTCAGAGGGTGGGAGTATTCGAGACGATTTTTGAGGTATAAGGGGTGTGTTTTGTTTAGAATATTGAGTAGTGGTCTGTGATAATCGTTTAAAAGTATATTTTTTATTTTTTTTAGAGAGGTATAAGTATAGTCTGTAAAACGAATAACTTTGAATTTGACAGTTCCCGCGGGCTTTTCTAGTGTTAATTTTATTAGGTTAGCAACTTGCGGCCATGCTGACGCAATGCCGTCTCTAATAGAACAGCCTAGGAACGAGATTTATGACGTCACACTAGTTAGATACTACAGATTAATAACTATGTTGTAGAATACATGGAAAACATAATTATTCCTCGATTTGTTGGTTTGTATTTTAAAAATTATATAGTTTACATGAAATATACATAATATACAGTTAATATTATATATATACCTATTTATATTAATAAATACTTTGGCAGATAAACTATGAACCATACAAATGCAGCAAATGTTTTACAATATGACTGAAATCGTACTCCATAGTTAATGTAGATAGTTTTTGTGTTAAGAATAATAATTTAAAAAAATATGTGGTCATCTTTTGACAAGTTTATATTAGTTTATTAATTGCAGTAAACATTATAATATATAAATAAATTTTGTGAATGCAAATAATAATACATCACTATTAGTAGATATTGAATGATTTTTGTTAAATTAGATCGATTTTCGAACCCCAAAATTTAAAATATATTTTACATTTTACCCATTATCTTATGTACCACCTATTCATTATTTGTATATTGAAAAAACATTTGCTGCATTTGTATGGTTCATGTTTATTAGCCAAAGTATTTATTACAATAAATAGGTATATATTATATTGTATTTATTAACTGTATATTATGTATATTTCATGTAAACTATATCATTTTTAAAATACAAACGAAAAATACGAGGAATAATTATGTTTCCATGTATTCTCCAACATATTTATTAATCCGTATTATCTAACTAGCATGACGTCATAAATCTCGCTCTGTGGCTGTTCTAATAGAGACGGCATTGGTCTAATATTTAGAAATGTCAAAAGCTGATGACATTTTACTTTTGTCAATTATGACATTTCGTGTTGATTTTTGCAAGAAGAGGAAGAATTGTCACTTGTTTTATTATTTTCCTTTTCTATTTCACGAAAGTAAAAAGAGTTACCTATCTGATTCGTTCATGCTAGTTCAGGCACTCAATTTAAAGAATATCAGTAACTTTTTTGATAGAGGGATTTTATATTTGCCATGTTGGGTAAAAAATAACGGTCAAAATTCAAAGTTATTCATTTTATAGACTATACTATAAAAACCGCTGGAGAATGGCAATCGATGACATTTACTAAAAAATTACATAAAACTTGTCAAGAATTAACACTAATTAATTATGGAAGAATTAATTTAAATTATAATTATTAATTTTAAACTACACCATTTAAAAATCATTTATACTCAATATAAAAATCAATTACAACCTTCTTAAGGCCAACGGGTGGTAAGCGCCATTAAAAGTATAGAGTACGGTCCAAAAAATGACGTCTAGGGCTTGACCTCGCCAAAATTATCATCGATTGTCATTTCTCGGCTGTCTTCGACGCCGTTTTTTTTTGATCGTATGGTACTAGTAGCTAGTTTTTTTAGGATTTTTGATTTAGAATATTAGGTAGATATGGTGATATATATTCAAAACCATACATACTTTTTTTTATTTTTTTATGGAATATACCCTGCTGGGTTATCCAAACTATGCGGTCTGGATTTTAATACGTATGACAGAGAATAATATAAATGACCAGTTGACAGACAGAGAGACAAAATCAAAAGCGGCATACGGTGTTGCCGGTTTTTTTACGTTTGTAGGAAAATGTGTGTAGAAAAATATAAACTCTTTTAAAAACTTTCATGTACACTACTGAAATGATGATAATATATCTAAACAAAATATAATCTATTACAACTGTAGTAAAATGGCTAACTAATAGTGAAAAATAAAGTTCCAACACTAAATGCAACATTTTTCGTAAGCGCCTACTTGTGTGGTTTGAAATTTTGATGCGAAATCCGGCAATCCTGCATAGAAGAAACGTGTCGACCCAATTTTTATCTCTTTTTAATACATTTGATTTTCTACTAAGCCTGTCTACATCATTGTCTTACACATTAAAATCAGTTTGGATGATCAAATCGGTATACCGGCTTATATACAGGTTTGGTCATTCTATATACATAGTCTCGTTGATCAAAACGAAAAAAAAAAAGATTAAGGAAGAATTATATCAACAAAATGTCAACTTTTTTCAGAAAAGAGTCAAACAGAATTTACAAAAATGTTTTTCAAAATGGTTACCATGACGCTTCTTCAGTCTTTGAACTATTTTAGATATGTAATGGTGGTCTGTGATACGATTATAGAGGGATATTTTAAAATATAAAACACGAAAAATACTGTCAAAAAGTTTGACAATCTCTAAACTTAATTTTCTACTTTAATTCTGTTCTTTTATCTTTTGTTTCTTTTTTTTGATCGTATTTTTTATCTTACGATAAAAAAAACGCCACAGTTGCCTTTGAAATAACACTCGATTTTCGTCATTTCGAAGGCTAATATGACACCGTTTTTTTTTCGATCATACAATTCAATATTTTTTCTTCTTAGTATTTTTCAAACATTCTTTTTATTAGTTATGCTGAAAAGTGGAACAGCAGAGGAATAAATCAATAGTAATACAATTTCTGTAAAAACAATATTAAAAAAAAATACCTACCTAAGATATTTTTATGAGTCAACTCATGGAGTTTAAGTAATAATTTTTAATAGTTAATTACATGTTATCAGTAGCTTTATTAAGTAAATGCTATTGTTCCACTTCAAACGTTCTCCAGTGTATACAAACAATCTTATTATTAACATTCCTTGTTTTATTTGTTTTTAAGTAACGATCACCTTTAGAGCGGAAACATTAATGTTTATACTCGATAATAACTTTCGTTTTGTACTTTTTTACGTAACAATAAACGCATAATTATTAACGATTCAATGTATTTTTCTTTATTTCCCAGCCTTTAATAATCAAGTAACAGTAATTTCATTATTAAATTTGTTAGAAGAAAAGTAAATAAATAAATTTATTAATAAAATTAAAATTGCTGGCTAAAGGTCAACAACTTTATGGAGATCTCGAACACGTCGATAGATTGTTTATTTTTGAATTCAGGCTGGCCAACTTAAACTACTTTAATATGAAAATTTCCTGTTTTATTCTTGATCCTTAAAATTAAAAAAGATTGTAAGGAATCAAACATTATTTTTATATTCGTAGTATTAAAGAAGAAAATAGCGTCATAGTAGCTATTTTGAAAGACCTTATTGTGTCAGTTTTCTTTGACTTTTCTCTTGATAAATTTGAATTTCACTCGGTTTTGTACAGAGTGTATAAATCTGGAAAGACATGATGTCCAGACTTGAATTTGAGTAAAAAATAGTGACTAATAAATAAAAAATTATTAATATTAATATTGCACTAATAATAGTGCTATTATTTTCAGAATTGTGTAGTCTAAAATTTTGTAAAGCTAGAAGCCTTCTTTGACGCCGTTTTTTCAGTTGTATGATATTAGTTTTAGTCATATTATTAATACAGCAACATATTAAAAATACACACACCGGAAAAATCTAGGGATATCATTTTATTAAAGTTAAAAATAAATGTTTTGAATAAACAACCACATATTTGTAGGCCGATTCTTTCTACTTCGATTGAAACGAAGTAGTCACACTAGTTATTTCTAAATTTGGGATATTTGCAGAAGTGTTTATGCATTTTTTGTTAAATGTATAAAAAGCACCTAGCATCAATTGTTCGAATTTAACCTGTACTGGCTATGTTCTTATGATAACTGGACAGAATTCATTCAAATAACTCTGTTTAGTATTAAACGACATTATGGGAGCGTAGACATCTTAACAGAGACGAAATGCTAAGGGCCATGGGTATGCACGAAGCTGGAATGCGCCAAATCGACGTAGCTAGAGCATTAAATACAACGTAATTAATGTTAAATTAAGTGTAATATCGCGATTAAGTGCACGCTACCGTGAAAGTGGTGATGTTGCTGAAAGGCACACAGGGCGACATCGCATTCCTACCCCTCAGCAAAATCATTTTTTACAATTAAATGCTCGACGCCGACCGACTCTTACAGCACCAGAGCTTAGTTTAATTTTCCAGGAAACACATAATGTAAACCGTTAGTCCTGACACTGTTCGCAGTAGATTAAGAGAGGTCAACTTAAGAAGCTGACGCCCCTGGAGAGCTCAATCCTTAACGAGAGGAAATCGAGAGGTACGATATTTGCGGGCTCAAGATCATGTTCAGTGGTCGAATGAACAATGGGCCAATGTTCTCTTCACGGATGAGTCACGCTTTGGAATTCATCCGGATTCGAGAAGGCTTAGGGTATGGAGAGAACCGGGAAATCTTATTCGGTTGGATCATGTTCAGGCAGTGCACCCTTATCAAGGTGGAACAGTTATGGTCTGGGGAGGAGTCCAGTTAGGCCGAAAAACCGACCTCGTTTTTCTTGAAGGGTTTCTAACAGGAATCACATATCGTGATTTAATTCTTGAGCCTGTCGTGTTACCATATGTCAATGATTTTGGGAGAAACTTCATTCTCATGCATGACAATGCACGGCCTCATACAGCCAGAGTTGTAAGTGTGTTTATCAATGCTCATCAATTAAACATCTTACCCTGGCCGGCACAATCTCCTGACCTCAACTCCATCGAGCACGTATGGGACGCGGTCCAAAGAAGAATTTTGAGAATGGGTATGCCTCGTGAAACTCGTAGGGATCTGATTCGGGCCGTGAATGCAGCGTGGCAGGCTGTACCTCAAGAAGAGATCGACAACCTGATCAGGAGCATGGAGAGACGATGTAGGGCTATAATGAACAGTAGAGGAGGCTATACCCTTTATTAAGTAAAAATGGTTTTTATCTTTTTTTTTTAATTCACAGTTTAGAATTTAAAAAAATGTGTGTATTTTTTTGAGTCCAATAAAAATCAAGGTAAATTTGAAAAATTCGGTAAATTTCGCATTTTTATTTCCAATACGTCCTGTAAACTACTTGTTTATTTTAATTTTATTATATCAGAAATGCAAATAATAAAATTACTGACGATGGCTGGATAAAATTGTAATATCCCTAGACTTTTCCGGTGTGTGTATATTTGTTACTATATTGTATTGGAATTTTCTACCGCATTAAAACATGTCCTGCCACTGAGGTTTTCGACCATAAAGGGCTTTTAAAAACATTTTTATCCTTAGAGTCGTAAACGATCCATGAATATTTTCAGAAACTATAAAGTTTTACTATTATCAGTCTATTCAAACGATGTACCTTCCAAACTTTAGTGCCCTTTTCCCCGAAACATTCTCGCCACTTTGAACATTAATTTTCAAAATTCTAAAATTGTAAGGTACGCCCCTGGCTATTTGTAGTTTAAGAAACTGAAAAATCGGCCAAAAAGGCAGTTCCTAGTATCCACTAGACAGTTCACAGTCGGCAGTTCGTTTTATACAGTCTCTGTCATTTGACTTTAATTTTCCCTTTTAACATTTTTAATTGTCAAAGTTTTTACTCTTAATTAAAAATAAAGTGTATGTCAATATCAAAACGACACTTTAACGTATTAAAAATTCGTACGCCACTGGAGAACCGGAACTTTAGTCAGCCATATCTGTTCTGAATTGTGTGTTCGCGAATTAGTGTTTTTTTTGCCTTGTTTGATATATTCCTTCCGTAATCTTTCTATTCATATATTTTTTTTATTTTAAGTTTTGGTACTTTGTATTTTTTTTTATTAGGAAGAGTAGTTTAAAATATTTATATCTGCTTTTTCTTACAGAGTTTGGTGGGTAAAATCGAGAAAATCGGAATAGGCAACCTGATGGCGGGTACAGGAGGGGCACTATCCATCCCTGGAGGAATGTACGCTAGACCAGCCCTGACCAGTCCTATGACGCAACTAACGTGTCTACTACCTAGTCACAGTAGCGAAAATTTGACGAGTATTAGCGAAAAACCAGCACCCAGCATCGAAAAACTGACATCACCAGGTAAGATTCAGATATTTACTTACCGTATTATAAATACAAATAATTATGCACCAAATAAACATTTTATTGAACTTCTTATACAATAAACACTTATTAAACACAAATTATTACTTAATATCCTCTAAATCTTGTTTGGATTGCGTAGAAGTTTCTTTTAAATCCGGCTCAATAAACTCACTAGAATCTATTTCCATTAAAGCCGCAAGATCGTCACTAGATTCATTGTTAACTTCTTCTTTTTTCACTGTCTCTTCTTTTATCTCTTCTTCTTTTTTAGGTTCTGTATTATTCTCTTTTTCAACTTTATCACTTTTTACTTCTGCATCTTCAGTTTTCGAAGCCACAGCCAAAGGAGGGATATTTTTAATTTCCTGAATTGGAGTTATACGCGCCATTGTGATGTTCTTTCCTAAAAACTTCCCTTTGAAAGGTAGTACCTTGATACCACCTCCTTTCGAGCTGAACCGGTGGTTCAGTATCTGAAATTGAGACACTGGAATGATTTTTTTGCCTGTAACGTGTATGGATGACGAAGAAAGTGTCTTGGAAGGAATTATTTTGAATTTATCCAAGTTCAGTTTGGTTACTTTTGCTATAGGTACTGAAAGGGTCTTGTGTATGGTACCGTTGCTTCCTGTAGCGGATGTGATGTGATTATTAGGTACCAACATCAGTTTTTGGCCTTTTCCAAGGATTTTCTTTGGTCTTACCGGTTCGTAGGTTGAATTTATTTGAGGAAGCTGTTCAGAGTTGTCTTTTTCGGTGAATTCTTGGTCGTTTTCGTCTTCCTCCATTACAGTTTCCTTTAATTCGTTTTCAGTAGGTGTCCTGGGAAGGTTACTAGTTACAATAGGTCTCAAAGTTTGTGGGGAGATTCTCTGTAACATTGGAAGTGCTCTACGACCTTCGTGGTACCACTCTTCAGCAGACATACTTGCTCCATTCATTTGAACAGCTATTTTGTGTAATCTATCATCGTTTGATGCTCTACGTATCTCAGTTTTGTGTCGTTCGGGGGATATATACAAAACTTTACATGCTTCTTTCAAAAGTCTCTTTTTTTCATTAGTTAGGGGTCCCTGGGCTCTCAGAACTGAGACCAACATAGCGAAAGCCTCCGTCTCCATTTGTCGTAAGTTTCTACCATACTCTTCGACCAAAAGCGACATTTTTTTATAACATATGACAGCTGTCGTTGAATGTCAAGATAAATAAAACATACTTTTCTTTGTTGCAGTTACCAAACCAACCACGAACTTGGGAATACCTGGCAAACCTGGTAGCGGTACCTTGAATCGTAGATTGGATCAGCTGAACGCGAGGAAACAGAGAAGGCAAGGTGGTACGGGTCAGACTAGGCCTGATTTGGGTACCGTCTCGACTAGACAGACTCCGGAACGCGAAACCAAGCCAGCTCAACCGCAGCAACAACATACTTCAACGTTGGGTACGTTGAGTAGTCTGCTGTTTGGAAGAAAAGGAGGATTGTTTTAAGAGAAAAAAAGTAAACCTTTGGGTTGTGATAAAAAATAATGTCCTATTGAAGCCAACTAGTCACACAAAGTACGGGATTTAGAACAAAACTTACAACTCCTTCTTCTACTAGAAAAATTATTAGAAGACATGCTTGAAGTTGTAACTTGTATATGTCCGTATTTTTGGGACGTTTGAAGTACTTCTAGTCTTATAAAAGAAATGCAAGAGTTCCATTGCTAAGTATGGTTACACAGAAAACTGTTATGAAAGTTATTCAAAAGTTGTTAAAAAATTCGTGTTTTTTTTAATGATAAATTGTTTGGGAATTTTAATATGTTACAAAAACTTTTGGACGACTTTTTGGAACCATCCTGTATAGCTTTGCTCTGCTATTCGTTCTACATAGGAAAATAATAGGAGTTGAGATTATGATTCTTAAGGCTGGACAAATGAGATGAATTTACTTATAAAAAAATATGTAAGGTGTGATCGAAAAAAACGGCGTCATAGTAGGAGTTGAAGAAAAATTTCACTTAATCTGTCACGTTAAATTACAATGCAAAAAATATATCTGGTTTCTAAGAACTAGATATTTGAATAAACATTTTCTTACTATGCCTACCATGACTTCTTTTTTTTTTCGAAAAAAACTGCGTCATAGTAGGAGTTAAAGTAAAATTTCACTTAATCTGTCCCGTTAAATTACAATGTAAAAAATATATCTGGTTTCTAAGAACTAGTTATTTGAACAAACATTTTCTCTCTATGCCTACCATGACTTCTTTTTTTTTTTTTCGAAAAAAACTGCGTCATAGTAGGAGTTAAAGTAAAATTTCACTTAATCTGTCACGTTAAATTACAATGTAAAAATATCTGGTTTCTAAGAACTAGTTATTTGAATAAACATTTTCTTACTATGCCTACCATGACTTCTTTTTTTTTTTTGAAAAAAACTGCGTCATAGTAGGAGTTAAAGTAAAATTTCACTTAATCTGTCTCGTTAAATTACAATGTAAAAAATATATCTGGTTTCTAAGAACTAGTTATTTGAACAAACATTTTCTCTCTGTGCCTACCATGACATCGTTTTATTTTCGAAAAAAAAACGGCGTCGTAGTAGGAGTTGAAGTAAAATACACTACGTCTGTCACAATAAGATCTGTTGACAAAATACAACTGGTTTCTAGAAACGTAAATTTGAACAAAAAAATCTTTTTTTGCCTACCTTTTATGACATCGTTTTTTTTTCGGTCAGTAGTAGTGAAGATAATTTTAATGAATTAACGAATAGGATATAAATAAAAGAAATTGTGATTTGTAGGGTATTTTTGAAGTTGTAATTTTTGGTTTGATCTGAAATTGTTAATTTTTTTCTCTTGTCTTTTTTTGACTTTTTATTATGTATTTTAATTTTGAAAAAAAGAGCACAAAACCTATAGATATAGTTTCGAAATGATTTGTTGGTGCTGTTAGTATTATCGTAGGAAATGTATATAGTTGCGATTTTTTTTTCCTTGTGTATATAAGTAAATTAATGCAAAAAAAGTGTATTAGTGCTGATATTACTTATTTAGGAGATATTGATATTGTATAAATGATATTTTAAGAGAAAAAGAGCTTCAGGGTTTTGAATAGAAAAAAAAGTATTTCCTCAGGCAGACTCAACATATTAGTGTATTTATTACATACTACATTTATCAAAACATGTAAGTTTATATAGAACAAGTAATACATTTAAAGAAAACTGTAAACAACATTGTAACAGTTAGGTTTTAAGATTGTTTTATTTTATTTTATTTAAGCGAATTTGTTGCCTGTTATAAAAATGAAATAAAAAGTTTTAATAAAGAATATGAATTTTATTTCGGCTACCCAACCTATATGACCTCCTTGCTCCTATAAGTTCCTAATAAAATAATAAAACTACAAATACTAAATAATATAAACAACTAAAATAAATATTATTTTAGTTTTAATAATTTACCTCCTTACCTCTTCACACTTATGTGTTCCTGGTAGAAATCGGTGATTTTAGACAAAACTTTAAGAATTTTCGTGCAATCATTATTAAAGATTGAAAAAATAAGAATATGTATCAGGAGCACATAAGAGCGAAGTGGTAAATCGCACACTTGATTTTACTACTGTCACATTATTATATTAAAAGGCGAATGCGCTGCTTAACTCCTGGTATCGAAATATACCTCCTCGCTCATATGTGTTCCTAATAAAAATTCACGGTCGCTCACTTTTAATAAAAACTGCCAAAAATAAATTCAACCTAGCAAATTTTGGAGTACCCGACCAACGAGTTCGAACGAGTTAGATTTTTTCGAAAAACGGCCATAACTTCGAAACTATAAGAGATATCGAGGAACGGAACTCGGCATTCGATTCGCCTTTCAACCCTCTATAAGGGTGCAAAATAAGGGCGCGATCGGAGACAAAAAAAAATTTTCGGCAAACATGAAGGAAGGTTAACCCCTTACCTCATTTTACGCCAAAATTTTTTTTTGTCTCCGATCGCGCCCTCGTTTTGCGCCCTTATAGAGGGTTGAAGTGCCTATCGAAAGCCGAGATCCGTTCCTCTCTAACCCTTATAGTTTCCGAGATATTAAGGGTTGAAGTTTGGAAACGAGTTCGAAGTGTTAGAGATAGCAGAAATATCGTTGATTAATGCTATATTTATATGTGGTACTAAATTTACGCCTTACCTCTTCACTTTTATGCGTTCCTGATAGATATCGGCGATTTTGGACCAGTTTTACAAATTTTCGTGCGATCTTTGTTAAAAATTTAATTTTCTTGGTGTGTATCAGGAGCACATAAGAGCGACTAGGTAAATATTCGTTCTCAATTTACTTTTTTATACCTCTTCACATTTATGTGCTCCTGATAGATATCGGTGATTTTGGAAAGGGTTAAAATTTTTCGTTCAATTTTTGTCAAAAGCTGAATTTTCTCGGATTTGTATCAGGAGTACATAAGAGCGAAGAGGTAAAGTTAGGTATTATTTTTATCTACAATACTGTCTATTCCAGAACAAGTGTAAGTATTAAAATATATTATTTATTTGATAATTAAATGACTTTCTTCTCCTTGTTCACGATTAGACAGTATTTCTAAGAGGTATATTTTAGTTCAATGAAACTCATTTATATTATTAATTATTGTTTATTAACATACTATATTTTATTAAGAAGAGTAACTTAAAAGATATATTAAAATCCAAGGTGTTGGTGGACATGCTGATGTCTATGTTGAGGTAAACACGTCTTCTGGCTACCCTTCTGAAAAGTCTTGGCTCTGTAAGAAAATATAAAAAAATAATTAATTATTTGTTCACTAACAAGTTTTATATTATATTCATTTCCCAGCCAATTGGACGCCATTTTTTTCGATCATACAATATCTTATGATCGAAAAAAAAACGGCGTCAGCGATGGCTATGAAATGAAGATTGCAGTCATTTTATATGTAAAATTATATGGGAAATGTCATCGATCGTCATTTCAAAGCTAATTGGACGTCATTTTTTTTCGATCATACGGTACTTTATGATCGAAAAAAAAACGGCGTCAGCGATGACTATAAAATAAAGATCGCTGTCATTTTATATGTGAATTTATATGGGAAATGTCATCGATCGTCATTTCCCAGCCAACTGGACGCCATTTTTTCGAACATACGGTACCCTATGATCGAAAAAAAACGGCGTCAGCGATGGCTATGAAATAAAGATCGCAGTAATTTTATATGTAAAATTATATGAGAAATGTCATCGATCGTCATTTCGCAGCCAACTGGACGCCGTTTTTTTTCGATCATACCGTACTTTAAGATCGAAAAAAAAAAACAGCGTCAGCGATGGCTACGAAATGAAGATCAATGTCATTTTATATGTAAAATTATATGAGGAACGTCATCGATGTTCATTTCCAAGCCAACTGGACGCCGTTTTTTTTTTTTGATCATACGGTATTATAACTAGTATAGAGAAGTTATGTTGATAATAATATAAGAAAAAAACATGGTTAAGTTAGTTGTAATTGTAGCTAAGAAATATATTAATAATTATAACAATTAAAAAAGCGTAAAAAATTCTTTATATAGGCAACTCTATATACATGTTCAGTGTATTTTTAGTTGCCTACACAAAAGTAAATTGTGCGCCAAATAATTTTATTTGAAATTAATCATTTTCATCTACGTTTCACAAAATACCGTATAATCGAATAAAAACGGCGTCCAGTTGGCTTGGAAATGATGATTCCTATATAAATTTACATATAAAATGACAGCGATCTTCATTTCATAGCCATCGGTGACGCCGTTTTTATTCGATCATACGGTACAATAATATTAGGTATTTATTAAACAAACTGGTATATATTTACCTAAAATTATTTAGCTTTCCTCTTCGTGATGAATTTCATCCTCAATCCACAGTTGAATGTTGGATTTAATCAACCTGATGGCATCTTATTTCTTGTTCCAAAGCAGTACAATACTCCATTCCCAGAACAATACAATTCAATTGCATGAAAATGAGCCATGAAATTCAGTCAAAGGAAAATGACACAAAATTATACAAATGTAAACATATGGGAATTACTTAGTAATACAAGGGTAATACAATCAATGGAAGAGTTTAGAGAATGAATAAAAATGTTGACATTCCCATAGGGATATGATGAAAAAATGTCACGAAAATGAATAAAAATAAGCTATACAGAGGAAATGTGGCAATACCTCTCTTAGAAAAGTCTGACATAGAAAAGGGTACAAAGTCTGACACAAAAAAATTACACAAACAGGACAATCAATAGAAAAGTTTATAGAATGGATATTTCCAATAATAAAGAAAATATAAAAAATAAATAATAAAATGCAAATAGAATGAATTGAAAAATGGCATAAAAATAAATATTATTCTATAGAATTTGAATATGTCTTAGAAACGTCTCAGAAGAATGTCAATAAGAATATAAAAATATGTGTAACAATTAGGACAGTTTTATAGAATTGGTTAATATTAATATTCAAATAATAAAGAAAATATGGCAGATCAAAATAGTGAAATAGAGGTACGCCAAAAGCAAGATGGAGCAAAAAGATTTTAGATGCTATTAAAAAAAATAATAAAGAGGTATGTAGTCAATAAGATTGACAAAAAGTTATGCTTAGCTACCTCCTAACGAATATCTAGTCAAAATATGACTGAAGCACATAAAGAAAAATCCTCCAGAGCATATCAGTTTGCCCCCCTTCATCAGATTTAACCCTTGGCCGACGATTAAGCCTCACCAGTCAGTTCCCATCCCAGCTAAGCAGCCTCGTCTCGGGTTACCCTCGTCACCCATCGAGCGGACATCCACCGGGACCCCCTACAGGCGGACCCCCCTCATCATCTTCAATGTGTCCGATATCCCGCCCCCTCTACTGTCGAGACGTCACGGGATACGTGCACGAAGAAGTCTCGTAGCTTGGGTGCCAGGTCGTATCCGGCCGAAGCCTCTAGCGTTAGACCACCTAGCTCGTAAACCAGAGGGTGGTGACTCCCTTGGGTACCTATGCATGCTACATAGGTCATCGATGCCCGAACATCAGGGATAGGGGGCGACCCGGGTCTCCTCCTCTTAGGGGAGGCTAGTTATGATGCTCTGGAGTCGATGTTACTTAGGAAAATACATTGGAAATAATGCTAGAAAAGCCAGAAGTATCATAGGTACTGTGGAAGTCAGATTTTCGAATAAATGGCGAATGCGCCAGGAATTTAATAGGAAATTTTGATATTTTAAAATGTGATGGTGTATCTAAATTATATATAAAGACACGCAAACTCAACCAACTGAATCTGTAAAATTATAAAAATTCATACAAAAGGTCTAAAAAAATGGCATAAAAATGAATCCGCGAAAACTACAATTCTGTACAAGGAATTATACAAGCAAAAAGTGTTAGAAGAATGACACCGTTAAGGAAAATTATACAAATTGAAAACTAATAGAAATACAGTCAATGGGATATTATATAAAATTAATCAAAATTATTACGCCTACAAGGAAGAAAATATAGGAGTCAAGCTATTATAGAAAAATGAAAGTTAACCATAAACAACGTGAAGTAAAATTCTAAGTAGATGGTGTATTTTACCAAACAAATAAGACCTATAGAAATACAGGCAATAGAATATTTTATAGAATTGATAAATGATATTATTACCACAATCAAGAAAAGATGGGAGTCAAGCTATTATAGAGAAAAAAAAGTAAACCAGAAACAGCATGAAGTAAAGTCCTAAGTAGATGGTATTCTACCAAAAAGAAAAAGAAGTGTCCAAGAGCCAAAAATTAGCACAAATTTAAAATAGATTGTTGGAACTTGGTGATGAAATAAGCAACCACAAAAATGTAACTCAGAGACTAAATGGAATTTTATTCATACTTAATTAAATTTAAAAACGATGAAACCCACCGATGAACATTAAAAACCAGTAAATAAATTTATTTACCCAAAATAAATAAAATTTTAGATATACTTATAAGTCCTGATGCCATTCTTGGTAATATTCATGAAAAGGATAAATGTACTGCCTTAGAACCGTATACATCCATTGATTTGTTGTAGACTATCTGTCAAAAAAAGAAAGAAATAATATTACATTTCATTGATTATGCTATAATAATTATTTTTATATTTCTTAATATTAATATTAAATATATCTTAAAAACTATGATTAGTCTGTTAATAAACATTTAATAGATTTATTAAAATTATTTTTAAATAATAAATTAAACTTACCCTTAATAAGATAATGGAAGACTAACTCGTAAACCGGAATGATGGCCAAACATTAGGATTATACAAGGAGTGACATAGGTCTCTTGTTTTAGGTGGTCTTGATGTGCTGGTGTGTATTCTTAATAACGCCCCTAAAAAAGAAAATTATTATTGTTAAAGCCTTTTTTATTAAAACAATGCAAAATTTTTAACTTAAATATGGCGACAATGTTGAGTATAAACATGCGTGCAAAAGTATTTTATTTTATCTGAAAGATTATATAATTATTATAAAGGGGGCCCTCATTATGATGTATACCAACACTGACTCATTCTAAAAGACGTAGAAAATACTTGTTTATACGAATAAAAACCTAAAAAATTCGGTCAGGAACAAAAAACATCTTTAAACTCTACCCAAAAAAATCGTCCAAAAAATACCAACTATCTCTAAATATTCCGCAGTATTCCAAGTAACTTTATTTTTAATGTACAATAGAGACATCAAGAAAAGTCTCTATATTTCCATATACTCGATTTCGAAAGAGGAAACTATGAAAATAGGAAAAATGCATCAGCTTTATGATGACATAATTGAAATATTTGAAAGTGAAAAAAACTATAGAAAACAGGCAGAATAATGGGTACTTACATTTTCAAAAGATTAAACAGGCCTTAAGGAACAGAATAAACTCAAATAGTATATAGAAAAATTACTTTTTTTGTCAAAAATTCGAAAAAAATTGGAAGCAAGGCATAAAATACGCCAATTTGGCACAATTTAGTTCAAAATTTTCTCACTTTTTCCACAATGGCGCCACCAAAGAACTATATCCACAGAATAGAAGTATCATTCTTCTTCTTTACATATTTATGGTCCAAAACATAGACACCCATAGATCAGACATAAATTTTTTCTTCTTTCCTTTTAAGCGGCTTGAACTCATATAGGTCACTTGGCCAGTGTCCTAAAAACAAAATCAAAAGGATACAGTTTGAACTATTATCTATGGTTAATTATTAGAAAAAGACAACAATATAAATAAACAATGACAGCACAAGTAAATAAATAATGTATTATTAATTAATAATACAGATAATGGTAATACCCAGATAATAGAGTAATTACTCTATTATCTTTTATATTATATAATGAAAAATGGAGACAAAGGCCAGAGAACGCTAATAAAGTGCAATAAAGTTGAATCAGAAGACTGGTAAATGAATGAGTACTTACATTTTCAAGAGGTTGAACAGGCCTTAAGGAACTTAATACACTCAAATAGTGAACAGAAAAATCACTTTTTCTACCAAAAAAATCAGAAAAATTGTGAGAGTAACATCAGGAGTGCATGTAGAACGGGAAATATCACACTACCAACATTGCCAGATTGAACAGATGTAAGCTGCCCCTAAAAGAAAAAATATAATTATTTATTGTACTGAAATAATGTTTATATAAAATCTATGTTTGTTGATACTTTACTTATTTTTTAATTGACTTGTCTAGAATTTAATAATTAAATTTATTTTATGAAACATAAACCAAGAAAGTTTAATCCCCTATACTGCCATGGTAAAGAAAAAAACTTAGTGTTTTTCAAATAAATAAGAAGCAAAAACACCACATCTTGCTTTATTTTGAGAATTTAGTGATATATAGTTTCACCTCTGATGGTTATAGCATATAAACTGTACTCTATTTACAAATATTAAGACAAAAAATGTTAACTTTAACTTGAGATCTTAGCTCAACGCATCAGATAAGGTGGTTTGCCTTAACACGACAGTATAGTTACGCATAAGAGGTTCAAGTTAATTTAATGTCAGTAAGTTTACAGTATAATTTCTTGTTAAACAATGCATATTACAAAAAGTCAAGTTTTAACCTTCGTGAGGTTAAAATACCTACCTTTATTTTTATGAACGAGTATGAGTTCTATGACTTTTATTATCTTCTAAATTAACACTTTTGAGATGGGCTCACTACTGGAGAAGCTGTATATTTCTATAACAATGACCTATTCAAAGATCTTATGTGAGAATTGGTCTCTGTTTGTTGGCTGCAAAAAAAATTAAAAATTATGGTAAACTGAATATCGTCAATAATAGTTCTTCATGGTACCTACATTATCATGTAAATACTTCTCAGTGTAAATTCGTAAAGCAGTTTATCGACAAACAAAGGATATTTTTATGCATCTTTTATGAACTTTTTTCCAAAATATTATTTTTCCGAAAATTGTAGGGTTAGAATAACTTGAGTTATATATTTTTAATTTTTACGTATAGATGGCTCTGACCAAACACTTTTAGGTTATAAAAATTGCAGGATTCTCTAATATAAAACTTTAATGTTCTCTGACATTCTGTTAGATGTCAGCACAATCATTTGAAACAGAAATCTATTTTATTTACCCTTTCGTTTCACCATTACTCATAAGATGGCGAGAGGATCATTTTTACAGATTTCTTTAATATCATATTTTGTCGTATACCGATGTCTCGATAGATGGCAGTAACAGTTCATTAAACAGAATACTGTTATTTTAAATCTGCTGTTCGTTACGAGATGGCGCTTCAGAGGTATATTAGTTCCGATATTGTCCACAACGATTAGACGGCGCTAGTGACAATTTAATTTTTTAAATTGTTATCTAAATTATTATTAAATTTAGAAAGCAATTTAAATTATGAAATTATTATTAAAAAATATATCTATCGATTACAAGTCACATTAAGAGATATAAAACATTATTGGAAATTTTAGAGCAAATTTTGAGCAAATCTTGAAACAAAAGTGACAACTACCCAATTTAAAATTTTTAGATTTAGTTTGCAAAACGACCGCCAGAGGCTCCATCTCCGATAATTCATTTTGTAAATCAGCCATCTCAGAAATATTTTCCACAATTCGCCGATTTGTAAGTATATTACCCGTTTCTTTTTGATTACTCACGTTTTCAAACTATTTTACAACTACTTAATTTTCATTTTAATTAATCTAGTACTCTAGACGTTTGTTTTTCAAACTCACTTAATAGCCCTCACGAGAACCGTCCAACATCTTTACATAAAATATGGTTGCCGGCTTCTGGATACAATCATTCTTTATTAAACCGGCATAATCGATATTTTTTTCTGGAATATCGTCGATATAAAACCACCTAATTCATTTATTTATTTAGTCATCTGTTGTCCACATATTTCTATTTAAAAAAAGAATTTAAAGGTATGTAGCCTTGGACCAAAAAAAAAAACAAAAAAAAAGCAAAAATAATATCTCAGATTTTCGAGAGAAATTACTCCCTATGTTTCTGTTCTAATTTTTTCTTATTATTTTTTTAAATTTAAATATATTATTTAAATAGCATATTTTAGGGATCAATAACCACTAAATGACTCATATTGATTAAAAAATAAACCCCAGATAAAAAGGATTTTCTTAACCAGTTTTTCCCCTTTCTTTTGTTAGAATCAGCAAAGAATGGAGCCCGTAGGCCATATGATTTCTCAGCATTCAACCATACTGCCTGTGCAGCCTCCTTCAACCCCGCATTACCCCCATCCACGTAAAAACAAGACCAGCCAGAAACACTTACCTAGCATGCAGACCTTGACTCTTACCGAGGAAGCCAAACTGGTAAGATTTTCAATCTAGGCATGTTTCTCGGATTTATTTCAAATGATTTTATCTCAATCAAGGTTTACAATAATGATGTGAACGGAACCAAGACTCCGGTATCAGTGCTGCAAGAACTACTGTGCAGGCGCGGTATTACTCCTAAGTACGAGCTTGTGCAAATTGAAGGTGCCATTCATGAGCCAGTGTTCAGATACAGAGTGTTTCTGAATAATGAATTTGCGGCTACAGGCACGGGTAGATCGAAGAAGGATGCCAAGCATTCGGCTGCTAAGAATCTACTTGATTTATTGGTGGGAAAACAGAGTGCTGAGCAGGCTAATCAGAGCAATGGGACACCTGGAGCCCCCGATATGTAAGAATGAGAGTTTTTTGTTAGTGAAATGTGAAATTGAAACTTTAAGAAAATAAAATTAGGAAGCATTTGACTGATTTATTTTTGTGTTCTAGTACTACTCAGGTTGTATCTCCGTATGATGATAAAGTGATGGGCAATCCTATTGGTTGGCTTCAAGAGATGTGCATGTCGAAAAGATGGCCACCACCGTTCTACAACAAGGAGAACGAGAAAGGTCTACCCCACGAAAGAGAATTCACTGTTTCATGCCAGGTAGGTGTAGATAAGGTAGGATTGAAAACAAAAAACTGTAATTTCAGTTCTTAATTTTACCAAATTCATTGTTAAAATAGTTGAATAAGCTGTGCCAATTCTTCAACTTGTTTAATTGTATTTTTATACAGTGATTGGCATGACTGACATATTATAATTTTCATATATTTTTAATATATTTTGTTCTAGCTGGCCGATTTTGATGATTTTTTAATCAGTGTAACTTAAATGTTATTGATCTGTCAAATGATTTTGAATAACATTTTATATATGTCAACGAGATTATTATTGTTTTTAGGTGTTGAAGTTTCGTGAAGAGGGAACTGGTAAATCTAAGAAGCTGGCAAAGAGACTGGCTGCTCAAAAAATGTGGCAAGCCCTAAGAGACATGCCATCCGAAGGCAACCTACTTGAGAGCGACGAAGAAGTAAGTAAAAAATTATTAAAAATTTACAAACACTACAAGTACCTATAATAATTAATTTCTAACATAAAATTCTGACTTAAAATATATTTCTATTGCCTTTTTTTGCGTGAAATAATAAAACTACTAATTGAATTTTATCAGCTTCTCTGACTCATTTTGAATGTTGGCAGTATGTCGCAGGTTGTCTTTACAAGAAGAAAAACTATTTTATTGTTAATTTTTTTGAGAAAAATGCATTCTTCTTAAGAGTTTCCAAATTTCCTTACCATTTTAGAGAAAAATATACATATATGAAAATATAATTAAATATTTATCTGAAGTCTAGCTTTAGTTGAAGTCCTATATGTATATTTTGCTATTTTAAAATGTTAAAATACTTATAAGTACTTCTCTAACATATTAAAACGGCCAAAAATATGTGGACTGCATTTTTTTTTTTCAAAAAATTAGTAAGAAAGTAAATATGTAGACATACTGTAGGCCATTCTATTAAAAAAACGCAGTTAATGAATGTAACAATTTGACAGCTCTTGGTTAAGTTAATGATTGAACACCCTGTATATGGCAAAATTATTTTTGAGTTTCTTAAATTGTTATTGAAATTGAATTGGTAGTTTAACATACATATGTGCTAGGGTATTTTTGCTGTCTTTTTACGAAAATTAGCCAAAAAAAAATCGTACAAAATTGAAATGATTTTGTTTAAAAGAAAGAAAATAATTTTTCTCAATAGGGTGTCCAAAATAGTTGATTTAAAGTTTAGTTTGTATTAATTGAAATTGAGGACATGACGTATCTTAGCACATATTCATTTCAATTTTGTGTGTTTTGACAGGCTGGCAAATTGAGCGGCGTGCACCGCTATTCCGGATTGAAAGACAGCAAAATTACCATTCTCAGCAATCAGCAATCCCAGAAAGTGTCTAATTTCCACAAGAAACTCAAACAGGCCGCTGGACCGAAACTGAACGAATTACAGGTAATTTTAAGTCATGTCCTTCATAGATGTCCATAGATGATCATTCCAATTCAGAAAAAAAAATTTCAAAGCCTTTTTTAAAGCACAGAAATTCTTGTAATATAACAAAAAAAAATGTGACATTGAATTTGACAATGATATATTCATATTTTTGTTGGTATTTTAGGGTGTATTCCGTTGCTTACCTTGGTTATGGTTTTATGTTCCGTTTCTATCGGTTTCCAGAAAGTTTTCTTATTAGTCGTAGTCAGTTTTTTCTATACTTGCTCTTTTTGTCAGAAATAATAAAAAATATTATTTTTTAAATGGAAATTATAGTTGGCTATGAACTTAAAAGAATGCTGGCGTTTAATCCTTTCCAACGATATAAAGTTATGTGTATTTATTTCTAAGAATGAGAGAAATATTAGGTTTTTTTATCTTTGTATTGAAGCAGGCCTTGATTTTGTGTTGAGCTAGTTGCCTAATTATTTTTTATTACAATTTAATATTCTATATTATTATTTATCTGCATAATTAAAGCCTTTTGAAAAGGTAAATCAACATACTATATTAGTATTACCAATTACAATTAAAACGCCAGGGTTACAACTGAACTCAAAAATCAAAACTAATGCGCTGGCAAATTGCACCTTCATAGGAAGCAGAGCCATAGAGCTGCCACAGTGAGGGAGGCAGCTCATCATTACCATACCATACCAAGAACGTTTTTACGGAATTTTATTTTCAATTTTACCTTCAAAATGGTAAAAAATTCAAAAAGACCCCGTATCTCAGTTCGCAGTGTAAATATCAACAGGCGGTTTACGCCATTAAACGTGTCTCAGAAATCCGAGCCCATGATATCTATGTCGGTTTTGTTCTATCTAGTCAGGAAATAGGTTTTCTTTGTTAAAACAGACCAATTTCGACCACACTGTACTTTGGGAAAATAATTATACATTAATACAATATTCTCACTACTCACTGTTGGTATAAAACCGATACAGCAGATGTTTTTAAAGTAATCAACACATCTAAAGCGCGGTTTACACGCAACGATTAAAAAAAAATGTCTTTCTCAGACCGTCAACTTGAAAAAGAAGGACTTCGACTACGTCAAGTTCCTGCAAGAGATCGGCAAAGAGCAGAGCTTCGAGGTGACCTACGTCGACGTGGAGGAAAAATCCTTCATCGGCAAATCTCAGTGCCTAGTGCAACTGTCAACCTTGCCTGTGGCGGTGTGCTACGGGTGCGGCGAGACGCTGGCCGATGCCCAAGCGGACGCGGCCCACAACGCGTTGGAGTACCTCAGGATCATGACCAAAAAGTGAGGAGATGGGGAGACCAATGATATCGCTTAGAAAAATAAAACAACAGGTCTCTACGCTCACTACGTTTGGCTTTTCTTCTCTTGTCCGAGTTCGGTTTGATGGTACTGGAGTACCTCTCACTTTCAATTTTTTATGTATTTAGTGAAAAAAAGGTCAGGCCATAGACGGTTCGAGCGATGCGCGCCGGTGTATTCGTACTTTTACATCGTTTATTTATTTTAGAGTTTTTTTTGCATGAAATGTAACTGATGGAGTATACAGGGTCTTCCTAAATGACTTGCTAATAAATATTTAAGATGGTGATTCTTGGACTATTATAAGAAAACTTCATAATATGAATGTATGTCCTAAACATTCTAACTTTTAAGATTCAGGCTGGTAAAATTTTCTAAAAAGAATAGTATATTGTTTTATTATAAGTAAAAATGATACTATATACATTTTTACTCCGAATAGAACATGTTATTTTTGTTTAAATATCACAAATAATTTTTTAAACAAAGTTTTTGTAAGCAGTTATACATATATCGGGAAACTATGGTTACACTCGTTGAATTTGACACTTAATATCAGTTTAATAATACATATCTTTTTGGACTTTTATGCCTAGGCGTTGAAATTATTATTTTCAGAATATTTTTATTTTTACTATTCGAAGTCAAATCGCTAATAACATGATGAGGTGACTGTTTAAAAAAAATCTGCATAAAAAATGCACTTTTATGCATAGAAGATATATCAAATTTCATAAATATATCTCTAATACCATCAGAGTTATGATTTTTGTATTTTGTCACCCTGTATCTCAAAGGTTAAGATGTTTAGGATATATATTCATATGATTTTTTTTAGAATATGTACAAGAATCACCCCCTTAAATATTAACATGTCATTAAGGAACACCCTGTATATTAAATTAAAAATATTTGAAGATTTATATAATTATTCAAGATGGTGTTAAGTGTAACAAGGTTGTTATTTTATGTAAATTTCTATTAAATATTCATAAATTAAGTTTTTATAAAATAATACTAAATTTTAAGATTTTTATATCTTAATATTTTATTATTAACTTTTTTTTTAATTATAAATTTTTTATTTGGTCAGTTTCTTTTGAAATAATAATCTGTCATGTATTCGTCAAAAGTAAATATTTCGAAAAAAAGAAAGAAACTTCTTTTTTTCCAGTAAAATATTTATTTTTTGGTAAGTTTTTATGCGATTGTAATTTCAAAAGCTACTCTGGCGCCAATTTTTGCGATCGTATGCTTTAATTTAAAAAAATAAACATCACAATCACGATCGTAAAATTAAAACATTTTTACGGTGATATTATTATAGCAATTCGTCAGCTTTATTAAAATTTATCGATATTAGGGAGGAGTAAAATGTATTAGTTATTAACAATATCGATTGGGCTGTATACCAAAAAAAAATCGATAATTTTATAAAATACCGAGATTTCAATCGCTAGCCAAAAAATACATTACGGTTTTTCTGAATGTCTCAAAAATGTTAAAAACATCGACTGATAATTTATCGATATTTTATAAAATATCGATAACAGTGAGCCTCCCTAATCAAAATTTATTTTTAAAATTAAGTAGGTATATATATTTTTTTCAAGCTTTTACACGCATTTTATGTATTTATGAGAGTTTTTTTGTTTAGTTCGAACCGAACATGGCCTGCTAAATATATAAGGAGAAGGATAGCAAGTTTTTTACAAGCTATACTTTGCATAGAATTAGTGGTTTTTTTCGAGGATAAAATTTAGTTTTTCTTTATTTATATGTTTTTGTTTTGGAGTCGTGTTTCTAAATATTGTATCGTATAATATAATACGCACTATATTATATATAAAACTACTACTTTTGGCGGCATAAAAAGATGCTTCCGTGCCACTTTTCTCTAATCTAGTTCGATGAATATATTTAATGGTGTTCATTATGTAAGTAAATAACCTTTTAATCCCTTATAATCTCGTAGCTTTAGCCTAATAAGGTGCCCGTGGGGATTCACACGAAAAAATCGGAATTTGTAGGGATGTACTCAAAGATCGAAGTTTTAAAACGAATCGACATTTTAGGATTGTGTATGAATATCGATACGCAACAATTAATCGATTGTATTGAAGGTGTTGTGAATCCTCTAGGCGCCGGTATATATACATATATCGTATTATCGTGACTTAATCACTCATATCGGTCGAGTATATATAGTGCCCCAGAACATGACACAACAAACCGTATTGTGCAAAGGGAGCATTTATTTAATGCAAAGTATAGAGGTTGTATCCCCCCAAAAATCATTAAAAAACAAAAAACTATTAATTATAATTAACATATATGTCAATAGACCGAATAATCCCATTCGTCAGGATTGAGGAACGCGTGGCCTAGCTTGCGTTCTCTTCTGTTCAGTTCACATAATACTAATCTTAGGGTTTTTTCTCAGCATTGTTAGTTGTATTGATGTGTATGATAATTAAGTAATATAATTTTAATGGCTTCAAAAAGTGTTTTCTTCTTTCTCCGAAAAAACTGACAGTAAAGGCTAGAAGACCATCTAGAAAACTGGCGACAGTTGTCTAGGTCTTCTGTCTTACCTCCATCTAGTCCTAAAAAAATGTTAAGGACGGCTGGGGATTGAAAATGGATGATAATTTTTAATGGTGCTTACTGCCAGTTGGCCTTATGAAGGTTGTATTTAATTTTTATATCGAGTAGATATGATCAAAGGTGTAGTTTAAAATTCGAGAAAAATAATTTTTTGGAATAGATTTGTGGGTCTGAAAACATTAACTTTTTTAATTTTTCTGTCATACATATGGATCCTCTCTTGCGACAAACTAGAAGGTTTTTCTGGCGTTCTATTAAAGGTGCGTATTCACTATCCGAACGAATATTCGTTGGTTCGTTCGGTAGTAGTATGGACGGTACCGAATTTTAGAACCGAACGAATAACATCTATAGTCTATAAAATGAGTAACTTTGAATTTTAACCGTTATTTTTTACCAACATGGCATATATAAAATCCCTCTGTCAAAAAAGTTACTGATATTCTTTAAACTGAGTGCCTGAACGAATCAGATAGGTAACTCTTTTTACTTTCGTGAAATAAAAAAGGAAAATAATAAAACAAGTGACAGTTCCTCCTCTCCTTGCATAAATCAACACGAAATGTCAAAATTGACAAAAGTAAAATGTCATCAGCTTTTGACATTTCTAAATATTAGATCAATGCCATCTCTAATAGAACAGCCACGGACGAGATTTATGACGTCACGCTAGTTAGATACTACGGATTAATAAATATGTTGTAGAATACATGGAAAACATAATTATTCCTCGTATTTTTGGTTTGTATTTTAAAAACGATATAGTTTACATGAAATATACATAATATACAGTTAATAAATACAATATAATATATACCTATTTATAGTAATAAATACTTTGGCAAATAAACTATGAACCATACAAATGCAGCAAATGTTTTACAATATACAAATAATGAATAACTGGTACATAAGATAATGGGTAAAATGTAAAATATATTTTAAATTTTGGGGTTTGAAAATCGATCTAATTTAACAAAAAACATTCAATATCTACTAATAGTGATGTATTATCATTTGCAATCACAAAATTTATTTATATATTATAATGTTTACTGCAATTAATAAACTAATATAAACTTGTCAAAAGATGACCACATATTTTTTTAAATTATTATTCTTAATACAAAAACTATCTACATTGACTATGGAGTACGATTTCAGCCATATTGTAAAACATTTGCTGCATTTGTATGGTTTATAGTTTATCTGCCAAAGTATTTATTACTATAAATAGGTATATATATATATTGTATTTATTAACTGTATATTATGTATATTTCATGTAAACTATATCATTTTTAAAATACAAACCAAAAATACGAGGAATAATTATGTTTTCCATGTATTCTACAACATATTTGTTAATCCGTAGTATCTAACTAGCGTGACGTCATAAATCTCGCTCTGAGGCTGTTCTATTAGAGACGGCATTGCGTCAGCATGGCCGCAAGTTGCTAACCTAATAATATTAACACTAGAAAAGCCCGCGGGAACTGTCAAATTCAAAGTTATTCGTTTTACAGACTATATTTAACTTTTATATTGAGTAAATATGATCAAAGGTGTAGTTTAAAATTCGCGAAAAATAATTTTTTGGAATAGATTTGTGTGTCTGAAAACGTTAACTTTTTTAATTTTTCTGTCATACGTATGCATCTTCTCTTAGGATACTAGAAGGTTTTTTTCTGGCGTTTTATTAAGAAGATGTTATACCTATATTTTATAATTAAACAATACCATAACATAAATAAGACACTTTATTTTAAAGCAATTTACAAAAGAAATACAGTCTTGTTTGTTGTTTCTAAAACAACTCTACAACTTGTTCACAATACAAACACTCACACAATATCATACACTCCTTATAGTTCATCATGCTCTTCCTCCTCATCCTGATTACTATCTCCCACCTCTTCGGCAGTATTTTCCTCCAAAACCTCCTCCTCCTCTTCAACCTGTTCATCTAGAGAGACTCCCAATGTTTTCCTCATCATCCCCTCAATGGACTTGGCAAAATCAGCCGTTTCACGCAGCATATATCCTGACCGAAGTGTAGCGGTTCTGAACAACATCAGCGCCATGTCTTTAGCGTTTGGATCGTTAGGATCATCGTTAACCCTCCTCAGAAGCTCCTTCATCAACGGATGACGAGGATTCACCTCCAAAGTCTTCTTCTGATTCAGGTAATAAGACCTTTGCGGATCGTCAGCCTTTTGGTGAGCATTCGAAACAGCAAGTCTTTCCATGTTACCGGTCCAGCCGAACATACTGGCCACTAGAGCGCAAGGGGAATCGCTCAGTCTCTCTGAAATGGTTGCTTTGGCTATTTGGTTCTTCAGAGCGTCTTCGCTAAGCCATTTGGTGAGGGGTTCAAAAGCTTTTTGGAGCTGTTCAAGTTGTTCTTTGCCTCCTTCACTTTCAGTTAGACTGAACCCTTCCTTGGCGACGTTCTGGAATTTTTTGCCGTCAAATTCGGGCAGTGCTGAGATAGTGTATTCATCTACAGCTTCAGTAAGAAAGAGAACTTCATAGCCTTTACGGAGAAGACGCTCGGCAAACGGCGATTTCCTAACCTCGTCCTTTGAAGATCCAGCAATATAGAAGATCTTGTCTTGCTTGGGTTTCATTCTAGCAACGTAATCACTGAGTGAAGTCAGTTCATCATCGCTGTTTGATGACAGGAACATCAGCAATTTGGCCAGTCTTGATCTGTTTGCTGGATCTTCAATAACTCCCAGCTTAATATTGGTTGAGAATTCTTTCCAGAACTTCTTGTATTCTTCAGCAGGGATCTTCTTCAACATGTCCAGTACTTTCCTGATCAGTTTCTTTTTAATAACCTTGATCAGTTTGTGCTGTTGAAGTGTTTCTCTTGAAACGTTCAAAGGAAGATCGTCAGAATCCACTACACCACGAATAAAGTTCAAGAAAGATGGCATCATGTCGTTGAATTCATCAGTAATGAACACTCTCCTGACATAGAGTTTGATGTTATCAGTTTTGGTGCCGTATTTATTGAAACTCTCTGATGGCTGCACTTTTGGTACATACAAAAGAGCCTTGAATGTCACTTCTCCTTCAGCAACAAAATGGATCTTTGACAAAGGCTCTTGCTCATCTTTGGTCAGTGCTTTGTAGAATTCCGTGTATTCGCTGTCAGTTACTTCGGCAGGTTTTCTGGTCCAGATTGGTTTACTGTCGTTCAGCAATTCCCAATCCCAAACTGTCTTTGTTACTTTTTTTGTCTTAGGCTTTTCTTCTTTTTCTTCCTCAACAGCGGCATCCTCTTCATCTTCAGGCTTAGGCGTGGCTTCTTCTGCCGACTCATCTTCATCTATGGGTTCTTCAACAGTTTCAGTATGGCTAGTCCACAAATAAATAGGGAAATTAATGAATTGGGAGTATTTTTTCACCAAGTTCTTGATGGTTTCGTGCTCCAAAAAGTCCCTGGCTTCAGGTTTGAGCTCAAGACTTACAGTGGTTCCTGTAAAAATATAAATGGCATGTTTATACAGGGCGTCCAAAAGTTTTGATCACATACGAAAAAGATTTCTTCAAAACATTTATTCTTGATAGAAGTCGTTGTATCTCTGTAGAAAAACTAATTAAAATTATATATTACACAGGGGAATTTAGAAAGTGTGAAGTTTCTTATAGAGTAAAATGATGTAATTTTCCAAAATGTACAAGGTGCTCAAAAAATACAATTGTTTTTGTAATTATCTTAAATAGCCTGTACCCTTTCTTGAAATTTGTCAAGTTGTTATTTCTAGTAATAATGGCATTCTTCAAACACCCAGTATAGAAAAACTTATTTTTTGAGTCCTTGGTAAGAAAAAACGCGAATATTTTTAAAAATAATAGATCAACATATGGTATAGTTTTATAAAAAGAAAAACCATACCTCTTTTTAGTGAATCACCTCTTGGATCATCAGCAATAGTATAACTGGAAGAATCAGACTCCCAAATGTACTGTTTGTCAGCATTGTGCTTGGAAGTGACAATTACCTTGTCAGCAACCAAAAAAGCTGAGTAGAATCCAACACCGAACTGACCAATCATGTCGTTCAGGTCATCAGTAGTGTCAGCAGACTGCATTTTACCTGATTTAAAAAGTCAGCAATAATAAAAAAAAATTAAATAATAAAATTAACAACTTACTTAAAAATTCAGCAGTACCGGACTTGGCAATGGTACCCAAATTATTAACTAAATCTTGTTTGGTCATGCCGATGCCTGTGTCTGTTATATGTAACATGCCAGTATCTTTATCAGCTTTTATTCTGACATTTAGTTCGGATGTTGAATCCAGTACTGACTTATCAGTCAGAGACAGCAATCTGATTTTATCCAAGGCATCTGATGCGTTTGAGATCAGCTCTCTCAAGAAAATCTAATAAAATAAAAAAAATATATGTATATGTATAAGTACCATAGGTTACTAATTTACAAAAAAACTTACTTCTTTATTTCTATACAGTGAATTAATAATCAACTTCATCATCCGGTTGACTTCTGTTTGGAATGTAAACTTCTCAGCCTTTTCTCTGATTTCTTTAAGTTGAGCAACATTGAGTCCATCAAGCTTGATAGCTTCTTCTTCCCGTTTAACCACTTCATCATCTATAAAAGAAGAAATATGGATTATTGATCAAACAAGATGGACTTTTTCCTAGATCAGCAAAATGTCGAAGAAAAAGAAGAGAAACCTAAACCATTCAAGTTGTGTTTCATAGAAAAAAACGTTCTGGGACAGTCAAACATTAAAATCAACAAATCCCTAAATATACGTAAAGTATTCCTTCATATTTATATAACTACAAATTAACTAAATTATTTTTACAGCTCCAGTAGTTTCTTTGAAGTTTTACAATAAAAGAAACGAAGATATACCTGAAGATTTAACCGAGAAATATGTTCACCTTTTAAAAAATGAACCTAATAAAAAGAAAGGTTCTTTACCAATAACAGAAAGCCAAAAGTAAACTTTCAAATTTGTATATTCTTAAATTTAATTAAACCTTGTAGATATGGCTGGTATCAAGTGAGATTAAATGATTGGGATCGATCAGATAGAAGATTAAATTTTCATAAACGTACTGATGTAATTGTGAGAGAGCATTTAATGAATTATGCAAAAATAAGGGAATAAGAGTTTTAAAGCTACTGAAAACAGCTGTATCTTATAGATAATACTGTAGGCCAGGGAATAAATATGGTTTTACCTGTTCTAGAACCTTCCTTGCTTGCTCCCAAATCTATATCTACACTTGGTGCATCTACATCTTCAGATTGAGCCTGTATGGACCCTGAAATAGAATATTAAATATAATAAATTAAACTTGCCACGTTGTGAAGTAATAAAATGATGCATATTTACAAAAATTCTATCAATATTGTTACAAAAATGATATTTAAAACATATTTTATAAAATAAAGAGACAGTAAATCAATTACCAATTAAAGCAAAGGCAACCACACAGATAAATATTAACTGCTTCATTTTGGCAGCTCCAAAATTATACTTTTAAAACATTAACAATGTTTTTTCTATTCACCGGCCGTAAATTTTTAACAAAACCGTAGAGAATACGCGAATGATAAACGTCAACTTTGACAAAAGTTTTAGTTGTTACTTGGACCAATCGGGAGCCACCACGCCAGATGACAAGACGATTCGGGATTTTCATCCAATGGGATACCAGAATCTCTGTATCTATACAAATGGCTGTCGGTAATTGGTCCGGTGTTTCGCGCAAGAATTTGAAAATAATGCGCTCAGTTGTCATAGAAATCAATACAGTTAATATGGAATTATTTTCATTAATGAGATAAGGAATTGCTAGAAAACAATAGATAAATGATGATATTGAGAATATTCATTAGTTTAGATCATAGAAACATCTTATATCAAGACTATTTTAATATATTTTTGTAGAAATATGTTATAAGTTACTAAAAAATCGCTCGTTTTTACGTAAATACTACGTGTCAAAAGTAAATTATATAGAAATAATTAGAAAGCATTGGTTTTGTGACTAGCAAAAGAATGACAATGAGACAGTCGACCATCGTTTTAATTCAAGGCAAGTAAAGTATGTCTAATGAGCCAGAGAAAATTTAGACAGAAGACATTCAAAAAATGACATAAGATACAATTTATTTGTGAATTAAAATGACGGACACAGCTGTCACTGTCAAAGATTCTCTAGTCAAACAGACTATAGATTTTTCTCTCATTTTAAGGATCCGTCTGTCAAAATCATATATTTTCTTTCTGGACAGAAAATATGTCTGTCATTTTATCTCAAGAGTGATGCGCTATTTTTCTGTTAGAATTATACAGGGTGTGCCAGAAAGTTAGTAACAAATAAGATTTTTTTTAAATTGAAAATCAGAAGTCAGTGTGTTATAAATTAAAATGACAGGTACAACTGTCACTGAATGAATACTCTCTCTGAACAGACTATAGATTGTATTTTCTCTCATTTTATGGGTTGGTTTGTCAAAATCATATATTCTCTTACTGGATAGGGGATGTCTGTCATGTTATATAAAAAGTGATGTCTGTCAGAATCATACCAGGTGTGCCAAAAAATTTGCACCTAATAGGAATATTTCTATTATAAGTCTATACACCAAGTTTCGTATGCAGCATGCCATAAACATGATACAAATAAAAAAGAATCTTTTATTTGTATCATGCGTATGCAGGGACTCAAAAAAATCTATATAGGAAAATGACATAAAATAACATGACATGTAAAAAAAGGAAGTGGGAATCAAAGCAAACATTTCCAAGTTTAATATAAACTTTATTTACTTATAAATAAAACTATATTTAAAAAAGTATAATACAATAATTTATTTTGTTTTGTACAAAGAAAATGTTTTACTATAAATTAAATTTGATAGTAATTCTACTCACTTAAACATTAAAAAATGTTGTTTTTTCTTTTCTTTTATTTTATCATCATCCCAGATGAACTGTGGAAATTATTCAACAAAAAAAATCAGTCAAAATAACAGCGTAGTAGTAGACACTCCATTTGAAACAAAAAAAAAATACCGCACACTCTAACAATATAAAAAAGTCTTTTTTTTCTTTTCTTAGTGATGATTACATCGACACAACCATCTACAATTCATCGTGACTTTCCTGAAAAAGAAAAAAAAAATACAATTAGTACAATAATGTTACAAGCCAGAGACATAAATATAGTTCTTCTCACGTTGATTTCCCTTGTTTCAACACCTAACCACATAAATTATCTAACCGTATCTTTGAATAACAAGACTAAGGAAGGAGCATATCAAAAAACTTAGATTGAACGCGACGGGGACCTAAAATGGCCGACTTAAATTCCGGTTTATCAGTGCCATTCCAATTTTATTCAAAACGTGTAAAAAAATGATGTAGGGTAGACTCAATAATTTGTTGTTTTATTTTATGCTGTCAAGAAATGTTGGTAGTTATTAAAATTGTTATAAAAATATACAAATCTAATAAAAATAGATAAGTTATAATCAGTATTTATTAACACAAACATCCGATACACTACTGAAGCAGGTAAGTCAAATTGACGTATCTAAATTAATTGACATCTAATCTTTGACAAGTAGTAAATAAAAGCAAAAACGCACGAAAAATATATAATTAGGTAATTTTAAGTGAATTTCATAAATGATCGGTTTACTACACGTATGTATACCGGGTGTTGCATCGTCGAGCGGGACATAGGAAACCCCATGTAATGGAGTCAATTATTGGCTTCCCTAATTATTTTAGAAAATAATTCTATTTAAGTTTATTGAAGAGCACTAAAACCCACATTCAAAAGAATAACTTTAAATATTTTTGATTAGCCCGTTTACGAGTTATCGCCGATTTCTTTTTAAATATTTCTCCTTTCTTATGGCCCTGTATTTACTTATGAGCACCAGTCAAGGTAAAAGATAACTGTCAAATGAAGTTGTCATTTCAGAAATGTATCTATTAAGTGCTTTATTATTATTATTAAAAACTCATACTACATCGAAAATATTAACCATGAATTACACTACCGAAGAAAAAGTATTGATGATTAAATGGTATTATCAAGGAAATAGTTATCAAAAGGTGTCGGACATGTTTGCTGCTCTGTATCCGAATATACCTGGAAAATCTACAATCGCAAGGAATATCCAGAGATTTGAGACCAAAGGTACCCTAATAAATAACTGCAGATGTGAAGCAAGGCAGGAACAAAGAGAAGATGCAAGAAATGATACCGACTTGGAAGTTTTATTGTGCGTGGAAGAGAACGATGGAAAGATCAGCACAAGGAAACTTGAGGATGAAATAGGAATAGATCACACTACAGCGTTTCGAATTTGGAACGACATAAATACTATTCCTTCAAATATGAAAAGCACCAAGAGCTACGAGATGGGAACGAAATACAGCGGCAGGCGTTTTGTTTTGATATGATGGAAAGAGCAAACACGGATAGGGAATTTTTAAAAAACATACGTTTCACTGACGAATGCACGTTTACCTTAAATAATGAGCCCAATGTTCAAAATTATCGATATTGGAACAAAGAAAACCAACACAGGTTTGTTGAAACAAGGACGCAATATCCACAGAAAATAAATGTTTGGGCGGGGATATTCGGACACAATATTATCGGGCCATTATTTCTTACGCGAAATTTAAATGCAGAATATTATTTGGAACTACTCGAAAATCATATTTTACCTGCTTTACATGATGCCGCTAGGGAAAATCAGGAAGTTTGGTATCAAATGGATGGCTGCCCGGCACATAGTACCCTGGATGTTCGGGAATATTTAGACAATAGTTTTAACGGAAACGTTATTGGCCTAAATCATACAGTAAATTAACCAGCAAGGTCTCCTGATATTTCGCCAAATGATTTCTTTCTCTGGAGCCATTTAAAAAACAGGACCATACAAGGATAAAAAATACCCAAATCTAGACGACTTAAAAAATTCTATTTCTGCCGAATGCAATAGAATTTCAGTTTGCCAACTAGCGAATGTAAGAAGAGAATTTTATGATCGCCTGTGTTATTGTCTAGCAGTCGATGGAGGAATATTTGAACATCTTCTTAAATCCTAAAGTTCTAACAATTTAATAGTACCTAAATTAATAAGTTATTGAATATTGTAATAATACTATAATTAACCTTGTAATTGATTACTTTATTTTACTTTAATTCATATTAATTTGTATTTATAAATACATCTTTAAGATTTCCGATGTAGGAATGAGTTTTCAATAATAATAAAGCACTAAATAGGTAAATTTCTGAAATGACAACTTCATTTGACAGTTATCCTTTACCTTGACTGGTGCTCATAAGTAAATACAGGGCCATAAGAAAGGAGAAATATTTAAAAAGAAATCGGCGATAACTCGTAAACGGGCTAATCAAAAATATCTAAAGTTATTCTTTTGAATGTGGGTTTTAGTGCCCTTCAATAAACCTAAATAGAATTATTCTCTAAAATAATTAAGGAAGCCAATAATTGACCCCATTAAAATTTACATGGGATTTCCTATGTCCCGTCCGACGATGCAACACCCGGTATACAGAAAGCTCTACCTAAAACTAACCTTTGTCATCCCTTAGTATAGATAGCATTATACTCCTTCCTTAATATTTTTATTCAAAGGATTTAATGCAGGAATATAAAAAAAAACGAAACAACGAAAATTAACTACACATTCACACTGCAACCACACTTACCTCGACTTGCGGCTCGTGCTCCTCATCAGCCTCCTCTTCATCCTCATCCTCGTCCCCGTTACTGTCCTCAGTCTTGGCCTCCTCGGCCTCCTCCTTGTCCTTGGCCTCCTTGGCGCTCTTCTCGCCCTCCTGGACGGCCTTCAGACCGGCCAAGGCCTCGGAAGCGATGGCCGGGTCGTCGGTGATCAAGACGTTGTCGAAGATGGTGCCGGACTTGACTTGCCAGAGGTCGAAACCGATACCGCAGATCTCGTTCTGCTTGTAGAGGTCGGGAACGGGGGAGTACTCGGGGTTGTCGATCTCGGGATGGACCCAGGTACCTTTGTAAGCGGGGTTGTCGATCTGTTTCGGTTTCCATTCGCCTGGAAAGAGGGAAAATAATAGTTATTTATTTTACAGGGTGAGTCCAAAAGGAGCGAACGGCGTGTATTTCGGCGGACATTGTACCGGACACTTGGAAGGGTCTCATTTAATTTCGGGCGGCGATCTGTGATTTTTATTTTTTACCGAGTATTCGACAATGGGGGACGCAGTTATTGACTGGGATCGTGAAAAATATTTACAACTAATTTGTTTACACAAAGAAAAGATTTTATAATTTTAATTTTATTGTGGGTTTAGTATGAATAGCTATGTAGCTAGACTTCGTCCATATAATTTCATTTTTGTTAATAAAGACCTTTATGATTATTTTTATTAAAAACCGGAATTATTATGGGATTCTGAAATTAAAAATTACTACTAAATAGGAAGTTTGACACCGGAAATGAAATGAAACTTACCTTTGTAATCAGGATTATCAATCATGGGTGGTTCCCATTCCCCATCCATCTCATCGTCCCAGTCATCAGGCTTGGAAGCGGCTGGGTCAGGGATGTGTTCGGGCTTGTCCCAGTCCTCTGGTTTCTTGTCGTCGGGATCGGGAATGGTGGCCCTATCGTCCCAATCTTCAGGTTTCTTGGCTTCGGGGTCCTTGATCTTCTTGGGAGGCAAGATGTCCCAATCGGATTCCAAGTCGCCTTTCTGGACTTCCTCGTTATCGATGAGGACCTGGTAGGTGTTATCCGGGTGGATGATGAGGGTGTAGGCGTGGGTGTATTCATCATCCTGGTAGAATGAAGGAAGGTTACCAATAGATTCCGTCATATTTTTTTGTTACATTTTCTTATTAGTATTATCCCAAAAAACGTTGTTTCAAGATAATATTTATGCAAAAATTGTTTTAGTAAATGTTTCAGGCGTTATTTTTCAAAAAAAAAAACGTGTTAAAACTGATGAAATCATTGTTTTGTACCTTGTTTTTCTAGAAATAAAAATTAATAGCTAATAACTGATACAATAACGTCTAGGGACTTAACGAAAACAGACAATTAAAATTTAAAAAAAATCCAAAGCAGAATGCATTTTTTTTTCTTTCAATTTTTTATTATGTCGTCTCAGGAATATGAAATAGAATGGTTTTATTTTTTTTAACACCAAAATGAAGCAATTAACAAAAAAAGTCGTATTTTTAGTTCAAAAAAGAAATATGGAAATTAAGTCAGTGAGGCACAATTTTTTGTGTCAAAAATATTGATTAAAGTGCCTTCCAGCACGCCACTGTGCTTATCTCCTCCCTACCCTCAATACCTACCACTGACAAAAATCAAATAAGCCATTATAAAGATATTTACAAAAAAAATATTTTTAAAAGTTTGACATCCTCTATTGTATTGAAAATGAAGATTTTCTGAAGCCAAGTTTTATTAAAAACACTTAAAGAATCACCCCCTAAAGAGGGGCGATACTTTGGGTGATTTTAAGACAAAAATATCACCCTGTATTTTATTTACAGTTTGCTAAGAATAGAGAGGATTTTTAATAAAAATTTCACAAACTTCTATTTTTTTATCTAAATATTTTGAACACCCTATATCAATAATTAATTATTCTCTTTCAAAACCAAACCAATTCAACTCACACACATTTAAAACAAAATAATAGAACTCCAAAAATTCGAAAATAAACAAACCGACTATTTTTAAAATCCTATTTAAATCTCACTTAAATCTAAAAATAACCAACAATTTTTCAAACTTACCTTACACCTAATATCCTTGTTGATGAGATGGTTTTTGTCGTTGTGATTCAAAATGACGTGCACTTTCTTAGTTCCAGGGCCACATATGTCCGGTCCGAACATAAGCCTGTACGCAGTCTCTCCATGCAAATCCTCAGGTTTCAGAGAGCAATCAAATACTTTGACGTATCCACCACCACAATCGATGCTTTGCTCGTGTTTCACAGTAAATTGAATGACTAGATCCTTACCCTCGGTGCTGAAAGGGGCGAATTTGGTGCTGAGGGCGTAAAACCTAGCATCTTGAGAAGTTTGAATACCTGGAAAAGAGAAATAGATATTTTAAGGTAATGACAGTTTAATGAAATAGAAAGTGGACTTCAAACAGGAATTTAGATAAAAATTATTGTGTTTAAATTATATATGCGTGCCACATAGACACAGATATTCAAGATTTTACATAAAAAATATCAAAGAGAAGTGATTTACCTTTTTCTTCCTCTTGGTTAGTAAAGAATTTCCCAGCGCTTCTCACGAATTTTCCAAACTCTTTTCCAGGGTGTTTGCTGTAAATCCAATTTTTCTCCCAGGAATCTAAAACACATGGTAAAAAAACGTATTTCTAACATATTTATCAAAAAAACTCGTATTTATTCGTGTAAATAAACGAAAACTATGATATTGCGATGCAAAAAATTTGGAAATTTGTCATATTTCATGGGAGAATTTCTAGAACTATGTGCGTTAAAGACTATGCCGGATACCGGTTAAATAAAGTGAAATTAAACTTACCATCGCCGAATTTCTCTTCAAAATACACTTTCCCGGCGTTTGCCGTGAAGGCGCACACAGAAAACACACCTAATAACACTAAACACTTCATTTTCTCTTAATTTCCTAGGCTTGTACTCCGATTTACGTCAAACTCACAACAAATCCAGTGGTAAAGTGCCAAAAAAACACTTCTCCAGGGAATACTAATTCGAATTTACGCAACTATCACAGACTGACTTCAAGTTTGATTTTATCCTCCTTTATACCGTATTTACGAGTGGGAAATAGAGAAACGTAAGTGTAGTTTGAGTAGCGATCCGGACAGATGGAAAACGCTGATTGGTCGGAGGGAATAGGTGCTTGATATACGTGGCTTGGACGATGCTGTTTTTAACGAACGGGCCAATGGGATGGCGACGTGAAGCGCGCTACACTTGAATCGGGTTACAGCTGGAGCGATGCGATTGGTTAAAACTGCAAGGCGCGTATTCAAATTTATATCGATAATTTTGAAATATTTGCGATAAGAAAATTGTTGAAATCTTGACTTTGGCACGCCAGAAAAGTCATTTGAAACATTTTTTTTTTAAATAATAAGGTATTAGAAACAAATTAGATTGAAATATGATTACGGGGAATTGAAGAAAGTAAAATGAAACGTGATATAATAAAATTGAAAGTAAAAGTAGGTGCATGGTCACGGTTTTGTGGGTGCCGAATAATCTGATACAGAGAATATAATAAAACAATATCAAATGCCAGATAGCTTGAGAAAATTTAAGTTTAGTTTAAGCTAAGATATCTAGTATTAGTTTTTATTAGAATTAATTTTAAACTTACCTTTTATAGGATTATCTTGATGATTTTCATATTAACGGAAACTGTATTAAATGCCTGCCCTGAAAAAATATACTTATTAATTTCTTTAGTGTCATTTTTCTATCTTCATGCAAAATGGTATGATATTATTTTATACACTCGTAACTTTTTTATTTAAATAAGGTTTTTGAAAAAGAACAATTTTTTATGAAACCCTAGTATACAGGATGGTCTAAACTGTATTCAGGAAATTCGGTTAGATTCAAAGGTTCGTATAAATATTTGTCCTAAAATGCTTAGGTTCGGAGATGCAGAGTGTAGAAATTTCATTTTTATTTTGTTTATACATTTTTCTTGGAAAAAATTATGATAAAGCAGTTTCTGTTGAACTTCTGATACAGAAACATTTCTAATTTTTGATTTCAGTCTAATTTACGTCAATGATGACAGGTATTGATAATTTCGATTCCAAAGATCTCGAGAACCATTACTCGTAGCGATTTTTACTAAAAGACTTTATTTATGTAAAAATCCTCGTAAATGTATATTTTTTTACTTAGTAGTTTTATACAGGTTACACGAAAAGTTATTACTCTTCAAATCAGTTAAAAAATAGGTATATAGGTGGCGCCCTCTACTAGTAGGAGTCATGTTGACATCAAAATCAAATTTCATGTCAAAAAACTAATATCGGTGTCTGGAGGTCAACACAGGAGGTCAATTTTCATCAAAAACATGATGGTGAAAACCGCACATCAATATCTGTTACCGTTTCGGAGTTACGGGGTGTTTTTCAAAAATGTGCATTTTTAACAAATCGCTGTAACTTTTTTGCTATGCAAAATTTTGTATTTCTATGAAAAAATTTCCAAAACACCTTTTTACGTAGAATTTAATGGTTCAAGTATATTTTTTTTTTAAATTAATAATTAAGAGTTATCAACAAAAAAATTGATTTTTTATTTGGGACACCCTCTATATTTTTAATTAACTGAAAATAATTTAAAATTACCTTTCCAAAAATATAGCACACTTGATATTTTGTTATAATCCCCTTCGAAATACAGAATTTTTAAAAGTTCGCCACGACTTTTAACTAGTAGGCTTTGGACCCCTTATTGATGATATGCCCTTAATGGAACTCGAAAACATATTTTTCCAGCAAGACGACGCACCGCCTCTGATCGCTGAAGTTATCAGCAAATTTTTGCAGCCAATTCCAAGAACAATTGAAGTGCTAACCAAGATCCCAGCCATTGGCCGTCGAAGCCGCCTGACTTAGTGCCCATGGATCTAATCCTATGGATATATTTGCGGAAGAATAAAGGCTCCTTATTCTTCCGTATAATCTAGACAAGAATTAGAAATACTTAGCAGTTATGAGAGGGTATCTTTCATCCCCATTGAGTTAATGAATTCCGCGAGAAATGTTCAAAAACTACCCCGTCTGTCCATAACAGAAGACAGTCGATATGTCGAACGCCTGTAGCAAAATCTCATGTCTTGGTTTGCTATTTATTTTTATTGTTATTAGATATAGTTTAAATGTGTTGATGTTGGTTAAATATATTTTAAATTGTTATAAAATTCTGCATCTCTCATAGCAAATATTATTTTCGTTTTAATTGATGCTCACAGCTAGAATTTTTTTGCATTACAGCCGGTGCCGTTCAAAGCCTACTTATTTAAAGCGGGCGAATTTTTATATATACTCTATATCTCGAAGAGGAATCGAGCAAAACATCAAGTGTGTTATATTTTTGGAAAGGCAATTTTAAATTCTTTGCAATAAATTAAAAATATACAGGGTGTCCCATATAAAAAATCAAATTTTCTGTTGATAATTCTTAAATTATTAATTTTAAAAAAATTATACTTAAACCATTAAATTCTACGTAAAAAGGTGCTTTGGAAATATTTTCATAAAAATACAAAATTTTCCATACCAAAAAAGTTACAGCGATTTGTTAAAAATGCATATTTTTGAAAAACACCCCGCGTAACTCCGAAACGGTAACAGATATCGATATGCGGTTTTCACTATCATGTTTTTGACAAAAATTGGGCTCCAGACACCGATATTAGTTTTTGCCTGTCTCCTATAGAAAAGGGTGCTTTCATTTAAAAGCGTCGAATTTGACCCACCCTGTACAGGGTGTCCCATTTTCGTGTGTTTTATGGAGTTTTTCGTTTATAAGTATAGAAATACAAAAATGCGGTTTTAACATCATTCTGCATACTGATGCTGCACACAGATTTATCCTTTTACAGTTTTTTTTATACAGGGCGTACCAAAAAGTACGACCAACAAAGCGAACGCTCCCACAATCTCTATCAATTATATCGTGACCAAAAGAAGTACTACACAAACTCGGCTTTTCCCCGAACAGTACCGCCGGCGTGAAAGAGCACCTAGAGTACCCTGCAAGCAGCAGCAGCAGTACCCGCAGAAGTTGTTCACCTTGACTTCTCTCCACGCCAGGCGCGACTCCATCAAGTTCTGTTAGATGCAACGGGTACCAAAGGTACCAACCAATGCTCTCCGCGACTTGTGTTATTATTTCTTCGTTTGGCACAAAACAGTCTAATTCGAGAGGTGGTACCTCGACGAAGCTACGGTGGTACCTTGGCGATAAGTCGAAGAATTGTAATAGCGACAGTAGTATTCCTCGAGAGTATTACGTTTGATGGCCTAGTGAGTGTGTGTTGGTGTGAGTGACTGTGCGTTTTGTGCCCGCAACAGGAAGTACCTATAGATAGACATAACTGGAAAGAATAAGATACTATTGTTTTCGTCCGGTACTTGAGTAATTTTTACGGTAAATACAGAAGAAAGAAATGCATTAAACTTGTTTTTGGGTTGTTTAGAGGTACCTTCAATTTAAAACAATGATTTTACTGTAAGGAAAAATATAATTACGTCTTTTTCTGGTAAAATTTCGATGTACTGTATCCTTGGTAGTTCCATGGGACCAGGGTTGGAAAAAATCATGATTTTTTTAAAAAAATCAAAAAAATCAGATTTATTTGATTTAAATCAGATTTTTTTGATCTGGCTAAATCTTTATCACTCGTTATCGATAACATTAATAATTCTAGGGTGCGTCTTGTCACTTTTCCACTAATATATTTCGCAAAAAAATCGTTCGCTTCAGATCAAAAGGATTTTTTTTCAAACGTCTCAAAAATATTAATGTTTGTCATTTTAACGCCTAGGTATAAAAGAAAAGCACTGTTACGCCTAAGCACAAAAGTACAAAAATATATTATTAAACAAAAAAAAAATATTAAGTGTCAAATTCAAAGAGCGTACAAATTGTTGCTCGATTGCTGTTTATATTATTTGCAATGTTTGAAATTGATAAAAAATGATTTGTAATGTTTTAAAAAAATTGTATGTATGTTCTATAGGAGTAAAAATGTACTTTTTGTGCTTCCTTGTAACGTCGGAATAGCTTTACGATGGTCCTTCAAAGGTACAGCATCATCAAAAAATGTATAATTTTTACTCCTAATAAAACAATACATTATTGTTCGGAAATACTCCTAAGTATAAGTATAAGTATAATACTTACTGCAGATCAAAATGTCGGTAAGAATTTGGAAAAATACAACCAATTCAAAAAAAAAATAAAAAACATATTTCCTGACAACGATTATTATAGACTAGTTGAAGCCTGGCGCATCCGCCACGACATCAGCAAAAAAAAATCTTTTTATTTAAATGAAAAACAAAGAATCCGGCGACGACAGTTTTTAGAAGAGCAAATTAGCTATCTTTTCTTCAGTAGAGACGACACAGATAAACATTAGCATTTTATATACAGTGGTGGCCAAAAGTATGGAAACTTTTTTAATTTATCATTTATGCTGAGAAATTAAAATATGAAATAAAACGACTTATATAATCGTGACCTACAAATAATTTCCTACAAAACCTAATACATTTAAATAAAAAATTACAGCTATCAAAAAATATATAAAAAATTATGAATATTTTCTTGGTCAAAAGTATGGAAACTTAAGAAGAATGTTTATTAAAATTCAAGATAATATAAAAATTACTAATATTTAGTGGAATATCCCTTTGAATTAATTCTCTACATCTTCATGGCATCGAATCGATCAATCTCGTACAGTCTTTACTGGAAATGGCCGCCCATTCAGTTTTTAGCACTTCCCATAATTCATTTTTATTTGAAATAGAATGGCTTCGAATTTTGCTATCCAAATGGTCCCATAAATTTTCTATGGGTTTAAGATCCGGAGACTGTGAGGGCCAATCCATTAGTGGAACATCATGTTCATTTAACCAATTTTGAACAAACCGAGATTTGTGCTTGGGATCATTGTCTTGCTGGAACAACCATCTGAGTGGCATTTCTTCATCAGCATGAGGCAGCATATTATTCTCCAATATGTCTTTGTACAAAAAACGGTCCATTATCCCATCAATTTTAATAAGAGGACCAACACCTGAGCGAGAAAAACACCCCCATACCATTATACTCCCACCCCCATGTTTTACTGTGGGTATCTGGAATTTATGGCTGTACCGTGTACCTTTTGGTCTTCGGACATAATGTCTCCCGTCACTACCAATTAGTTGAAACTTGCTTTCGTCGCTAAACAGCTCAGTATTCCATTTCTGATAGGACCAGGTGAGATGATCTTGAGCAAATTTAAAGCGGGCCATCCTATTTTTCTTTGATATTAGTGGTTTATTCACCGCAACTCTTCCAAAAAGTCCCATGTCATCCAACCTTCTTCTCACCGTGCGTGCAGACACCGATATTCCCCTTTCACCCATTTCTCGAGAAATGTCTGTGGATGTTTTTCTTGGATCTCCCATTGATATTCTCTTCATTACTTTCATTGTCCTGTTGCACAACTTTCTTGGTCTTCCTGACTTAAAAGCTGTTGAAACGTTCCCTGTTTTATTAAATTTACGAATTATTTTCGAAACGGTGCGGTGCCTTTTAAAATGTTTAAATGTTTACTTATTTGAATTTGTTTATAACCGCTCTTGTATAATTCAAGTATTTTATTTTTTAAATCCGTAGAGAAATATTTAGACTTGGGCATGATGTTTATATTTATCTGAAGCAAATCGTACCGTTTATCAGCTTAAACTAAATAATTTTAATGTATTTATTTATCGTTTCCATACTTTTGGCTACAAGAAATCTATTGTTCCCTTACAAAAACTGCTAAACAGACTTTTTTAGCTGTGTAATTTTTGGAATACTTTTATTTGCTGATAAGCTGTTCATTTATATTCCTGAGAGTTTAAGCATAGCAATATTTTCTGTGATATTTTAAAAAGTAAAAAGTTTTCATACTTTTGGCCACCACTGTATGTAGATTCTCGAGAATGAAGATATAGTCTCTATATCAGAAGAACCTAGTTCTGCACTAGACTGCGAATGATATGTATTCGAACAGCGAATTTTTGTCACTTATACCAAAGAATATTATAGTTAACACAAAGAATTATCTTTGCTTATACATAAATTTTAAAATAAATCCCTGCGTTTAGCGGTCTAATGGATTCACACGAAATTACTTCAAAAATCGGTCCAAAAAAACATTTAAATTGATGAATATATATTTTTATATAGTTTTATAACATTTACAATTACTATTCGATTTATTATCTGTTATATCTTTTATAGAAATATTTTTTATAGTTTTCTAGGACAGATTTTTATAACTTTTACAGCTATTTTTTGATTTATAATAAAGTTTTAATAATTTTTTTTTTTTTGATTTAAAGATTTAAATCACGATTTAAATCATGATTTAAATCATTTGATTTAAATCATGCCAACCCTACTAAATACAGGGTTGTTCACCACATACGACACGGAGTATTGTGGCTAAACGATGAGATTTTTACAAATTGTAAGTTTGGGGTTCGTTGAAGGACTATTAGAGCTACAATTTAAAAATATTTTTACAAGATACAGAGTGTCCCAAATAAATAAAAAATATCAAAGTTGTATTTTTTTAAATGGAACACCCTGTATATTATTACATTTTTAGTTTCTACGATTAAAATAAAGGTAAATTTGATTAAGGTTTATTATACTTAAACATTACGTTTTTGAAATATTTTCAATTTTGTGAAATTGCAGTAAAAATTTTAAAGCTTTATTTCTCCAAGGGTATCAATGTTTTTAATACTAAATATTTAATGAAGTTTATTTATTGATCAGTTATTGTGTTGCAATAATAAAAATAATACTACTTTATAGAGAGTGTCTAAAAATTTACTTTAAATAATTATTAACTTCAAACGGCAACAACTTCTTTAATTTAAATAGAATGCCCTGTATATTTTAGGAGAATCAGATGCACAATTAAATTGTCTATCAAATTGCATTATACCATTTTTTACCTATCCCTTCAAGTTTTAGTAGAAAATGCATTTTCTTATAATTTAGACCTCATTTATCAATATATCCATGGAATATTGACATTTTAGATTGTTTTTAAAGCAACAAATGTACAAAATGTACAGACTAGTAATATTATCGTTTTTAGCAAAACGATAATATTACTAGCCCATTTGTATGCAAAAAGAAAACTATTTAAATCTTTATAAAAGAGTATACCATTAATTAAATATAACACCATTATTTGCGCCCATATACTAATTAATTACATACTTAATTGTGTTCGTTATTAAATTATTATAAATAAATGTGGATTTGAGTCAGAAATCAATATAATAATAAGTTATCAAATTAAAGTCTCTGTAGTTATAAATAAGCATTTATTAAAAAATGAAATATCATTTTTAAGGTGTTACTTTTTATCACACTGTCTAATGCCCATACAAAATTCAGTTTTTTAGTATTTGGAGCAATTATTATTAATCAAAGCAAACAGTCAGTTAATGTTGTTTGAATACTGGAATCATATTAACTGATCCTCTTTAACAAATATTTAAACAGTTTTTTTTTATTTTTTAATGAAATAAACGAATTATATCGACAATATTAATATTTGTACTCTTTAAAAATTTGATACATCTTTAAAAATAATCTAAAATGTCAATAGTCCATGGATATATTGATAAATAAGTTCTAAATTACAAGAAAATGCATTTTCTACGGAAACTTAAAGAGATAGGTAAAAAATGGTATAATATAATTTGATAGACAATTAAATTGTGCATCTAATTCTCGTAAAATATAGAGGGTGTTCCATTTAAATTAAACAAGTTATTGCCGTTTGAAGCTAATAATTATTTAAAATAAATTTTTAGACACTCGGTATAAGGAAGTATTATTTTTATTATTGCAACACAATAACTGATCAGTAAATAAACTTCAGTAAATATTTAGTATTAAAAACTTTGATACCCTTGGAGAAATGAAGCCTTAAAATTTTTACTGCAATTTTACAAAATTGAAAATATTTCAAAAACGGTAAGGTTTAAGTATAATAAACCTTAATCAAATTTTCCTTTATTTTAATCGTAGAAACTAAAGATGTAATAATATACAGGGTGTTCCATTTAAAAAAATACAACTTTGATATTTTTTACTTATTTGGGACACTCTGTATCTTGTAAAATTATTTTTAAATTGTACCTCTAATAGTCCTTCATCGAACCCAAAACTTACAATTTGTAAAAATCTCATCGTTTAGCTACAATACTCCGTGTCGTATGTGGTGAACAACCCTGTATACAAGGTTATCCAAATTAATTTTTTTTTCAAAATTTTTATGTTTTTGTTCAAATTTTATTTTTTTTTGGTTTTTCCAAAGCAGGTACTTATATTAAGTGCAGATAACTGTTAATAGTACAGTAGTACCTTAATTTTAGTTTCACAAATCCTCAAAAAATTAAATAATTCACATAAACCAACAAGTATGCCATCTAAATCTTAGATGGCATTTATTTCAAATATCAAAATATCTAATAAAATCCAGTAAAATTGTACCACCGTATAGAGAGTGAAAAAAAAATTACGGGCAAGTTGATTTTTTCAGAGTTTGTTAGCGACTGTCTTCTGAGTAAAATTAACAAAATCGGAAATTTTCCCCTTGCGGTTTTCCCCAAGGGGTGTTTTTTTTTTAAACTGTTCTACAACAAAATAATTAGACGCAAATTGTACATAAGAACATTCTCTATAAGTTCGCCTAATGACTTTTTTTATAAGTTTATTATTCCCGGACTTAACGGCCGTTTCATGAACCCTTTAGGGTGGTTTAAAAAAGTTTGTTTTACAGCAAATTGACCCGTATGAACGTTGTTCATAATATATGGACAAACAACTTTTCCTCTTGAATTTTTTTGTAGCTTCATTATTTTTGGGGTTAGCGTGGTATAGCTTTAAATGTCTTTTTTTTTCAGGAAATTCACAAGTGCTATTGGGGAAATAAATACATATCATAGGGAAGTTTGCATGTAATTTTAATATGAACACCTTTAAGTTGGTAAATTTGTAGAACTAAACAAAAATTATGAAACTACCCCAATTTGTTCATGAACTGGACGCTATCTCCAAAAATAATGAAGCTACAAAAAAAAATCATGAGGAAAAGTTGCTTGTCGATTTATTATGAACAAGTTAGTCGTGAGAAATCAGTCCTAAATTATGGAACACCCCGTATACTATATTTTGAATTATTCTATTATATTTTCTTGTAAGTATTCCATAATGTGAATATTGTATAATTTTTTTTCTTACTAAGAACACTTTACCGTCATTTTTAAATTTATTTTACATGGACGTACTATGTATACTATTCGTTCGGAAATGAATTTATTATTATTATAACAAAAAGGCCTATCTCTATTAAACAACTAAAAATAAATTATTTGTTAGAATTTACGCTCAATTTATCTTCAGAGCGTTTCCTCAATGTCTCCGTTTAAGTGTTAATACAAAAACACTATTAAAAAATTAAAGACTTTACATTTATTGACCAAATAAAGTAAGTGATTTTCTTTAAATTGCTCTCCTGAAAAGTAGAAAAAATCGTGATACGCCTTTTCGTCATAAAGCCGACGATATTGACATCAAAATCCAAATTTCTCATGTCAAAAAACTCCCAGACACCAATTTTCATCCAAATATTGAGATTATTTCAGAAATTATTTGGAAAAAATCGAAATAAAAATGAAACTTCTACACCCTGTATCTCCGAAACTAAGCATTTTAGGACATACATTTATACGAACTTTTTTACTTATTTTTACCTGCAGAATATGCTGCCGAAGTTTCCGGAATACAGTTCGGATCACCCTGTATAATTCCGTGTTTATTAAAAGTTGACAAAAACTTAAAATCCCTTAAAATGCCTAAAATTTTATCTATGATTTCATCATCAAACAAAACATTTTCTTATCCTTTTTTAACCATACAAAAATTGAAATTCGAGAATACAAAACTGTTAAATGTAATGAGTAATGATCTTATAGTTGTCTATTATCTCACAACCACGAAGTGTTACTTAACTTTATAGGATAACCGTGCGTTTACTTTTTATTTTGTTATATTTATAACGTTCAACCGCTATTATTTATTATAAGTATTACAACAATTACAAAAACAATAACTGGTTTTTTCATATTGACGTTTACTTGGAAAAGATTCGTGAACGGCGATAAAATCAACTATAGTCTATAAAATGAATAACTTTGAATTTTGACCGTTATTTTTTACCAACATGGCATATATAAAACCCCTCTGTCAAAAAAGTTACTGATATTCTTTAAACTGAGTGCCTGAACGAATCAGATAGGTAACTCTTTTTACTTTCGTGAAATAAAAAAGGAAAATAATAAAACAAGTGACAGTTCTTCCTCTCCTTGCAAAAATCAACACGAAATGTCAAAATTGACAAAAGTAAAATGTCATCAGCTTTTGACATTTCTAAATATTAGATCAATGCCGTCTCTAATAGAACAGCCACGGAGCGAAATTTATGACGTCACGCTAGTTAGATACTACGGATTAATAAATATGTTGTAGAATACATGGAAAATATAATTATTCCTCGTATTTTTGGTTTGTATTTTAAAAATGATATAGTTTAAATGAAATATACATAATATACAGTTAATAAATACAATATAATATATACCTATTTATAGTAATAAATACTTTGGCAAATAAACTATGAACCATACAAATGCAGCAAATGTTTTACAATATACAAATAATGAATAGGTGGTACATAAGATAATGGGTAAAATGTAAAATATATAATATATATATTTTGGGGTTTGAAAATCGATCTAATTTAACAAAAAACATTCAATATCTACTAACAGTGATGTATTAATATTTGCAATCACAAAATTTATTTATATATTATAATGTTTACTGCAATTAATAAACTAATATAAACTTGTCAAAAGATGACCACATATTTTTTTAAATTATTATTCTTAATACAAAAACTATCTACATTGACTATGGAGTACGATTTCAGCCATATTGTAAAACATTTGCTGCATTTGTATGGTTTATAGTTTATCTGCCAAAGTATTTATTACTATAAATAGGTATATATATTGTATTTATTAACTGTATATTATGCATATTTCATGTAAACTATATCATTTTTAAAATACAAACCAAAAATACGAGAAATAATTATGTTTTCCATGTATTCTACAACATATTTATTAATCCGTAGTATCTAACTAGCGTGACGTCATAAATCTCGCTCTGAGGCTGTTCTATTAGAGACGGCATTGCGTCAGCATGGCCGCAAGTTGCTAACCTAATAATATTAACACTAGAAAAGCCCGCGGGAACTGTCAAATTCAAAGTTATTCGTTTTACAGACTATAGTATTTGAGATGGGGCAAATTTTTAAACGAATATATAATGAAAAGGGTACAATATTGAGATGCGCAAATTCGCTATGTTAAAATATGACCCATTGGGCATGTCATGACGTTGATATCTCAAAATCGCCAAAAATCGAGATACGCCTTTTCGTCATAAAGTCTCCTATTTGTAGAAGGCGCAGACATATACCAATAAGTCTCGTTTTTTTATCTGAAAAAATTATAAGTTATATAGGGGTGAGCCACTCTTGAGAAACACCCGGTATACAGTATGAAAAAACATTTTCTGTTTTGAAGCATAAACGATACGTGTTCGTTCAAATTAAAATAAGTAACTTTTGGATATATGGAAAATACAATAAAAATATATTATTATAGTCTTATGATAGATGATGTTTTCTAAAAATACGTAAACTGTATAGCGCAAAGACCAAAAACCTCCTCTGACGAAAGTCTTTTATTCACAGTTCAGTTAAAAAAAAGTTGAGTCATCAGATGCCGCTAGAATAATTATTGTTTATGAGAGAAAGAAGTGAATTACTTAAAGAAAAAAAAAAAGATAGTGGTTTGAATGGTTCTCACGAGGTCCATTTCGAAATAAACGATTCCTAAATATTTATAAAGAGCATCGAAATTTGATTTTAAATTGTTTAAAAGTGTCTTGTGTCATGGTAGATTACCTTTTGAAGTTAAAAAACTAAGAATGTCGTTTAATTGACTAACCTACGTTTTTTTTTATTTAATAATAACTGTAACTACTAGAATTTTGCAAAAAATCTTCAAATATATGTACAGGATGTCCCAAATATATAAGATACGAAGAAGGCCAAATTATAGCAAAGTTGTGCAATTTTATGACCAATAACAAAATTTTAAAATCGTTTTTATTTTTTTCTGGGTTTGTAATTTCATCATTGTCACTTTTTTATTTTTATTAGATGTATAGTACGTAGTGCTACAGTATAACCGAAAAAAAACGGCGTCAGATGGCTATGGAATCACAATCGATGCTTATTTTGGCGAAGTCAATCTCTAGTCGTAATTTACTAAAAATTGACATGACATATGTCAAAAATTAACAGTAATTATAGAAAGATTAAAAGAAGGATAGAATACGGGCCAAGTAAATAACGTCTACGGCTTGACCTCGCCAAAATTATCATCGATGGGCATTCCTCAGCCGTCTTTGACGCCGTTTTTTTTTCGAGTATTTCTCACCCAATACTTTTAAAAACAAGTTGAATGCATTAAAAAACAAAATTATTTTAATGTTAGAGTTAAAAAACTGTCCTCAGAGTGATAAAAAATATTTTTTTTATAGTCAGTATAGTCAGATTTTATGACGATTTATTTTATAAAAATTATTCAATTTTTGGTTTTAGCTTAAACTTCTAAATAACAGAATCAGAAACACAGTGTGTTGAATAAATTTAAGACACATATTCCAGAAATAATAGCCTTCAATAATATTGAATATATTTCATCATCTCAGAAGACTCAAAAAATCTGTATTTTCTATCACTCTGAATCCGTACTTGTCCGCATATGTGTGTAACGCGCTATTGTGTTGCTTTCTAGAAAAATGCAAATCACCGCCACAGCCGACTTCGATTCATCCCGGACAACGGACCTCTGGCGAAACAAAAGAACATGAATTTTAATTTATGATTGCTCGAGTACGGAGATAAATAGACTAAGACCCTAAAAAATCAAAACTTTCACACAGAAACAGACAACTAGGCTATTAAGTTTACCTAAGACAAGTATCATCGATGGCTGCGATGAATGAACGAAGAATACGCGATGTGCGCGACATCTGGACCATGAGTTCCAGAGAACCTGAAAAGGAACCGTCAAAAAACATGCCTACACCTCACGGAATGGACCCTACGTCAGAGACCAGAACGAGGCACAAATACAAGACCCTTGAAAGACACTTGAGTATGAAGAAAACCATCAGGAAGAAAATGATGAGGGATCTGCGCGAGATTGGCGATGGTACTGCGCAGGATAGCCAACAGCAGCAGCACGCAGCGTTCTTGGAACAGATCAAAAACGATCAGCCACCGCCTGAAAGTGTGGAGAAACCAAGTTTGTGGAGAAGACTGACCAAAGGATGGGGACATTAGAAGGAATTCTATCATTCATAGACATTTTAGTGTTAGGACCTTTATTTTTTATGTGATGTGGTTTATGTTATACTCTCTATAGATACTACAGCTACAGGAAAATGTGTAAAAGTTCTTTTATTAACGCTCTCTATCCATCTAAAATCCAAATTATTGTTCAAAAATTGCTTAGAAATAGAAAAAAATGTTTTCAAACCCTTCTTGTGTGATCTATAGCAAAAATTCCAGAAAATCTGACAAAAAAAGGAACACACTACCATCAAAATACTACACATCAAAAATCAGAACTACACACAACTACAAAACCCTTGATAGACAACTTAGATATTGAAAACGCTGAATAGACAAACTTTTTATTGTCCTTCTCTATGCTTGGCACTTAGAAAATCTGCAAAGTGAACCGTATGATTCACAGGCTTACGTGAACTTGAATTTAGACTTCTTGGACAAAGCTGCAACCAGTTTATTTGTATATAAAAAGAACTATTAGTCACACAGTGAAATGACAACTTTAGTATGGTAAAATTAATAATTGAGGAAATATTCAGTTATTTCTTGTTATACAGAAACAAGAGTTTTGAAAGTCAATATTTTTCTTTAAAAAAAATCATATACAGACGTAAATTTTCTTTTTTGATAATAACACAATAAGTATATTAAGAAATTCTATTTTTTTAACAGTAAAAACACAACCCAAATGTTACATTGCGTTAGAACGTTTCAAAAACGAAGTAAAGAACAATGATCGAGAAGCTTTTTCATTGATTACACTTTTTTTCTTGAAAGGAGAGTAAAAACCTTGGTCCATTCCATTTTCAACTCTTCTAAAACAACAGATATAAATCAGATAGTAGCTGCGTTAGTCAGTGGCCGAGAATGAATTGCTTTTTTTTGAAAATTATTCTATTAATATGTTCTTAATAAATACCGGGTGTTCAAAAAATACGTGCTTTATTTTTTATATCAACCATCAGCTTTGTTTTATTCAGAGGGTTAAGTTTTCGTTTTTTTGCGATTATTTATAATTTCCTTTCAAGTTTTTTTAGTGATTCAAAATGAAATTTGAGAGTAAAAATTATTATAAGTGCTACATATTGTAATGGCAAATCACTGGATGCGCCACTGATCTGCATTTTTTTCTCTTGTCTAGTTTTCTTCTAAAAAATTGTTTATTTTAAAATATGATGTCTTCTAACGGACAAACCAAACACTTCTGCATAGAAGAAAATAGTAGTGTATGTCCTCAAAATATTGGGACACCCTGTATATTACTTAGAAAATGCCGTTGTATATTAATAATCGATTTTCCATAATTTTATAATAAATTTTCTTTGTTGAAATTATCATTTATGGTCGATAAATATTTTCCTTGTTTCTATAGCAAAGACTATTCATTTATTTTCTCAATGACACTTTTACCATTAAGTTATTTACTGTCATTTACACTGTGTGACTAAGAATATTCATTTTTATTTAAATAAACGGATTTCAACCTTGTTCAACAAGTCTAAATTTAAATTCACCAAGTTTGTGTGAATCATCCATATTTCGTTTTGATGTTGAACTAAAAAGAATCTATTTTCTATTAATTGAAAATCAATTTAAAATAAAATTCACCCCAGAAAAATCACAAATTTGCTACAAAAGTTTGAATTTTATTTTCTCTATGCTGTGTAATAATAGTATTAGAATTGAAAATTGTATATTATTTTTATGTAGTATTGTATCGTGATATTTTTTTATATATATATAATTGTAATGTAGGTACGTAGTTTTATTGTTTAAAAAAGTCTGTAATGTATTTTATATAATAGCTTTATAATTGTATGCCTGTTCCTAATAACTATTACATTATAGTTTTATTTTTATTTTGCGATATATTTTTTATTATTTAGAATTTTAAGGAAGTATTTTGGAGAACCAAAAGCCTAGCAATAATATGTGTTCTAGGATTGTACTTCTAGTACATCATAGTAATTATACAGTGTATATAAGAAAATAAAACAAAATATAGTAGTACTATATTGCATTTTTTAATTTATTGTAATGTTTCTTGAGTTTTTTCAGAAAAAAATAAAAAAATTTTTAGGGGTTCTTCCCTAATCTTTTTATTCAAAAGTTTAAACTCATTGTAGCTAAACGATTATATTTTTACAAATTTCAAGTTTTGGGTTCGATGAAGGACTATTAGAGGTACAATTTAAAAATAATTTGACAAGATACAGAGTGTCCCTAATAAATAAAAAATATCAAAGTTGTATTTTTTTTAAATGGAACACCCTGTATATTATTACATTTTTAGTTTCTACGATTAAAATAAAGGTAAATTTGATTAAGGTTTATTATACTTAAACCTTACCGTTTTTGAAATATTTTCAATTTTGTGAAATTGCAGTAAAAATTTTAAAGCTTCATTTCTCCAAGGGTATCAATGTTTTTAATACTAAATATTTAATGAAGTTTATTTATTGATCAGTTATTGTGTTGCAATAATAAAAATAATACTACCTTATACAGAGTGTCTAAAAATTTATTTTAAATAATTATTAGCTTCAAACGGCAATAACTTCTTTAATTTAAATGGAATGCCCTGTATATTTTAGGAGAATCAGATGCACAATTAAATTGTCTATCAAATTGTATTATACCATTCTTTACCTATCCCTTCAAGTTTTCGTAGAAAATGCATTTTCTTATAATTTAGACCTCATTTATCAATATATCCATGGAATATTGACATTTTAGATTGTTTTTAAATCAACAAATATACAAAATGTACAGACTAGTAATATTATCGTTTTTAGCAAAACGATAATATTACTAGCCCATTTGTATGCAAAAAGAAAACTATTTAAATCTTTATAAAAGAATATACCATTAATTAAATACAACACCATTATTTCCGCCCATATACTAATTAATTACATACTTAATTGTGTTCGTTAATAAATTATTATAAATAAATGTGGATTTCAGTCAGAAATCAATATAATAATAAGTTATCAAATTAGTCTCTGTTGTTATAAATAAGCATTTATTAAAAAATGAAATATTATTTTTAAGGTGTTACTTTTTATCACACTGTCTAATGCCCATACAAAATTCAGTTTTTTAGTATTTAGAGCAATTATTATTAATCAACGCAAACAGCCAGTTAATGTAGTTTGAATACTGGAATCATATTAATTGATCCTCTTTAACAAATATTTAAACAGTGTTTTTTTTTATTTTTTAATGAAATAAACGAATTATATCGACAATATTAGTATCAGTACTCTTTAAAAATTTGGTACATCTTTAAAAATAATCTAAAATGTCAATAGTCCATGGGTATATTGATAAATAAGTTCTAAATTACAAGAAAATGCATTTTCTACGGAAACTTAAAGAGATAGGGAAAAAATGGTATAATATAATTTGATAGACAATTAAATTGTGCATCTGATTCTCGTAAAATATACAGGGTGTTCCATTTAAATTAAACAAGTTATTGCCGTTTGAAGCTAATAATTATTTAAAATAAATTTTTAGACACTCTGTATAAGGTAGTATAATTTTTATTAGTGCAACACAATAACTGATCAGTAAATAAACTTCAGTAAATATTTAGTATTAAAAACATTGATACCCCTGGAGAAATGAAGCCTTAAAATTTTTACTGCAATTTCACAAAATTGAAAATATTTCAAAAACGGTAAGGTTTAAGTATAATAAACCTTAATCAAATTTACCTTTATTTTAATCGTAGAAACTAAAAATGCAATAATATACAGGGTGTTCCATTTAAAAAAATACATCTTTAATATTTTTTATTTATTTGGGACACTCTGTATCTTGTAAAAATATTTTTAAATTGTCGCTCTAATAGTCCTTCAACCAACCCAAAACTTACAATTTGTAAAAATCTAATCGTTTAGTTACAATACTCCGTTCGTATGTGGTGAACAACCCTGTATATTCTATGACAGTGTTTTTTTATATATCTGTTAAAAAATGATGATATTTTTCATCTTTACAAGATTTAGCTAAACGATTAGATTTTTACAAATTGTAAGTTTTGAGTTCGTTGAAGGACTATCAGAGCTACAATTTAAAAATATTTTTACAAGATACAGAGTGTCCCAAATAAATAAAAAATATTAAAGATGTATTTTTTTAAATGGAACACCCTGTATATTATTGCATTTTTAGTTTCTACGATTAAAATAAAGGTAAATTTGATTAAGGTTTATTATACTTAAACCACAATTTAGGCCACAATGTATACTAGTTCTTAAGAGAGAAACATGTCTGAACAAAGGTAAATCTTGGTCTTCGTTCTTGAAACTAAATATAGGTGGACGTAGATGATCGAACTTTGCGATTTCTAAGAAACGCAAAAACAACAAGACTGTGTGTAGGTCAACAGCTTTATTTCAGAGTTACACTATAACATATAGTTGCCTTGCCGGTTTCTCATTGGGTAATGGCGGGGGAGTAAACAGATAATAAAATAATCTATATATTATAGTAGGCGATATTAGTAATAATAGTCCACTGTTACAAAATCCATATAAAGTAAAAACTTCTATAAAGACATATACAAGGTGATCTAAACTCTCGCCAATATACAGGGTGGTCTGAACTGTATTCCGGGAACTTGGGCAGCATATTCTACAGATAAAAATAAGTAAAAAAGTTCGTATAAATGTATGTCCTAAAATGCTTAGTTTCGGAGATACAGGGTGTAGAAGTTTCATATTTATCTCGATTTTTTTCCAAATAATTTATGATGTAACGTGTAACGCCAATATTTGTGAAAATGCGTGTCTGGAAGTTTGTTGATATGAGAAATTTGATTTTGATGTCAATACGACTCCTATTTGTAGGGGGCGCCACCTACATGCGTTTAAACCTTTGAATAAGAAGACTAAGGAATGAGCATATCAAAAATCTTAGGTCCACCGCGATGGGCCTCAAATATGGCCATAGATAAAAGAAAATAATCTTCTATTAAGATGTCTCATGTTAAAAAACTCCCCGACACCAATTTTCATCCAAATATTTACGCAACTTCAGAAATTATTTGGAAAAAATCGAAATAAAAATTAAACTTCTACACCCTGTGTATCTCCGAAATTAAGCATTTTAGGAAACACATTTATACTAACATTTTTACTTATTTTTATCTGCCGAAGTTTCCGGAATACAGTTCGGACCACCCTGTAGATCTTCACTGAGTGCGCCTAGGAAACTATAACCTCTGTAAAACCGTCTCAGATACTGGCTTTTCTCAAAACCCTGAGACTGTATGATGAGTTATAACTCAAGAAAGGGGGACACCACAGATCTGTAAGGTCCCGGTGATTAACTCTATCCTCCCATGCATTCTACAATGGTAATTTTTTTGGGTCACTCTGTATACAGATCAAAACCTTTTTTCCGACCAGTTCTTAACTTGGCGACCATACCTAATCGGCGTGACCGATTGCACAAATTATTTCCTTATATTTTGCTATATAGTTACGTGGTTTTGGATTAAAACTGATTTTAATTTGCTGTTACGTTTGAAATGGGAACACAAAAAGCGACCAAATAAAACAACCAAACCGCTTAACACTAATATATTCCAATCCAGTTGAAAGAGAAACAAAAAAAAACATATCAAAATCGTATTAAAACTAGGTAGGTACTTGCACAGAGCTTTTATGGGGCAACATGTAACATTTTTTGTTCAAAAAAAAAACATATTAAAATAGTCTTTTACACCTTACCAACTACTTACAACACATAAATTTCATTTTAAAAGCTTTACAGACCAAAATTTAACAATTCGTATAGTTATTTGATATAATTTAATAAATAGTTATAATTTACAAAACATAAACTTGCTTTACTTAATTCAAGTTACATAAATTTCAAAATTGACCTACAAACATAGGCAACTCTATATACAGCAATGAGTTTAACGTGTTGCCTATACAAGACGGGCACTTTTAAAATTAAGGTAAAGTCTCTCTAATTGAGAGAAAAACAATTTATTTTTGATTAAAAAAGACGAATTCAACCAACAATTGACAGACTATAACTTTAGAATAGTAAGAGATAAGAGGGTTTAAATGAATAAGCGCCACAAAAGTCAGATAAATAAAGGAGTTTTCTTATATTTTTAGTTGATGTTTTCCTATAAAATAATTTGTTTTTCAGGTGAACCCACAATCACAATTTACAACCAAATATACATTATTAAAAAATAACTTTAATTTTTTATATTAATAAATTAATATAAATTAATATCTATATTCATTTGCTCCCTATTAATTAAAAAAAATAAATTGTAAAAATTTGTATTACTGCTATTATAATAAACAGAAAAAAAGTACAATTTTTTAAAATAAAAATAAATAAATAGTATATATTGTGTATTGTTCTTAAAAAAAAGAATTATCATTTATACCCTTTATACGTACAGAGGATTTTTTTTAATTTAACTAAAATGTTTATATATTTATATTTGTATATTTCGGATTGCACAATTTTATATCTTTTGCACTAACATTTATCTCATTACAAGCTTTGGATTATTAGCAAAATTTAAATTTATATCGTTTTTTTATACAAAAATAATTATTTCGTCATTCAAAAAATGCTGAATTAATTCAAATATTTATTTTACTTATATACTTTTTTGCCTTAAGCCGCGTCCAAGCTACTCGAACAAAACGTTCGCGAACATATACAGGGTGTTTCAAAACAAATGCGAAAAACTTTAGGGGGTGATTCCTTGTTCAAAATAAAGGGTAGTTTGCTTTATAAACGTTGGGTCAAAAGTCTACCATTAGGGAGATATCGCGGTACAAAGATGGCGGAAAAATAATGTTTTTATTTTTTATCTTGAAAACGAAAAGAGATAGACTAATGAAATTTTATGGAAGCATTACTGTTATGAAAACACACTTTCAGGTAATTTTTTTACTTTTTTAAAATGAGTGGAAGGGGTTGAAATAAACTACACCTATCATTCTTGTTAACGAAATTTAAAGAGAAATCTTATCAAACACATGCAAATGCTTTAATTTGGATAGTTTAGTTTGTTTAGAAACTTTTTTACCTCTTGTGTTTTTTTGATAAAACTCACCGATTGGAAATTAAAAAATAAAATGTAAAGCATTACATGTCAGGACAAAAAACATTTTTAGATTAAGAATCTAGTGATAATAACGATAATAATAATCATCTAGACAATAACGTATTGCAGTAGAGTAATGTTAAATAAAATAATATTAGGAACATCCTAAAAAGTAACAGCGGCCGACTAGATTTTTTCCTAAAAAAATTACAGCAGCCCACTAGATTCTTTATCAGAAAATGTTTTTTGTCCTGACATGTAATGCTTTACATTTTATTTTTTAATTTCAAATCGGTGAGTTTTATCAAAAAAATACAAGAGATAAAAAAGTTTCTAAAGAAACTAAACTATCCAAATTAATTATCAAATACATGCAAAAATTATTTTTGCATGTATTTGATAAGATTTTTCTTTAAATTTCGTTAACAAGAATGATAGGGGTAGTTTATTTCAACCCCTTCCACTCATTTTAAGAAAGTGAAAAAATTACCAGAAAGTGTGTTTTCATAACAGTAATGCTTCCATAAAATTTTATTAGTCTATCTCTTTTCGGTTTCAAGATAAAAAATAAAAACATTATTTTTCCGCCATCTTTGTACCGCAATATCTCCCTAATGGTTGACTTTTGACCCAACGTTTATGAAGCAAACTACCCTTTATTTTGAACAAGGAATCCCCCCTGAAGTTTTTCGCATTTGTTTTGAAACACCCTGTATAATTCACACTATATACTCGTAGCAGCAGGTCGTAAACGACGGCACAGCCCATCGCATCGGTCCCGAGGACTGAGGTGCGGGGAAGAATGCGACAACCAGGTTGCTCTATAGATCTAGGATGCGTTTAGGTAGTCGCTGTTTTTTCGAGTGCCCGGATTTCGAGTGCAAGCATTTTATTACATAAATTAACCGGTAAACAGTTTAAGAATTTTGTCGTTGAAGAATCAATATTTAGCAGGCGGAGGGTTACAGGGGTCTTTTGGTAGATTATTCGTTATAGTGTATATTTAAGAGCTGTATTCATTTTCACCCGATTCTACCAGGTGTTTCTCAAAAGGGGCTCACTTTTTTACTTTTTTATTTTTTCAGATAATACTACGAAATTTGGTTTGTTAGTATATGACATAAATCGGGATCGATTGATGTATTCAATTACCTTCGGTCGCTTCCTGTTTCACCGGAAATGACTACCACTTTGTATTTTTAGATTGTATCCTAAGTACTTTTTTACTTTATTTGATAGAAAATGACATTCTGAATAGAATGACATACCATACGTCAATTTTAGACAATTTCAATTAAATAAAAATAGCATTTTAAATTTCAGTCTAGAGTGCCAAGACTGAGTTAAAACTATTAATTTGTAATCAAAGAACTTTGGAAACATATATTTGATCGTGAATTTTTTTTCGTATCCTTTCATGACTGTTTAAAAGATGCCCAAATCGTATTTTTCAAATGGTACGAGGCTGGCTCAGCATATTTGGAAAAAGCATTTTTTACGAATAATTTGGTACTACATACTTGGTATTTGGAGTAAAATTTTGTCGTTACGTTTATTTATGGCCATTTTTAAATTGAAAATGTCAAAAGTTGACATATAATATATCATTCTAGTTAGAATGTCACTTTCTATCATATACGGTAAAAAAATACCGAGGGTACTTTCCGGTATTTCCGGTGAAATAGGTAGTGACCGAAAATAAATGAAAACGTCGATCAATCCTGATTTATGTCCTATACTAACATACCAAATCTCGATTTTTATCTAAAAAAATTAAAAAAGTTATAGAAGTGAACCACTTTTCAGAAACACCCGGTATATTTATTTCTAAAAATGTAATGGTAAAATTTCATTTCCGGTGTCAAACTTCCTATTTAGTAGTAATTTTTAATTTCGGAATCCCATAATAATTCCGGTTTTTAATAAAAATAATCATAAAGGTCTTTATTAACAAAAATGAAATTATACGGACGAAGTCTAGCTACATAGCTATTCACACTCAACCCACAATAAAATGAAAATTATAAAATCTTTTCTTTGTGTAAACAAATTAGTTGTAAATGTTTTTCACGATCCCAGTCAATAACTGCGTCCCCCATTGTCGAATACTCGGTAAAAAATAAAAATCACAGATGGCCGCCCGAAATTAAATGAGACCCTTCCAAGTGTCCGGTACAATGTCCGCCGAAATGCACGCCGTTCGCTCCTTTTGATTTACCGACACCCGTCGGAACAAGAACGCGCGCGCTCTAGCATAGGCAAACGCACGCTCTGGCGTACAGGCTATCCGTTCGGCGCTCCGCGCTCCGCTCTCCTTAATAGGCCTAGGCTAGCTGTACTTATTGGCTTTATTATTTATAAATCTACCTATCTTACAATTTTCACTTAGTATCTGTTTAATTATATATGTTCGCGAACATTTTGTTCGAGTAGCTTGGACGCGGCTTTATTGTGCTTATTAAATATTAAATTTTAATTTAAAAAAAAATATGTCTTAGGATCCAAATTGTTCAGTTTCATTTTCTATAGGTTTAAAAGAAAAACTCCCTCTTCCGTCGAGTTGCAGCACGTACTCATGATGCTGCCACAAAGACTTGCGATGTGAAACTGTCAACAGCGTTATACCTACCTCCCTACAATACCTGTACATACTGCCTTCCACATCCACAGATACAGCACTAGTACATTCATCCAAAATCGCAAACTGAGGCTTGTGATAGAACAATCTAGCCATAGCAATCCTTTGTTTCTCACCCCCAGACAACACATCCAGCCAATCAGCTATCGCGTCTAATCCTCCTTCTCTTTCCAGCAAATAACCTAACTGAACCCTCTGCAAGTGACTTATAAGGATTTCATCAGTAGCTCCCCTCCTAGCAGCCTCACTACCACTGTGAGGATACGTGAGTTGATCTCTTAAACACCCTAAAGTCATGTAGGGTTTTTGGGGAATGTAAAACAGCTTCCCCCTGGGGGGTTTAGTGAGTTCTCCACCAAATATCGGCCACAATTCCCCAAGAATTCTGAACAAAGACGACTTCCCTGCACCGTTAGGTCCACAAACCAGGACATTCATGCCTGATGTGATCTCGAAAGTTAATTCAGGCACTAAAATATCTCCGTTGGGGGTTACCAAAGGTACTTTTTCGAATTTGATGAGGTTGTTCTTGAAAATAAGCTTACCTCCGTTGGGTTTTAGGTGCTCAGCACCGGCCACCATCGTTCTTTGGTACTTCCCGTCGTTTAACTCTGATAGAACTGTTCTTAACTGTGTAACTCTAGCTGTAAACCCAGCAAGTCTTGTTAAATCCCTTCCAGCAAGAACTAACCTCCCGATAGCTTCAGCAAGCTTCAACAACATCCTGCCGTAGGTGTAATACAACCTTGATCTCTCTCCGTGACTTCCTTTAGAAATTTTACCGGAAATAAACGGTAGAGATACCGCCCAAAATCCTACAATGCTTGCGAAGTATTTTGCGACCAAGTTGTCAACTATACCCATGATAACTTTGAAGCCGAGAAACTTAACCAAGTGATGTTTCAGCTTGTTGTAGCTGGCTAACAAAGTGGCCTTTTCACGAAGGTTTCCATTATAAAAAGCCACTTCTTCTGAGTGGGTTATTAACCTAGAATTGATGTGTCGGAATTCACCTTCTAGCTTCTGTTCTTCTGCTGTCAGCCTGGCTGTAGGTTTACGTAGATGCGTCAGGACAAGACCAGAAACAAACAGGTATGATAACATAAGAGCTGGAGTGCTACCTCCCATGGATGTGGATAGTTTGTAGACATAGATTCCGATGTCCAGCATGGGTTTGGCTGTGTTGCAGTACAGATCTGTGACTGCTTCGCAGAATTTATCTATGTCAGTGGTCAGGAGTTGGTCAGGGTTAGAGATTCGGTTGTCTAGGTTTGAAATTCGGTAATAAGTGTAGTTTTTCAGGTAGTCCTCGTAGAGGCGTCGTGTTAGGTTGGTTCTGAGCCGGATTTTGAGGTCCCCGATGGAGTATTTGAGGAGGTTGTTCACTAGGGCGATTACAGGGAGGGTCATGAGGAATTTAAGAAGCCTCTTGTAGAAGAGTTGTTTGTCCATTGAGATTATGGCGCTGAAAAGAAAATAAAACAAAAAAAGTAGCGCAAGTCCATCTTAATACCGAATTCTTTATACATAATTTACTTTACTCTCGTAATAAAAATTATAAAGGGTGTTTGTTAAATAAGATAATATATTAATTATATAAGATTTATATTTTACATTAACATAGGTCCGATTCTGCTTCCTTTCGTAGTTACAGGGGTTTTAGCATAAAAGATATGATAATTGCGACATATTTTACTGCTAAAAAAGTGTCGGCAGATTCACCAGGGATGTGCATATATGTGTTATCGCCGAAATATTTTTCTAAAAAAAATGTGCCCCACTGACTATTTTTCCTTTTTTTTAGCACAGTTGTGTACGCCATTTAATGTCGATTAAAAGTTATCTCTTAATATTCTATAGATTTCGGTATCCTTGATAAGATAAACATAATTCTATTAATTTGATCAAGTGTTAAATAAGTAGTCATTGGTTCCTCATAAAAAAAAAACTGAAAAAAAATCCTATAAACACGGGTGCTGAAATGCATAGTTTTACAGGATGTTAAAACTTTTAAAAAATAGGTCTTTTGTAATTATCTTAAATACCAATGCATATTAATTTTATTTTTATTTTAATTTCAAAAATTGTAAAATTTAATCAATAAAATTACGTTTATCTTATCGAGGAGACAGGGGCGCATATACGGGAGGGGTAATGGGGGTAATTACCCCTCCCAGAAAGAAATTAATTTATTTTAATTATTACTTTCGAAAATCGACAACTATGAAACTATGAACCCTTCCCGGACACGAACGGTACATTGTGAGACAGGAAATTGTAGAGAGAATCAAGCCCTATAACATAGAATGCAACATTTTAATGAACAGTTCTTTGCATAAAATCAATAAAATGAATAATATACGAAATAATATACATGTACTGATTTCTTTCGAAAATCGACAACTATGAAACTATGAACCCTTTCCGGACACAAACGGTACATTGTGAGACAGGAAATTGTAGAGAGAAACGAGCCCTATAACATAGGATACAACATTTTAATGAACAATGCTTTCCATAAAAACAATAAAATGAAAAATATACGAAATAATATACATGTACTGATTTCTTTCGAAAATCGACAACGATGAAACTATGAACCCTTCCCGGACACAAACGGTACATTGTGAGACAGGAAATTGTAGAGAGAAACGAGCCCTATAACATAGGATACAACATTTTAATGAACAATGCTTTCCATAAAAACAATAAAATGAAAAATATACGAAATAATTAATATACATGTACTGATTTCTTTCGAAAATTGACAACGATGAAACTATGAACCCTTCCCGGACACAAACGGTACATTGTGAGACAGGAAATTGTAGAGAGAAACGAGCCCTATAACATAGGATACAACATTTTAATGAACAATGCTTTCCATAAAATCAATAAAATGAATAATATACGAAATAATATACATGTACTGTGTGATTTCTTTCAAAAATCGACAACTATGAAACTATGACAAGGTGACCAACCGTCCCGATTTGACCGGGACAGGTTCCAGTTTTCGATAAGTCGTACAGAAATAAAAATGCGTCCCGGAATGTCCCGTTTGTGTTCTTATTTGTACCAGTTGTCACGAATTCAAAGAATTTTCAAAAACAGTGACAACACTGCAAATTAAATGGTCTGATTGTCCGTTTCTTGCGCTCTCGGGCGGACAGCACATGTTATAGAAAAAATATTCCTGTGATAACCCATATGCACCTCCCTGGTGAACCTGTCGACACTCTTTTTAGTACTAAAATACCAAACCGTTAGAGTAACTTTTACCCTCAAAATTTCATTCGAATCGCCAAAAGCACTTAGAAGAAAATCATAATAAATCGAAAAAAAAATGATAACTTCCTATAGATACAGAACAAAGCAGAATGGACCTATGTAAATATAAAAAATAAATCTTATTTTTACATGAGGAATCTCCCCACGAGATATGGCACATGTTTTTTAAAACACCCTGTAGAATATCTGTAAGTAAATATTGTTTATCAATTATTTGTTATTATTACATAATAAACCATAATATTTAACGTACTATATTATTTATAAAATTTTAGTTATTAGTTTATGCTAATATGCCCATTAAAATATTTAAAATTCAATTAAATAATTTCAGTAATTGATTTTTACTCAATATACATATAGTAATTACTTGTGAATTACATGTTCAGTTTGCATGAAAAATTATACTAAATTTTAAAATACAGTCAATAAAAAAATAAAGTATACACTACTGTATTTTCAGTATTAGACAAACAAATCGGTTTTATATACAGGGTGTGTCTTAAATAAGTGCAATCTGGATGAAAGAAGAGTTATTTTACTTTGAAAATAAAAAAAATGATTTTTTGCTTAAATTTTGAGAACCGCTGGATTTTTTCAATGTTTTCTGTCCACAAAAAAAAATTAATAAAATTTTTTTTTACCCAAATTGACCTCGCCAAAATTATCATCGACTGTCATTTCCAAGCCTTCTTTGACGCCGATTTTAAAATGTCATAACAAAACTGTTTCAAACAAATCAAATAAAAAAAAACACAACAAACTTATTAAACAAAGAACGTTATATAATTGACAGATAAAACAAAAGATAATAAATCTATGTCGAAAATTTGATTTTGCTTGTTTTACTTTCCAAAAATAATCTCTTAATATTGTCACTAAACTATTTAAGTATTTTAATCTTTTTTATTATATACCTTAATCCCTAAGCTATTATTATGATTAATATTTGTAATTAATTACCTTTCAATTTTAGTGCCATGATTAATCATCCACAAATCACACAAAGATCTCGCTATTAAGCTGCCGGCTATCAGGAAAAACATACTGCTTTCCGTCGATGCCCATCCTGGCACAACAATCCTAAATAACTGCCCAAGCTGTATAAATAACTTCCTGTCTACCTGTACCTTTGTTCTTGGTTCCTTCTTTTCAGAAATTAAGTATTTTAACTCTTCTTCTACATCTTTCTTTAATTTCTTTCTAGAAAATTGTCTTGATTGTGTCTCTGCCTTATTGTCATAAACAAAAAAACCTTACCTGTTTACTTTCAGTTTCTTTTGTTGTCTGTAAGCCAGAAAAATGATGCTGGCAGATAGAGCTGCACATCCTGCGATGGCATTGTTCCTCGTAAGAAACTTACTGTAATTTGGGGCCATTTTATCACAGCTATGGAAATATACTGTACGTACGCTTAGTGACTAAGCATAACGTTAAGTTTGTAGACGGTAAATATCCGTTTTTATTAAACTTTGACCATTCTATGTTAATCAAAGAGTGCTGTCATTTGAGTCGCCTGATTATTAATGCATGTTCTCGTATGTGTGTGTGAAAGGCAATCGCAAAAATGTTACGTCAGAATAAATGAAAGCGTTGCGAGATTTCTCCTTTCCATAAAAATTAATAATTGTTCATATCTAGCTTGGCTATGATAACATTCACCACTTTATGTGAAGAAGGGAAATTGTCAACACACGAGTTTTTCGCTTTTCTACATGTATCCGCAAATACAAAATTACAATATAAACATTAAATTTGCTACCTTTATGAATAAATAAATAGGAAAATATTTCACCAATTAACCTTCTTTTTTGCACTACACAATTTTCACATTTCTTACGTCAAATTTGTCCTATAAAATACTTGAAAAAAGCAAAAAATATAGTGCAAAAACCCTCACGAGTTCCCTGTAAATATTTTCTTTGTAATTTTAACTTTATAAACCCTATTTACATAAAAAAAAATTAAAAAATAAACACAGATTTGTAAAAATCGATAGTTTCAAACAGCAAACATCTCTAATAACCTCAAAATATCTGACAGCTCGTGTTTTCTGTTTTTCTATTTGTTCTATGGTTTCCATATCAACAAAAGCCGTTTGTTCAATAATCGAGTAGTTTTCTTAAAGCAAAAATGAAGGTGGAAGAAGTAAAAAGCACGGTAAAAACTCAAAGAATCAGCGCTCACAGCCATATCAAAGGCCTAGGGCTTGACGAAAATGGATTCGCCATACAACAAGCGGCCGGCTTGGTCGGCCAAGAGCAAGCAAGAGAGGTTAGAATTTAAAATAATATGCCCTTCAAAATATGTTGAAATTTAATTATTTTGGTCAAATTCTAGGCAGCAGGGGTTGTAGTCGATATGATAAGGAGCAAGAAAATGGCAGGAAGAGCGGTACTTCTAGCAGGACCACCCGGTACTGGCAAAACTGCCATAGCCCTGGCTATCGCGCAAGAACTAGGCAACAAAGTACCTTTCTGCCCTATGGTCGGTTCAGAAGTATACAGTTCCGAAATAAAGAAAACAGAAGTTCTGATGGAAAACTTCCGCAGAGCCATAGGTCTGAGAATTCGCGAAACCAAAGAGGTTTACGAGGGTGAAGTAAGCGAACTCACACCTGTAGAAACTGAGAACCCCGCTGGAGGCTACGGTAAAACTGTGAGTCACGTCGTCATCGGTCTAAGAACGGCCAAAGGCAGTAAACAGCTGAAACTGGACCCCAGCATTTACGAGGCACTCCAGAAAGAGAAGGTTGAAGTGGGTGATGTTATTTATATTGAGGCTACAAGTGGGGCTGTTAAGAGACAGGGAAGATCGGATGCTTATGCTACTGAGTTTGATTTGGAAGCTGAAGAGTATGTTCCTTTACCGAAAGGTGATGTTCATAAGAAGAAAGAGGTGGTTCAAGTAAGTTTTAATACTTTATTGTTGATTCTTGTATAGATATACACAAATTTTTTAGGATGTAACACTTCATGATTTGGACGCGGCAAATGCAAAGCCTCAAGGAGGCCAGGATGTCTTGTCGATGATGGGACAACTTTTGAAACCAAAAAAAACAGAAATAACTGACAAGTTGAGGAAGGAAATAAACAAAATTGTCGATAAATACATTGATCAGGGAATCGCAGAGTTAGTACCAGGAGTTCTTTTTATTGATGAAGTTCACATGCTAGATATTGAGACTTTTACATATCTACACAGGGCACTAGAAAGTGCCATTGCTCCAATAGTTATTTTTGCTACAAACAGAGGAAGATGTCTTATCAGAGGTAATTTTAACGAATGTATGGTATATTCTGTACAGAATTCGGTTCCAGTCGATATTACGGACACTAAAAACGTTAAATTTTCAGCATCAAATAGTACCATCATTTTATTTCAATATTTTAAAATTTACTGGCTAATCCGCAAATTTTTTTGGCTTAAATTACCTACTAAAACGCGTACTTTTCAGGACAATTTTTGTTTTTTTAAAATTCTTGTGTCCGTAAAGTCGAACGGACCCCAGAATTCATTGAAATTTTAGGTACGGATGATATTTTTTCACCTCACGGTATACCTCTGGATCTTCTCGACAGACTTTTGATCATTAGGACTGTGCCGTATGATCGGCCTGATATGGAACAAATTTTGAAACTGAGAGCTAAAACTGAAGGCCTGGAAATTGACGAAGAAGCAATAACAACTTTAGGGGAAGTTGGAGTAAAAGCCACACTAAGGTAATGATTTTTTTTTTAATTTAGTGAAATTTTTAATGTTGATTTATTTATTTTCTAGATACGTTGTACAGCTTTTGACACCTGCACATCTGACAGCTAAAATCAACGGCAGAACTAATATTACGCAATCTGACGTAGAAGAGGTAGCTTCCCTGTTTTTGGATGCCAAACAATCGGCAAAGATATTGTCAGAAAATAAGGAGAAGTTTATGAATTAATTTTTTTCACTGTGTTGTATATTATGTGTTTTTTTATTATGTAAGATAGTTATAGTCACTAATAAATACATTCTTTTTTGCTAATTTTAAAAATTGCCTTATTTTGAAAGTATCGATGCGCGCAAATATATCGATATTTTTCGCGTATCGATAAGACAGGACATTTCTAGACTTCGCGATGTTGATTATCGTCCGCTGAAGAGGTAAAAATTATAAATTCCAATATTTTCAGTAAGTTTTCGAATATTTTTTATAAATCTCATTGATTATGTAATATGTTTCGCCCTTGTTTATTTATACAGGGTTTTAACGATAATCGGAACTAATTCTTCAGCTTTTTTTATGTAATCGGATATTATTCTTGTATTTTATATATCCGCAGATATCAGCGTTGTTACAAGGGCAAAAAATTTTGTACTATAAATGGTATCGAAATTGTACTTTTTTAAGTGGGATTGTACATTTTTGGTGCAAAAATGTGGGGTCATGTGATCTCTCTATTTACCTTTTTACCAAGTTTTGGTACGTAGGATGCATCCACATTATCCTAAAAACAGCGGAACGGCGTATTGGCTTAACGACCTCGAATCGATTTCCTGCAATTCTATTGGCTGAAATTTTTGCCAGGTGAATTTGACAGATAAAATTTCTGACAGATGAATTTTTCAGCCAATAGAATTGCTGGAAATCGATTCAAGGTCGTTACGCCGATACACCGCCGCGGATCCACCTTTTTTAGGATAATGTGGATGCACCCTCACAGAATTATACACCATATGCTGTCCTCCTTTCACGCAGTTGAGCAGCTCTGCACTGTTCAAGAACGCGATACTCTGCCTCCATTCAATTGAGTCATAAAGTTCAGAACTGGTTGCGCGCCATATGGAGGCACCAGGCTATCTCGCACAGCTCCTTTCAGAACCGTTCTGAGCAGGCCAGGGCGTAAAGCTCTGGAACTTGAAATTCGCAAATGGATGACAGCAATACAGAAGCTATAAAGAGATTTGAATAGCATTGGTTAAATAGGAACTAATTGCGTGACGTCACGTTTGACATCGGGACACAATAGATTTCTAAGGTCGCCAGTGATTAGCCCCCCTCCTACTCACCGCACGAATATCAAACTTACGTTTGACATCCGTGCGGCTTGAACAGCATTTCAAATGATGTATAATTCTGTGCCTCTGCTCCTAGCAACCTGCATTTCAAATCCACGCATCGCGTATCACCGTTCGTCTAAAAATATGTACGTTGGTTTAAGTTTGGGTTAGTTTGGGTTTGAGAAGTAAGAATTGTACATTTTTTCTTGCAATTGTACCTATGTACTCCTTGACTATCAAATGTACACAAAATAGTACAATTGTACCTATTGTAACAACACTGGCAGATATCCGTTTAACCACAAACTAAGTCTGTGGTTTAACGGATGCCTAGACACTTCTTCTACACGTCATTGTAACAATCCTTCATCTATGGTGTTGTCAAAATAATGGAATAGTTTTCTGGTGTTATTGATTTTGTTGAATCTTTTGAAGCCCCGCAGTGCAGCAAGAAAAAGATATCGTCATCGCATAAGAAATCCGTCGTAACAATGGTACATATTCCTACATTTTACCCAAAAAGTCACTGCATTGTTAATTTATAATTTCGTATTTTTTTAGGCTGTTTACAAAGTTATAAAATGCCCTTCCGACGATCTGTCTCTGACTAATTGCGCTATTATGAATGACAGTGAATTTCCAGGAGCTAAGTAATTTCCCAGTATTGCACAGAATTTTCCAATATTTACTTCTGTCCTATTTTATTTCTAGGCATATTAAAGTAATCACTGGAGGTGGGCAAGAGTTCATATTCTCCATTAAATCTGACCCTGGTGTTCCCAAATATCACGTAGGATTCAGTTTACCCCATAGAAAGTGGGCTGTTCTATCCCTAAATCAAGAAATTGGCGTTAAACCTTATTATCCCGATGAGTATTTATCCTCTATTGTACTTGAAGCAGATTACATGCAGAAAAAAACGTATTTATATATGTCTCACAGTAGTGTAATTTTCTTACTGAATTACTTACATATTCTAGGACTTCCCAGGAGCAATATGATACAGACGAAATGGCAAAAGAATTCTTATTGTCGTTTCCAAATCAGATGTTCACAGTGGGTCAACAGCTAGCCTTTGCGTTCAAAGACAAAAAAGTCTTACTGCTCATTGTAAAGAGCTTGGAAGCTACAGATTTAGCAGCTTTGAAAGACGGTAGACAAGCTAAACCGAAAAAAGCGAGAATGGGACAACTGATACCTAATACAACCATGCAATTTGAAAAGGCTGATAACTCTTCACTGAATCTGGTAGGAAAATCGAAGGGGTCTGTGTGATTATAACGTTTTATAGGATAAAAATTAAGGATTTTTTTTAAATTCAGGATACAAATAAGACAGTCAATTATAAATCCGGACTGGGATTTCCAAGAAATGGGAATTGGAGGTTTGAGCAACGAGTTTAATGCGATATTCAGGAGGGCTTTTGCTTCAAGAGTTTTTCCGCCTGAGATTGTGGAACAGTTAGGTTGCAAACACGTTAAAGGTAAGATAATTATACAGAGTATCCCAGAGAAGAATGCTTTTCTAAGAGTTTACAAGGTTTATACATATACACATGTAAAATGTTCTTATAATAAATATATCAAAATATACAGTGTGACTCAGCAATCTCTAAAACCTGTATATCAGGTTTCTGGTTTGATATATCCACTGAATTATAATAGTAATAATGATAATAATCTGTCTTTATAAGGAATAAGTCCAAATACACATATGGCAGGTGTTGTTACATTATACAAGGTGGTTCGAGCTGTATTCTGGAAACTTCGGCAGCATATTCTGCAGATAAAAATAAGTAAAATAGTTTGTATAAATGTATCTCCTAAAATGCTTAGTTTCGGAGATACAGGGTGTAGAAGTTTCATTTTTATTTTAATTTTTTCCAAATAATTTCTGAAGTAACTTCAATATTTGGATTAAAATTGGTGTCCGGAAGTTTTTTGACATGAGAAATTGTATTTTGATATCAATATAACTCCTATTTGTAGGGGGCGCCATCTACATGTGTTTTGACTGTTTTGAAGGGTAGTAACTTTTCGTCCGTACCTGTATAAAACTACTGAATGAAAAAATATACATATCCGTGATTTTTTACGTAAAAAATGTCTCTTGGTAAAAATCGCTACGATCAACCGTTCTCAAGATATTTACAATGGAAATAGTTAATACGAATGTCATTATTGACTAAAAATAAACATGTTGAGTAGATAGTTATTTGACTGAAATACTAAATTTTGGAACTTTTATTTTTTTTAATTAATTATGAGCTTTTGGCACAAAATTTCATATTTGTGATTTCAGTCTATTATTTAGTTAACATGTTTAAATTTATGTCAATAATGACAGGTATTGATAATTTCGATTCCAAATACTCGGGAACCATTAGAGCTAACTAGCAATTTATCCTGGGGTGGGCCTGGGGTTGAGCCCAGGGGGGGCCTAGGACTTTTGTTCTTTTTAAATGAAAAATAATTTTAAACAGCACATTTTTTGAATAAAACCTTTACATTAATTTCTCTATCAATAAATTTCGTAGACTTGGTTATCAAACCGTGTTCCCGTAGATTACTTAAATACCTACAAATTTTCTAAAAAAATAAAAATTAACACATTTTTTGAACACAACAAAATAATATTAACTAAACAAAACTAGAAAACGTCATTTTTACTGCATCACAAGCAAATAAAAATTAATACGTAGCCAAGAGTCATAATTCAGGATTTCTCTTATACAGGTACAAACAAAAAGTTATTACTCTTCAAACCAGTTAAAAAATATGTAGGTGGCGCCCTCTACAAGTAGGAGTCATATTGACATCAAAATCAAATTTCTCACGTCAAAAAACACCCGAACACAAATTTTCATCCAAATATTAACGATACTTCAGAAATTATTTGGAAAAAATCGAAATAAAATTGAAACTTCTACACCCTGTATCTGCGAAATTAAGCATTTTAGGACATACATTTATACGAAATTTTTTACTTATTTTTATCTGCAGAATACGCTGCCGAAGTTTCCGGTATACAGTTCGGACCACCCTGTATTTGAATAGCTTCTACTGTTTGACCAGCGGATCTGAAGCTACGGAAGGAATGCGAGAAAAAAAAATCGATATTGCCACGTTTATCTATAAAATTGCAAAATTGCCAGACATGAACTATAAATTTAATATATTTTTATTATATATAATGTGTTTAGCATATATTCTGACGTATATTACTAAGGAATTTTAACGTAGTTCATATTGTTCGATATGTTTTATTTAATAACTTATTTCTTTCATTCTGTATAATCTGCTTATTATGAAAGTTGAAGATTTTTCAACGATATCATTGGCAAACCGGCATCGCCGCGCATGGCCGCCTATTCATCGAACATGATTGGCGAGAGTACGTCACAGGATTTGTTACCACGCGGTTTGCCATGGCTTTTACGCCTTTCCTATTCGCTTGCTTTATCCCCAACTTCACGGTCTCTTCTGAAAAGAGTAGGAATATCGAATACTATTGAAATATCCAGTAGCGGTGTCATTTTTTTGATCATTATTACTTTAATTATTTTATACCGGTTATCCTAACACTTTATTCCTATATTTTTCGTATATTTGATAGTTAGGTTGTGTTTTATTGTTTTGTTATCTTGTTATAATGTTTTCGTTCGTAGTTTTTAATTATTAATATCAAGTTTGATCGTATATCTGTGTTTTAAAATGAATAAATAAGGGTAAAACGCTACATAGTCAGACAAGAGAAATAATAGCTAATTTATATAGGTAAGTTAATAATAACATGGATGAAATCTCATTTGGTTTATTTCCTTGTGTTCATAATAGGGTTTGCGATGAAGAAGCTACAGAGAGTTCGCTTAAGTTGCCGCTTAAACGTAAACTTGAGCGGATATTTCTTTATACCGGAGTTAGCGTATCGGCTATAAAAAAATTCACACAGAAGATAAAAAAGGCTGAAAACTAACCCCGATAAAATGATATCCAGCTCTGGAAAGAAACGACCACGTGAGACTGCTGTCGAAAAGCTCGACGACTTTTTCGAAGTGGTCAGGAATTTGATAAATCGATAGATTTTATCTCGAATTCAAACTCGTCCCCACAATTAGAAAGCTTTTGCAAAAATTGCCGGAAGAATCGAATTTTCCTTTTGCAGGGAAACGCTTAGGGGGTTATTAAAATCAAATGAATTTTTTTGGAGTAAATGTCAAAAAACAGATGGAGCGGCCCATTATATTGCAGAGAGAGATATAAATATATACGCGAAATTCGAAAATATAGAAAAGTATTATCTATTTGGATGAAACATATGGGTAGACAATGACCTAACCTTTAAAAACTGCTGGCAGAGCGATACCATATCTGGTGTAATAGGCAATATTGGATCTACTGGTGAGTAAAATTATGTTTTGTTTGCGCTTCCAAAGTTAACTATTTTCAAGATTTTTTTTGCTGGAAATAGGTATATCTAAAATTATGTATTATAGAAAAAAAAATATATGTTAAATATACCTCAAGATATCTTGATCATCTGCTGCCCACTGAGCGAGTATATACCTCAAGACTCAGTACTTTAGATAATCATCTGCTGATGATGCTAACATGGTTAGCGAAACGCGCGTCCAGTGTAAAATTAAAAGTGTTTTGGTGTATTGTACTGATTTAGTGTTTTATTTTGCTGTGTAACACCAAAGGTTCCAACCCCCAGCTGTAATTATTTCTTCTATTATATTAACAACACAATAATAAAATGATTCAAAATATTTAAGAGAGCTTTAATAAAAGCTTTTAGTGTTTATCTGCTAACTCAACAGTAACGATTCAAACAGCATAAAGTTTTTTAAAAAAAATTATTAATCTGAGTATTATATTTATGATACACATTATTTTCATATAACACCGTACGCCCATGCCTATTTTATGAATGAAATTGGGCGTGTTTTGTTTACAACTGCGTTCCCCTGCCGATACCCCGTAGCTACAGATTCGTTGGTCACACTATAACAACTTTTATGTATAGCGCAATATTTCAAAAATATTTTTGTCAATATACAGGGTGATTCAGACACGAAGTATATTATTAAGGTAAAACCACAGAAACGTTATGTCTAGACGGGACTTTTTACTAGGCTCTTCTTTAGTCCTTTTGTTCAATGAAAACACTGGCGCAACTTTATTCAAGGTATTCTACTTTATGGACCACCCGGTACTGGTAAAACCCTCATGGCCCGACAAATCGGTAAAATGCTGAACGCCAGAGAGCCGAAAATAGTCAACGGCCCCCAAATTTTGGACAAATACGTCGGTGAATCGGAAGCAAACGTCAGAAGACTGTTCCTCGAAGCCGAAGAGGAGGAAAAACGGGTAATTTTGACTACAGGAAATCAGTAAAAGTTGGTATGCACGTCAGAATGCAAATGGCAGAATTTTTTCCTACCTACTTGACACTTACCGTTATACTTATTTTTAAAAGTTTTATTAAAATCCATTCAGTAGTTTTTGCGTGAAAGAGTAACAAAAATCCGAATACATAAAACTTTTATTGATTTCTCTATAGGCTTGGTACATTTCAGTTGATTCTAACAAATTCCGACCGCAGCGCTTCAACGGCAGAAATCAGAAATTATCAGTATGCACTTGACGCCGCCGTCATGTTGATCGAATTAAAATAATATTGAAATCGTGGTTTTGTCGTAATATTTAAGTATGTATTTTAGTTTTTTGCTAGTGCAGTTATCTATACCCAAGTAGCAAATTTTATTTTATAAAGGCTGTATAAACAGCTATGTGATAATTTTTATAGGATACCTCAATTCATATAACGTGCTATATGACCGTAATATGATAGCTTTACAACCAAAAAAGGCCCATTTTTATACAACCGTTTAGTAGTATAGAAGTTCTATAAAAAGGGTATACAACTCTTATGCAACTATTTTACACAGCGTTATTTGACTATTATAAAACTAGTTTTATTGTGTATTACGTGGTCACATCTAAGAAACAGAACAATAAAAACATTTAATCATTTAGCGAGGTACAAGAGTATTTTATTTTTTACCGAAGAATATTAGGAGCAAATTATATTTTAAGCGTGTCGTAAAATGAATCTAGAGGATGTGGATTGTTAAAAAGGAGACTTTCCTCGACAATGAAAATGGCGGGTAGAGCCAGAAGGTACAACAAATATGTAATATAAAAAATCATTAATAGGGTTTGAAAAGTAGGGACAATTTTTGTTGCGCCGAAAATTTTACTGGTAGATTATAGGTATGTATTTGGCAAAAAATAAAAGCGCTTTAATTTCGATTAAGGTTTACATATAAATTTAAACAATAAAATAAAATAAAATTTTCAAAAATTTTTGTTTTTAATTTAAGTAAACACTTTATTACTGTTATGTGGGAATCTTATCATAAAATAGTTCTCAAAAATAACATTTTACAATTTATTTTGATGTTTTTAATTTTGCTTCATATAATGGTGGCCATAGGCCATACAAAAATTCTGCCTTAAACATAACGAATTATAATGCAACCATTTTATCATAAATGAATCCCTTTAATAAGTCTTTGTTGCAAAATAAAACGGTATAGGATAAATATCTATCATTACGCAGAATTTCCAGGCACTATAGAACTATTTTGGACATATTGAGATTTGTGACAAATAGATGTTGCAAAATCTCATTTGATTAGTATTTAAACTAACAAACATGATCAGATTTTCATGGATTCATGCACGCAATGTATTTCATGCGTGCCCAACGAGTGAGCGGCAACCTAAGGACTTGGAAAGACAACAATAAAACAATACAAACATTTACTACAGTAAAACTTATACATCAACGTGGCAACAATGCTTTGAAGAAGCCAGACAACCCGAGAGATTTTGGCTTTTGAGAACCCAGGGAATTCTGGGGATTATTTGCCGTAATTTCGAGGAGTTTTTTCTTACATGTTCTTTATAACTACCACTGCGTTTGTTAACTTTTTTCCAACTTTGTCCAGAATTCATAATAGCTGTGATTGATTATACTCGTACGTAGATATTACTTTTGCAACAACAACAATAACAAACTAAATAACTAGGTATACCATTTAAATTAAAATGAGGTTATATTATACATTACCAGTTTTATAATGTAGATATTACAGCGAATTTATTTTGTTAATCACAATTTATTATATAACAACAACACCGTAGTTTAACGCAATAAAACATTCTATCATACAACGTAATACAACTTTAATAAGACAAGTTTAAGTAACTAATATATGATCTTGTGACTACTAGTTATATGAATATTATAGAACTCTTACATCGTGGGTATAAAAGTCTAATAAAATAATATGTTTGTTATCATATAGCATTGTCTTAGTAAGTGTTATATCATACTAAAAGAAATTATCGTTTAATGCGTTGTAAAAACCACTAGAAAATACTTTAATATGACAACTTTTATTAAAAAACAGAATGGTCGAAACCAACGCTTAATAAAATCAAGCAGTCCTTAAGACAACGCTATTCGACTGTTATAAAATAATTCAATCCTTTCAGAATTTCTTTTTGCTACTTGGGTACTAATTGATAAAATCCTTAAGTGACTGACTCACTGATTAATCACGATGCTACTCAAACCACTCAACGTAAGAAGCTCAATTTTGGCGTACAGGTTGATTCTATGGTGTAGAGGTTCGATAAGAAGGGATTTTTCGAAATTCCAGTTCCACGGGGGTGAAACCACCCCTCAAATGTTACAATATTTTTTATTTAAGAAAACGGTCAAGTTTCCGAAAAAACGCTTAAACACGTATATTTTATTTTGTTTTTTTACATATTTTAAGATTTTTTAAAAATGTATACAGGGTGTTTCGAAAAATCTGGTCATCGAATAATCACGATCCTGCTTAAAGCGCTTGACGTAAAAAGCTGATTTTTGGAAAACGGATTGACGTTAGGGTGTAGAGGTTCGATAAGAAGGGATTTTTCGAAACTCGAATTCTAAGGGGGTGAAACCACCCCTCAATATTAGAATATGTTTTATTTAGAAACCGGTGAGTTTTTCGGAAAAACTCTTAAACACGTATATTTTATTTTGTTGTTTTATATATTTTAAGATTTTTAAAAAAATTATACAGAGTGTTTCATAAAATGTGCCCATTGAGTACACGATTCTGCTAAAACTGCTTGACATTTAAAGCTTTTTCTTTTTTTTTTTTGGCAAACGGGTTGACTGTGGGGTGTAGAGGTTCGATAAGGAGGGGTTTCTCGAATCTCAAATTCCAAGAGGGTGAAAACGCCCCTCATATATTACAATATTTGTTATTTAAAAAACGGTCAGTCTTTCGGGAAAACGCTTGGACACGCATAATTTATTTTGTTTTCTTACATATTTTGAAATTTTTTAAAAAATCATACAGGGTGTTCCAAAAAGTTGGGTAATTGATTAGCCACGATTCTGCTTAAACTGCTTGACGTAAAAAGCTTATTTTTGGCAAATGGATTTTTCGAAAGTCAAATTCCAACGAGATGAAACTACCCCTCAAATATTACCAAGTTATATAATATACAGGGTGTCCCAGAAATGAGTGCAGATATTTTAACTGGTGGTATAGTTCAACCCCAATAAACATATTTTATGAGTTTTTTTTGCGAAAAAAAATTTGAATTTAAAATTTTTATTTAGACACTTTCCGGGAAATTTGAAAAAGCAATCTTTTAGAGAACCGCCGGTTTATTCACCAACTAATTTCTCTACGGTGTATCTAAACCTTGCAGTGTTGTAACCTCCTATGTGTATCCACATTCTACAGAGTTCATTACATTTATAAATTCAAAGAAAATTTCACTAAAAAAATTAAGAATGTTAAATTTTAATAAGTGTCATTAAAAAATGTATTATAAAAAATTTTGATTAATTATTTTTAGTACTTACCCTTTCAATGAAAACTTAACAAAAATTAATAAATGTAACTAAAACATTACGTTTATATACGTTTACGAAAATACACTTCACTCATATTATTCACAACCAGGTCACAATAAATCAAATTCTAAAATGTTTATCGTAATTTTAGAATTCATATTATTTTCATTTCATGTTTCTCTGTTTTATTTGAACCACTGATTTACAAAACACCTTGAAAAGCGCACATTACTTTGAATACCTTTTGAATTAAATCGAATTATTGTCTTTACGAACTACTTTCAATCTAAGAAAATACATTTTCACTCAACAATTTTAAATACGTATTTTGTTTTTCGCTATTTTTATTTTGACAGCCCGACCGTCGCGCGTCGGCCAAAGGTGCCATTAGTGAACTGGTCCTTTGAGCCGCGCCGTCGTGGCAGGCTTGCGTCAGACGACGATGTTAAGTAACGTTGCCGTAGTTACAAAAATAATTTCAAATTCACTCGATTCGAAGCAATCAAATTTGTATTTTCAATTTTAAAAATAAAACAGAGAAAACATGAAAGGAAACAAACAAAACAAAAATGAATTGATTATTCGTCGGGCTGTTTTCGATATATTTGAATTTCTGAATTACGATAAACAATTTAGAAATTTCTTTTTGTGACCTTTATCAATAACGCATCAATTCATTTTTTGTTTTGTTTGTTTTCTTTTATGTTTTCTGTTTTTATTTTTCGAATTTAATAAGAATTTGATTGTTTCGAGTGTCTTGAATTTGAAATTGTTGAAACTACGGCAACTCAATGACGTAAGCTCGACACGCCGGCGCGATAAAGAAGCGAGTGGCAGCAGTTAATAAACAAGTGGCACTAAAAAGTTTTTTCAAATTTCCCGGAAAATGTCAAGAAAAATTTTAAATTTTCAACATTTTTTTTTCGCAAAAAAAACCTCATAGGCGTGTTTCCGGGGTTGAACTATACTACATGTTAAAATATTTGCACTTATTTCTGGGACACCCTGTATAATAATATCGCCATATTGTTTTTTCTCATGCTGACATAAATGTGAGAAAATTTTATCCAGTTTGTATGTTAATGGAAATTCTTGCTTTGCTTTATCATCACCATTACAAATGATTAATTCGACGCGAACGAAGTCGCGGGTACACGCTAGTTAAATAATAAATTTTTTGTATTCTCGGTATTTAGACCCGTGTATTTGTAAGTACTAGTTGTTTACGATATTCTCCGATGGTGGCAGCACCGGCGGAGAATGCACCAAGCCTGTACATGCCAAAAATACATATTCTTTTAATTAAATAATTTTGTTGAATGACAGGCTGGACCTAACAGCGGACTCCACATTATTATTTTCGATGAAATCGACGCCATATGCAAACAAAGAGGTTCGGTAGCGGGGAATACCGGAGTTCACGACACCGTAGTGAACCAGTTGCTGTCAAAAATCGATGGCGTTGAGCAGTTGAACAATATCCTAGTCATTGGCATGACAAACAGAAGAGACATGATAGATGAAGCCTTGATGAGACCCGGAAGATTAGAAGTGCAAGTTGAAATTAGTTTGCCCAATGAAGAAGGTAGAGTGCAGATTTTAAACATTCACACGGCCAGGATGAAGCACTATAAGAAGATTAGTGAAGATGTAAATATAAATGTAAGTGGAAAATTCATTAAAAATGTGTATAAAGAGATATCAATGTTATAACGTTTGACAGGAGTTGGCAGCTTTGACTAAGAACTTCTCCGGAGCTGAACTAGAAGGTTTGGTGAGAGCTGCCCAATCTACGGCGATGAATCGGTTGATCAAGGCCGCTAATAAGGTTGAAGTTGATCCAGAAGCCATAGAGAAACTTCTAGTTAACAGAGCCGACTTTCTACACGCTCTAGAACATGATATCAAACCGGTAAGTTATTTATTTTTACCCACAATCTTTTATATAGCCTTTTAAAGCCCAAAAAATTCAGGTAGGTCTCAAAAACATTTTACATTTTTTTTATTGATCTGATCCTATATTATAAACAACAAATTTAGCTACTTGATATATTCAATATGCCGTGCTGGCAACTGTTACTTTTGGGTCGGCATTTACATGTGTGGAAGTAAATCGCATAGGGATCTTATTGAGTCGGAGTGAAAGAAATGCGACGGTGTGCTGTTGCGGCGTTGCCGGTACGCCTTTCCCCATCAAGTAAAGTAAAATCACGATCGCAAACCGCTTATTTTTAAAAGACTTTTTTCAAGAGATAACTAGATAAAATCATTAGACATGTTTCTGAGCATGTGAAATGGAATTATAAGGATATCGTTAGAGTGTCATTTTTTTATAACGAGAAAACGTCAGTAATCGCGATAATTTAAACTCAACTTTTTAACACATAACAGGTCATAACTCAAGAACCGCTTTAGATATTGAAACTTTTTTTTATTTTCAAGATCGGATATTTTACAATATGTTTACATAAGAAAAATTCGATAAGGTTGTTTTTTCCATTCAAAAATTGTAAACAATCCATCCATTTACTTTTAGAGCATAGCAATTTTCAGCAATCGTGTAATTTTTTTATTGATAAAGATTTTCACATACTGTCTACAAAGAAAATACAGCAGAAATATTAACAAAGTTCTTGAAAAAACTAGAATCTATTATTTCTAATAGATTTCGAGATATCGATTTTTGATTTTTGAGTTCTAATAGCGCGACCACTATCGAACACCCACTCAATTCCACTTATTTTTACCAAAAATGCAAGTGTTTCTAGCTTGCACTTAAAAAAATTCAAGCTATAGGGAAAATTACAACGACTCGTTAATAAAAAACAAATTGCAATATTATCGTCAACTCAGGAATTTTACAAAACATGCTATAGTTAGAGAAAAATTAGTTATTTTAAGGGTTTATCGGAAAAGACTGGTAAAGACTTCTGGAAAGATGCTAAACGGCTTAAGTTAACGTTTAAATCAAGTCTGCTAAGTTCCCTTGAAAACTTAGCGGATGTAGATAAGCTTAATATTTTTCATCGAACTGTCAGAATTGCATTAATAGTACATCAAATTAAAAACGCATTTTATAGACAAAATAAGCATGAAAAATACATGCCTTACTGTGGTAAAGCGGTAATAAATATAATTAATACTTCTATTTTAGACAAATGTCTATCCCGAAATATGGAAAAAGCTATTATAACACCTCTCTGTAAAATATCCAAACCTTTAAATAACAACGATCTAAGACCCGTGAGTATTTTGCCAGCAATTTCTAAAATTATAGAAAAACATCTACATAATCAAATTGTTTCATTTGTAGATTCAAATAAACTAATACCTGAATGTCAATCTGGCTTTCGTAAGAACTATAGCACTACCACTTGTTTACTGAAGCTGGTTAATGATATTAGAACAAATCAAGAAAATAAAAATATGACGTGTCTTACCCTTACTAGACTTTAGTAAAGATACGTTTAGACCGTTCATTGCTCCTAGCAAAATTACAGTATTTTGATTTTTTGGAAGCTCGTGTAGAATTCATAGAAAACCTGGACAAGATAGACCACATAAGTGTTGGCGTTCGATGTCGGTTGCCAAAGAAAAATCTATTCCTATCCTCTGTTGGATTTCTTCGTTTTCGGATCTATCTCTTCGGGGGAAATTCTAAGGTTCTTCTATATGTAGCCATTTCTACCGCTTCCAGTTTTTTCGGTTGGCTTCCGTTATTCGCCAAGTCTCTGCACCATAAAGTAGACTGCTTAGCAATATGCAGATGATTCTCAAATTTATTGCAGAATAGATACTAATAATTTGGCACAATTTCAGTTACATTTTAACGACGATCTTAATAAAATTAATAAATATGCTCTGGATCATAATTTAAAATTAAATGCCGGTAAATCTTTGTTTTATAGTGTTTGCTAGTGATATAAACAAAATTACCAATACGGCTGGTAACATGAATATCCATATAGATAATGTTGCGATACCCATTGTTACAGAGACTGTAAAATCTTGTCAGTTTACTTTGATGCATCTTTATCTTTTCAGGCACATATAACTTGATAAATGCGAAAGGCTGTTTATATACGGTTGAAGAATTTTTCGTCTCTTAAGAAATATATTCCATCAATTTTCTCTTCAATTATGTGACAGGCTTTTTTTACATATATTTGATTATGGCGATGTTGTTTATGGTACATCCATAAACGTAGATTCTCTTGACAAAAATCTTCCAGATAATGTGTTCCTATTTTAATTTGTGTGTACGGTTTTCTTTACATTCCTTTTCAGAGATCTATATAAGGTGTAGTTAATGTTGGTGTCCTGTAGTACCTTGAATAATCATATGCATTTGTGAAGGTCAATAAACATGAGGTGTGTCTCCTGATCAATACTCATTTTTTCTCTATTAGTTGTTTCAGACAGAAAATATTATCGGTACAAATTTCTCCCACAGAACAGCTAACTTCCAAAGATCTTTCAGTTTCATAGCTCCACATTTGTTGGTATAATATTTCTAATAAATCTCTAAATTTCAATCCGTATAATAGACTTAGGGTACAAATTAAAATCATACCTCTAAATTCGTAAATATTATAATTTCTTCGACTGATTTGTTGAGATCTTGTTACACCTGATATAACCCTTTAAATAGTTTTCCGTATGTTACACTGTTTCATTAATTCACTCTGGGATATCTCCGCTCATCCCTGATAAAATGTTATATTCAGTGCTTTAACTATAATTTTCGTTGCGGTATGTAATTTTAATAATTTCTATAAAATAATTTATCTCTATTTTGTATTTGGGGTCGCATTCCACTCTGTATCCGTTTTTAATCGTGGTGCGATCCCTTTAGACACACATTTATTAATACTAACATTATTCTGTAAAACTTAATGGGGTCTAATAAAGAAATTTGAATTTGAAATTAAGTATCACGAGACGTAATTAAATCGTGAAGCTGAACGCATGACGTACTGTAAGCTTGGCCGTCAGTTTTCTCGGTTTACTTTTATACGTTTCAACGTGTTTCTGTCACTCCTCCTTCAGTACATTATAGCCAATTGTACTCTTCTTACATACGGAAATCTCGACCCAAGACTAACCTTTGCCAGCCCATAGTATTATAATTTATTTAGTATAGACAAAATTACTTTAATATTGACAAAAAAATATATTACTTACACATAAATAGAGATGTTTGATAAATACACACACCCAGATCACAATAATCAAAGTTGCAATGTACATATACATATACTGACGTTATTTAAAATGCAACCGATAATAATCCTATAGTTTTGATAACAAAATACTAGTAAAATTTTTAGGTGGAGTGGAGACAAGACATATCATAATAATTAATTAGTATTAAAAATACAAATAAAAAAAAACAATATCTTATCAATAAAAAAAAACCCTATCTAATTCAATCATATATCACATAAAGGACTCATCTATACTTCATACCAAAATAAACTTTAGTGCACGTGATTAAGCTTGACCGGCACAGTGTTGTCCAGTTTTACATATTTTCTTTCTTGCATCGTCGGACGGGATATAGGAAATCCCATGTAAATTTTAATGGGGTCAATTATTGGCTTCCCTAATTATTTTAGAGAGTAATTCTATTTAGGTTTATTGAGAACACTAAAACCCACATTCAAAAGAGTAACTTTAGATATTTTTGATTAGCTCGTTTACGAGCTATCGCCGATTTCTTTTTAAATATTTCTCCTTTCTAATGGTCCTGTATTTACTTATGAGCACCAGTCAAGGTAAAAGATAACTGTCAAATGAAGTTGTCATTTCAGAAATTTACCTATTTAGTGCTTTATTATTATAGATAAACTCATTCAAGTTTAGAAATATTAAAGATGTATTTATAAATATGAAATTATTTTGAATTAAAGTAATCAATTACAAGGTTAATTATAGTATTATTACAATATTCAATAACTTATTAATTTAGGTACTATTAAATTGTAATAATTTTTCTTGTCAAAGTCAGAATCTTCAAAAATCATAATAATCTTTCAAAATCTAAAGCGCTCTCATTAAAGAAATTCTGAAAAGTGTTTATAGCGTCCATTCTCAAAGTAATTATTGCTATCTTGTGAGTTTAATTCAAGTTTTATTTACTCCAACCGGTGATAATTCTGAAAAAGTGGCATTAAAAACTTAAAAAGCTGTGCTGTGAACTGTGAACTGCAAAAACCATCATGGATCGTGGCATAACATCGGTTTCCAATGTTTCATAGGTATTTCATACATGCGTCCTTATATAAAATAAAGTTTCTTGTATGCAACACACTGTATTTTATTTATAAAATTAAACGAAAATAATAAATTTGAATAAACAATATTTGGCGATATAATTCCGGAAAAAGCCGAACCGCTCCGAAATTTTCAAAAGTTTTGGGTCGCGACCGTTGCAAGAATAGCGCCAAATAGTGTTTACATTGTCCTTATGGGCACTTTCCAATCTAAACTTGTTTCATTTATCTATGATTATTATTGAAAACTCATTCCTACATCGGAAATATTAAAGATGTATTTATAAATATGTACAAATTAATATGAATTAAAGTAATCAATTACAAGGTTAATTATAGTATTATTACAATATTCAATAACTTATTAATTTAGTTACTATTAAATTGTTAGAACTTTAGGATTTAAGATGATGTTCAAATATTCCACCATCGACTGCTAGACAATAACCCAGGCGATCATAAAATTCTCTTCTTACATTCGCTAGTTGGTAAACTGAAATTCTATTGCATTCGGCAGAATAACATTTTTTAACTCGTCTAGATTTGGGTATTTTTTATCCTTGTATATCCTGTTTTTTAAATGGCCCCAGAGAAAGAAATCATTAGATGAAATATCAGGAAACCTTGCTGGCCAATTTACTGTATGATTTAGGCTAATAGCGTTTCCGTTAAAACTATTGTTTAAATATTCCCGAACAGCCAGGGTACTATGTGCCGGGCAGCCATCTATTTGGTACCAAACTTCCTGATTTTCCCGAGCGGCATCATGTAAAGCAGGTAAAATATGATTTTCGAGTAGTTCCAAATAATATTCTGCATTTAAATTTCGCGTAAGAAATAATGGCCCGATAATATTGTGTCCTAATATCCCTGCCCAAACATTTACTTTCTGTCGATATTGCATCCTTGTTTCGACAAACCTGTGTTGGTGTTCTTTGTTCCAATATCGATAATTTTGAACATTGGGTTCATTATTTAAGTTAAACGTGCATTCGTCAGTGAAACATATAGTATAGTACGGTATAGTTTTTTTACACAACTTTCACAAACAAATAAACCTTGCATGAAAAAAGCGATATTGTAGGTCAATGAAGCAAAATCAATAGTTGTAGTCAAATTACCTAGTTTTTTCTGTCTCTGATAATAAAATAAATTCCATTTGACGTTGATTTTTTTGCGTACTACACTATGTGAAATTATAAAATATATTTCAGGCTTTTGGAACAGCTGAAGACATTTTGAACCAATACGTAGCAAGAGGGATTATCAATTGGGGTGCTCCTGTTACCCATATCTTGGAAGATGGTAACTTGTTTGCCCAGCAAGCTAGGGCAACAGATACCTCAGGTATAATATGAAATTTATCATTGATCAAAGAGACTAAGGAAGGAGTATACAAACAAAAACAGACTGTAATTCAAGTTCTGACACAGTATCATAATTTCCGGCTTATTCAACCATTTACAATTATGGTGTAGCTTCCTTCAAATATTTAGATAATCTCTTTGTAGTTGGATCCATTGTTACGTTAGGGTCTTCCGTTTCTAATGCTTGATATTAAAATAATATTAGACTCTCCTTCCTTAGTCTTTTTATTGAGTGATGTTTTTAAGCAAAAAAAGCGGCAAATTCAAATAATTTCTTTAGGTTTGGTGTCTGTACTAATCGAGGGTCCACCGAATTCAGGAAAAACAGCTTTGGCAGCTCAAATTGCCAAAAATTCCGACTTTCCGTTTGTCAAAGTTTGTTCGCCAGAAGAAATGGTCGGTTTTACCGAGACTGCCAAGTGTCTCAGTATTCGTAAGGTAAACAAAATATTCTCCCGCTAACATCAATTATATAGAGTGGCCCGACAAATAATCGAGAAACTTCGATACGTATTAGTAGTGGGAACTATCGAAACATTCGATAGTTGCAATTCATTCGAATAATTCGATAGCTAGTAAGAAAACATTCGTCGAAAACTATTCGAATAAAAATATCGAATAGATGCGTCATATGCCTTGAAATATATTAATTCGGCAGCAAAAATCATTCATTTATAAAATTCATTCATTTGTAAAATTCATTCATTTGTAAAATTCGTTTATTCGTCAGGATCGATTGTAATAAAATATAAACTGGATTTTAGTTGTCGCCCGGCGACGTAGGTTTCTTTCCTAGAAACCCGACAGCGGTCGGCCGGCGGTCGGTGGCAATGGTATGAAAAAAGCCGGCATCTTGGATTTTGAGTCAGATAAAGATAAGGACACATTATTTTTTTTTATTGAGGTGCTAGTATTTACACAGAAAATACATTATGAACGGCGCTGTTGCCGTATATTCGTATTAGTTGGTATTAGCAAAGAATATTATTCTTTGGTATTATAGTTAGTTAGGGATAGTATAACTATATATTTTGCATGTTTTTTATTAATATTCTGTTGTTATACTGCAATAATACTTTTTATTTTGGATATAGGACAATGATTTTTAATGTTTTTAAGCAAAACTGGTTTAATAAATAATAATAACAGTAATAATTTGTTATACCTATTAACACCAAAGTTTAAAATCATTTAATATAAACATTTTTTTAAGTAGTAGCAAAATATAAACAACAAATTAGAAGTCAAAATTATTTATATTAGATCCTATTTAAAAGTAATATAGTCTCTAAATTTTTTGGCAACGTTGGTTTATTAAATAATAATAATTACAGAACTAATTCGTTATATTAACAACAAATTTTAAAATCATGAAATATAAACATTTATTAATTTTCTAAGCATGCAGTGTAATAGAAGAAAAATATAAATAAAAAATTAGAAATCAAAATTATATATGTGTATTACTTTTTATTACTTTGTATTAGTATTTAAAAATAATATTTGCTTTTACTGGCATTTACTTTAAAAAATAAATGAAATATTTCTCCGCAAAAATCTACATGTAAGAGAATTAGCATAAACAAAATACAAATATCGTTAACTTTTTTTTTAAATTGGCACGTGTAAAACTTTAATCAATCAATTTAATTTTCTCATCCCAAAATTTGAGTTCGATAACCATTTACTTATAACCACATTACCACATTACTTAAATATGATTATTAAGTTCAACTAATTCATATTACTAAAATATCTAAAATACAAATACATATGTATTTTTAAAATTAATTGTAAGTTCACCTCATCTCTCTTAAAAATTGTTACTTCTCAAAATTTTCCATTAAAAAAATAGACCATATACCGTATAAAATTAAATAATTGAAAGATCGGAAAATCACACAAATTTTCGGAAAAATTTTGACCACCTGCACACGTACACAATCGTCAATTAAAAAAAAACACTACTGCTTTAGTATTTTAAATATTTTAATAAACGCAAAAATAGCACAGTATTTAGAAGGCAAGTTATAAAAATTTGGAAGAACTAATAATGCACTGACGCAGACAAAAATCAAACGAATACTAAATTTCATTTATCAAAAGCATTCGATAGTCTTGGCTTAACGATAACCATTTAGTCGCACGGCGAGGTTGTCACATATGCTTTAGTATACAACTGAATGAATGATTTTATTCGAATGAAACCATTCGATAGTTGAAATCATTCATTCAGTAACCATTCGATAGTCTAATTCATTCGATAGTTCCCATCGCTAATACGTATCTTGCAAATAAAAAAATAAGTAAAAAAGTTGAAAAAAACTTTCACACCCTGTATCTCCGAAACTAAGCATTTTAGGGCATGAATTTATACGAACTTTTTTACTGATTTTTATCTGCAGAATATACTGCCGGTTTGTTATCTGTTATCTTTCTAGATATTCGACGACGCGTATCGTTCGACTCTGAGCTGCATCTTGGTGGACAACATCGAAAGATTACTGGACTACGGTCCCATAGGTCCCAGATATTCTAACCTCACTTTGCAAGCGCTGCTGGTACTTTTAAAGAAGGAACCACCGCCGGGAAAGAAGCTTTTAGTCATTTGTACGAGCAGCAGAAGGTACGAATCGCTATATTTCCACAGATAACATCCAAAAAAATGACAGAACAATCAGTCTACCTTTGAGTTAAAATGACAGATTGATATATTTTCGTTTGTTATGACTTTTGTGTGACAACAATACGATTTCTTTCTTGCAGGCAAGTGCTTGAAGAGATGGAAATGTTGTCAGCTTTTACTACAGTGTTGCACGTACCCAATTTGTCTAAAGCTGAACATTTACTCAACGTTTTGGAGGCGTCTGAGGTGTTCTCGAACGCAGAATTGAAACAGATCACTCATCAAGTACATGGAAAACGGTAAGCAAACAAATATAGGGTTTATTTTTATAAATGATCCGAAAAAAACGGCGTCAGAAGATCGCTGTCGCCGTTTTTTTTCGATCATATGGTACAAGAAAAAAACCCTTTTCACACAGAAAGCTTTATTTGTGTTTAGGTGTCTCTATGTTTCCTAAAATTATTTGAGAATAACTCCAAAACTAAAGCTAATATATTATTTTTTTAGTATTTTCATTGGTATCAAGAAATTACTGGCCCTGATCGACATGATAAGACAGACAGATGAAAGAATGAGAGTGATAAAACTGATCACTAAACTGGAAGAAGACGGGGCTCTAGAGGATCCAGGAATGGCCTAAATTGGGAGAAATGCCAATTTTTAAGGGATATATGGGGAAAAGGCGGTAAAAGTCAGCAATACGTGTCGGTTTTTTAGTCAATTACGAAGTTAACTACCGTTTATTTACATTTTTCGATGTCGATAATTGTGATTCAGACAAATTGAGACAAGTAGAGGATCAATTTGTGGCTAGTTATTTAGTTCGTTACGTACGGAAATTTTTCGAAAAAATCGATATATAAAATATCGATACCTAGCAACATCCCTAGTTAGTATCGAATTAAAACTCTCACGCTAATCGTGTATTCAATAGGTAAAGATACTTATAAAAATATAAGTTTTAGGAATAATTTATATTTTAATATCGCAGTTTTGATATTTTCCTCCAAGACTTCAAACTAGGGATGTTGTGAAGTATCGATATTTGAAACATCGATATTAACTATATCGAAATTTTTACGTTTTTAATAGGGTATTCAAACTAGGGATGTTAACAAGTATCGATATTTTTGAAACTGGCAGTATGCAGTAACAATGGCTATTTTTTTTTCAAAGTATTAAAAATAAATAATAAAGGTGTGGATAATCGTAATAGAGACAAATTGTTATCGTTACATTATACGGGGATTTTTCGAAAAATTCGATATAAAATATATACTCCTCAATACTTCTCAACATCCCTAGTTATTATCGAATTAAATCTCAATCACACTAACAGCTAATCTCGTATTATTTCGAATCCTCCTTAATGGTTAAAGACCCAATATAAAAAAATATTAATTTTAAGAAAAATTCATATTTTTATATTGTAGTTTTAATATTATTTGTTAAGCATCAAACTAGGGATGTTTGCAAACATCGATATTTTAAATATCGATATTTTTTTATCGAAATTTTTGAAAAATTGCCATATGGTAACGGAGGTTATTTTTATTACTTTCCAAAGTATTAAAAATTAATTAATATAAATAGGCGAATGTATATTAAGTATTAATAAATAAATAACTAAACAATCTAAGCACATTCCGAAACATAACCTTGTTGCCAGCTGAGAGAAATTTAAACTTTTTAACTTCCATATTTTTGGAAATATAACTCAATATTATAATAATAATAATAATAATTCTATATATGTACAATAAAATAGGGTGTAGAAAATATATGCTTTGTCGCAATCAAGACGATGTTGCCATATTTGTTACTCACCGTGTATAAAATATAAGAGTTCGCTTTAACCGATGTAGAAAAGAAAGTATTTATTTTCGTGACGTGTTATAACAACTAGGTATTTATGCATTTATTTTGGTTTTTTATAAAAAAAAATCACATTATATTTTGGGGCGCATCTTATGACCATTTAATAAAATGCTTCTACCTTTTTTTTTAGGCGTAGAATATTATTTCTACCCCTACCATGACATCGTTTTTTTTATCACACGGTATATTTAAAGCTAAAAAAACACTATAGTCTGTAAAACGAATAACTTTGAATTTGACAGTTCCCGCGGGCTTTTCTAGTGTTAATTTTATTAGGTTAGCAACTTGCGGCCATGCTGACGCAATGCCGTCTCTAGTAGAACAGCCTAGGAACGAGATTTATGACGTCACACTAGTTAGATACTACAGATTAATAACTATGTTGTAGTACATGGAAAACATAATTATTCCTCGATTTGTTGGTTTGTATTTTAAAAATGATATAGTTTACATGAAATATACATAATATACAGTTAATAAATACAATATATATATACCTATTTATATTAATAAATACTTTGGCAGATAAACTATGAACCATACAAATGCAGCAAATGTTTTACAATATGACGGAAATCGTACTCCATAGTCAATGTAGATAGTTTTTGTGTTAAAAATAATAATTTAAAAAAATATGTGGTCATCTTTTGACAAGTGTATATTAGTTTATTAATTGCAGTAAACATTATAATATATAAATAAATTTTGTGAATGCAAATAATAATACATCACTATTAGTAGATATTGAATGATTTTTTGTTAAATTAGATCGATTTTCGAACCCCAAAATTTAAAATATATTTTACATTTTACCCATTATCTTATGTACCACCTATTCATTATTTGTATATTGAAAAAACCTTTGCTGCATTTGTATGGTTCATGTTTATTAGCCAAAGTATTTATTACAATAAATAGGTATATATTATATTGTATTTATTAACTGTATATTATGTATATTTCATGTAAACTATATCATTTTTAAAATACAAACCAAAAATACGAGGAATAATTATGTTTCCATGTATTCTCCAACATATTTATTAATCCGTATTATCTAACTAGCGTGACGTCATAAATCTCGCTCCGTGGCTGTTCTAATAGAGACGGCATTGGTCTAATATTTAGAAATGTCAAAAGCTGATGACATTTTACTTTTGTCAATTATGACATTTCGTGTTGATTTTTGCAAGAAGAGGAAGAATTGTCACTTGTTTTATTATTTTCCTTTTCTATTTCACGAAAGTAAAAAGAGTTACCTATCTGATTCGTTCAGGCTAGTTGAGGCACTCAATTTAAAGAATATCAGTAACTTTTTTGATAGAGGGATTTTATATTTGCCATGTTGGTAAAAAATAACGGTCAAAATTCAAAGTTATTCATTTTATAGACTATACTAACAAATTCTTCGTATATTAAGACTCTATAATAAGTTATCGTGCTCAAAAGAAATTTATTGATTTATCAAATTTCAAAAAAAAAATGATGGCGCCCCAATAAGTTTTTTGGCACTATAGTACTTAGAAAAAAATTGTTCTTAGAGCATACAATAAGGAATAGATACAATAATTTAATTTGGCGTTGAAAAGATTGAAATAATTATAAATTTAAGTAAGTTAAACTATTTAATTTTGTATTGTGTCACTTTTTTAAAGAGTTGTAATTTTTTTCTGTCTATCTTTGCATCTCTACTCATAAACGAGAAACCCTGTAAAACACACGAAAATGGGACATCCTGTATAGTAATTAAAATATGTTCAAAGATATTTTAGACAACAAAGCATTTGTATATATTTATTTTGTTGATTTTTTTTATATACATTAAATAATTTAATTATTTATTGTTAGAAATAAAGTTTAAATATTGTATTTGTTAGATTATTATGTTTATTATCATCAAACAGCGAAAATAATTATTACAAAAAAAATTGTTGGAGAATAATAATTGTTAAAAATAAAAGAAATATACGATAAACAGAGCATAGCATAAAATATTGTATTCTAATAAATCATTAAATAATCAAAATTGTTTATTTTTCCTGTACCTAAATAGGTTTACCAAATGAGCCCGAAATCAATTTTTTGTAGGGAGGGTGAATTACATCGATTTTTTTAAATATCGATAGACATTATCGATTTTTTAAAAACTAAGAAGAGACGTTATGTTAGTAAGTGACATAAATCAGGATTGATTGACGTGTTCAATTAATTTCGGTCACTTCCTGTTTCATCGCAAATGACTACAATTTTTGATTTTTAAACGGTATCCTCGGTATTTTTTTGAGACTGTATGATGTTATACAGGGTGGCCCATCGAAAACGTTCCGCAAGGCATAACGGCCAGGGTAATTTTTTTTCAGAAAATTCAAAAACACGTCAATTTTGTTTGTGAGCGGGACAACTTTTGCCCCAAAAATGATTGCAAAATCTTCAACCCTCTAAGCGGGGGTATCATCCCCCATTTTTTTTCAAATGGGAAGAGGGCTCAAGTGGTACCGCAATGAAAAGAGCTTTCTATTCTCTATATTTTCCCGCTTCGTTTTTGAAAATCGGTCGAGTAATTGATAAAATATAAAGGATTGAAAATTACAGTTGAGGGTTGGAACCTTTGGTGTTACACAGCAAAATAAAAACACTAAATCACCACAATACACCAAAACACTTTTACTTTTACACTGGACGCGCGTTTCGCTAACCATGTTAGCATCATCAGCAGATGATTATAAACTAAAATACAATCTACAAGTTGAGCGTTTATATACTCGCTCAGTGGGCACCGAGTGGGCGTGGCAAAATCTAGCCAACCGAGTCAGAGCCCACTGAGCGTAACAGTTAGATTTCCGCCACTAGAGTAGTAGGAACAAAGAACTTGAAGGAATTGGACCGTTGTCTCTGTTCATACCATCTTTACATTTATTAATTCTGATGCTTTCATATGCATCTAATTGCCTGTAATTTGAGACTTGTTTAATTAATTTTAAATTATTAAGATCTATACAATGTTCATTATCAACAATATGTTCGGCAACGCAAGATTTATCCGGTCTACCATATCTTATCTGAGCTAAATGTTCTTTAAATCTAGTTAATATTGATCTTCTAGTTTGCCCAACATATTTCTGATTACAATCTTTACAAGAAATTTCATAAATACCCGACCTTTCCAGTGGAGATGTTTTATCTTTTGGATTACCTAATAATTGTTGTAATTTATTATTAACACTATACACAAGTTGTTTGTGAAATAGAAAGAGATTACATTAGGAATGTAGCTGAGTGTAATGGATATTCTCCTTCACTAGTTGATAAATTAATTAGAAAACGTAGGTATAGGTTAATGATTTCTGAAAATTCGACTTTTCAAGTGGAGAAAGATACTTCTAAATATTTTTCGATACCGTTTGATAGAGAGTTATCCCGTGGTCTAAAAGGAATTTTTAAGAATGTCAATTATAAACTTGTGTAAAGTGCTAATAATAAATTACAACAATTATTAGGTAATCCAAAGGATAAAACACCTCTACTGGAAAGGTCGGGTATTTATGAAATTTCTTGTAAAGATTGTAATCAGAAATATGTTGGGCAAACTAGAAGATCAATATTAACTAGATTTAAAGAACATTTAGCTCAGATAAGATATGGTAGACCGGATAAATCTTGCGTTGCCGAACATATTGTTGATAATGAACATTGTATAGATCTTAATAATTTAAAATTAATTAAACAAGTCTCAAATTACAGGCAATTAGATGCATATGAAAGCATCAGAATTAATAAATGTAAAGATGGTATGAACAGAGACAACGGTCCAATTCCTTCAAGTTCTTTGTTCCTACTACTCTAGTGGCGGAAATCTAACTGTTACGCTCAGTGGGGTCTGACTCGGTTGGCTAGATTTTGCCACGCCCACTCGGTGCCCACTGAGCGAGTATATAAACGCTCAACTTGTAGATTGTACTTTAGTTTATAATCTTCTGCTGATGATTTGGTTTGGTTTGGTTTGGTTTGGAAACGCGCGTCCAGTGTAAAAGTAAAAGTGTTTTGGTGTATTGTGGTGATTTAGTGTTTTTATTTTGATTGAAAATTGAAAATTTTATTTAAACATTTATCAGAGTAACGATAAGGATAAATTCCTTCGACCAATTTGCAGTTTTTTCTTATTATTTCATCGATCAGGTGCGGTAGTTGCTAGATAGCTGTTCTGTGACTTGTGCGTTGAAGCGGTTGAAGTTCTTTTCAATATCGTTAATTTTTTTAACAATTATGGTGTACTCACTTGCAGAAAGAGTGGAATTAATCGAACTTTATTTTAAAAATAATGAATGTGGCAATCGGGCTGCGCAGATATTCAATGAACGCCATCCTGACGAACACCTTTATGGCAAAATTGTTCACGAGTTAGTAGAAAAATTTCGCGAAACTGGTTCCGTTATGAATAAAAAGAGGCAGAGGGAAAATCCTGTAGTAAATGAAGCTATGGAGGTATTCGTATTGGGCGAAGTTGCCATGGATAGTACGCTGAGTACAAGAAAATTAGCCAATGAGACCGGCGTGAATCGTACAAGTGTCCAAAGGATATTAAAAAAACACAAGTTCCACCCGCACAAAATTCAGTTGGAACAAGAACACAACGAATACGATTTTGATCGTCCTTTGCAATTTTGTGAAACTATAAGTGAACGAGTGGCGAATGATAATCATTTCCTATTTAATGTATGTTTTTCGGATGAGTGTACTTTCTTTTTGAACGGTGTAGTTAATCGGCTCAACTGTCGATACTGGGCTCAGGACAACCCCAGGGTTTTTCACGAGGTGCACACCCAAAACCCTCAGAAATTGAACGTGTGGGCTGGTATTTTTGGAAATTCTATTGTAGGTCCTTTTTTTCTTCCTGGAAATCTAACAAGTGATATGTAGTTGGATTTACTGGAAAATACCATCGACCCAGCCCTAACTGACATCATAGAGAACAATCCTGGATACGTTGAAGCGGAACTAATATTTCAACAAGACGGTGCGCCTCCACATTACTCTCAAACTGTGCGTAATTATTTAAACAATAACTTTCCCGGTCGGTGGATAGGACGAAGGGGTGCAGTTGAGTGGCCTCCCCGGTCACCCGACTTGACTCCTTTAGACTTTTTTCTATGAGGACACATAAAAAGTAACCCGCCTCATTAGAAGACCTGCGAAGACGAATTATTGATGTTTATCGCGAAGTGACCCCGCAAGTTCTTCAGAACGTTCGAGAACGGTTTGAAAATAATTTGTATTACTGTATGGAGGTGGGCGGGCAACATTTTCAGCATTTGCTTCATTAATTAGGTAAGTTTTTTTTAATTAATTCAATTTATGCGTTTTTTTGCAAAAAATACTTTTCAAATTTCAATCATTCATATTTTCAAAATGACTCGACCGATCTTCAAAAACGAAG